TTTAATTTTGAGAATAAAGAAGCAAGGATCAAATAATACTTTACCACACAAAACGCAAGTAGCAACAAGCAAGTAGAATAAATCATGTCACATTGTTAAAAGGGTTACAACGAATTATATCTTATTCAAAATGTAGTTTTTGAGAATAAAAGAGCAATTATGATCATATAAAACCTTACCACACGCAACGCAAGTTGCAACAAGTAAGTAGCATAAATCATGTCACAATTATCCATATCAGCTTTATTTTTTAAAAAACTGAAAGAACTTTTTAACAATAATCTCTTACTAATAAAAGAAGCTCATTGAGACTTCTCAATGTGTCCACATCAGCAGTTTAACATTTTGTATTAAGCTGCCACGTCAGCGATTTAGCTTTAATTAGATTCTAAAAATCGTACCAAAGTAGCCACATCATCAACTTTTTAAGACTAAAATTAGGGTATTCACTTCTTAACAACGTCTTAGGGATGATAACGTCTCTAAAAGTTGAAACGACTCAACTTCCATGCACTTCCTCACCTCCTCTTTCTACGAGTAAGGGTTCCACATCTATAACGCATCTCTCCACGTCTCCGCTATGGATATCATCGTCCCACCAATGCAATCGAATCATCACCCAAGGTTTATCTCCAAATCTTATATGATTTGGCCGAGTTACAAAAACAAGCGAATTTGCAGATAAAGGGAGAGAACTACACTGGATTCAAAGAGGCTATATTTCAGGGAGGACTTTAAGTGTTTCGGATATATATATTTCTTTTCAGATGTTTAGCTTGAAAAAATTGGCTTCTCTGTAACGGTGTATGGTAAGAAGGATTCTCTTTAAGTCTTACAAATTATCGTAGCATGAATATTCGAAAAGCCTGTCTTTTTGTTTAACTAAAAACTTTAGGTTTTGCTTTTTGTTTACAGAGACATCAGAGGATTAGGATCAGAGCATAGTCAAACAAAGCATAGCAGATTTTAAATTGCCTTACAGATTTTGATTGGGTATGTTTCTATGTTCTGCTACATCATCTGATCATTCATGATCAATTGATCATTTCCAGTATCACGATTTGATTAATCTGTTTTTCTATTAATCTTTGACTCACTTTTTTTTATGATCAAAAATCTTCAACGCACTTTTTTTTGACAAGCTTGTGTGATTTATGATTCGTAATTTACAGAAAGATAAGTGAGTGAGTCGAAGCACTTAAGCATTAGCTATTGAAAAATTGAAATATCAAAATGTACTGAAGAGTCTTACCCTGTCAATAAGTTTCGTATCACCAATATCCTCCTTACTATACAATTGTTCTCTTCTTCTAGAAGCGTAAATTAGAAGGGAACGTGTTGTTGATTAAAGGAGGGATTATAAAAACTAACTAAAGCTATGTTGCGTTTGGTAATTTTTTTAAACATATATTTCCTAAAACATTTTTAGTTTCATATCATGAAAAAGTGGTCACACGGGAAAAATCTGGAATTGGTTAAATTCAAAAATAAGGTACATATAGTTCATGTTTGATGGTCATGTTAGATTTGAAATCATGTTTCACGCAAAGATGATATGGAAATCTTTTTAATGCCGTAACACCAATGTGAAGAAGTGTATAGGCTAACACAACAGTTCCCAAAAAATAGACATCCACTACAAGACTTGGGTTTAAAAATCATATGGTTTATCTTCTTTCACTGGTTTTACAGGAAATGCTATATCGTCTCATTGTTTTTAAAGTTGTGAATATATATCAGGACAAAGCAAGGTACGTATATGAAACTTGATCACGTTATCTTTGTTTCCTGATAACCTAATCTAATTTCTATGAAAACTTTATAGCTATTTAGACCTTTTTACTACTCTATGTTTAAAATGTCAATCAAACATGTAAACTAGATTGGAATGTGTACAAACTATATATAATCCCACGTACGTATAGATAAATTCTTATACGTTTGCAAATTTGAATTATTTGCTACTTTCATTTTGCACCTCACAATTTCTTTGAATTATATATATCACATTCACCAAAGCTTGCAAAAAATTTGCTCAGACAAAAGAAAATCAGTGGCTGTTCACTCAAGCCACAGATCAACTTCCCACCAAAAAAAAGTGAAAGGAATCCGAGCAAAAATGTGTATGAAGTTGGTGGAGAAGAAGAGAACTTCAAGACTGGTAAATGGGTCCGAAGAAATTTTGTTTCTTTATGGAATCTCAAGTTCATATCCTTGTGGCCAACCTGTGTTTCAAGCTCAATTTAAAAATCAACCCACGCGTAGCGTGGTCTAACCCCTAGTATATTCAAATGATGCTCATAGTATTTGAATACCCAGTTATTATTGAACTAGGTTCTCGATCGTTTCTTACATGATTATTATTTATTACATTGAGTCGTTAATTGATTGCAAGAGTTTTAGTATTTTTGTATTTTGTATATTATAATTTGTAACAGATAATTAAAAGTCCGTTCTGTTTAATCGGAGAATTATATTGGATTTATTTTTAATACTATAAATATTTTTGTTGAATATATTTTTAGTCCGTCTTTAACTTTTAGAAAATACGTATAGTCCATTGAAACACACTCTATTTTTTCTTTTTTCTTTTTGTTGCATACTTTGTTATTATTGTGCTTCTAAGGTTTCTTCTAATATTTTGTTTTTGATCAGGAACCTTTTTTTTAGCCTTCATCATTGATGCTGCATTAACTTTTACGAGTTTTGACGGTGGTGGCAAAAACAGTTTTAATCTTCTAAATCCATGCCAAATTTCTTTTATTTTTTTTTGCAGATAGAAGATTTCTATTCAAAATTTTCGGAACAACAATAAATTTTAAGATAGGTTTGAGTTTGTTTGAATCATCCAATTCGAGGTGGTGTTAGTCTTGCCAAACTTTCTTGAAAGATGTCCAATGGTAAATTTGAAGTTGTTTCTACTTTAAAATGGTGTATATAAGAGTAATACTAAACCTAAAGGATTTGCATATCAAAAAAAAAAACCTAAAGGACCAAGATGCAAAAGAATATTGGAAAGAGTGGAGAGTGACGCACACTTAAAAGGTACGGACAAAACGATGCGTTAGATCTTGATTGTCCGTACAATTGAATTATAAGGGTTTGATTGCAATTTGGTTTCTAATGTCTTTGTTTTTTTTGGTTGGAATGTTAAATAGTTCTAGTGTCTTTTGCTCTTTTGTTGACGAGACATCGCTTATTCGCTTTTCCTAGAAACAAAATGAATGTTTGGTATTGGTGGTGTTTGGTGATCAGTCACACCGATGTTTTCTTGGCTTTTTTTTTTGTGCAAATTTTTTTTGACATGCAACATATATAGAATCTTTTTTTACTGGTAGGGATCTTTTTTTTTTTGGAACAGCTACAATACTATGGTTAATATGGTAGCTGTAACTTTAGCAATAATAGTAAAATGATGATGAATTTTAATATCTAAAGCATTTGAACCACATGTATTTTGCTTCAAATGAGGTATGTATGATTGAACGTAAGAATTTTTTACAAATGGGAAGGCCCAAATATGATTCCGTTCAAATCATAATTATTTAGACATTTAAGCCAATGTGAGTTGCAAGTTTTATCTTCTTCTTTTTTCCTAACTTTAGCCGCATTTTCTAAATCTGAGGGAGAATGTCCTCTTCCAACAGTTTTGTCGACACGGGTTGATGCTTCGGTTAGCGATGGGAACTGCTAACTCCGGTCAAGAGCTCCAGATTGTTTTTTTTCATGGCAAAGAAATAGATCTTGTTAGCGTCGGGTGTTATAGGTTAAATAGATCTTGTTTTCTACCGGAGTTTATCAAATTTCTTTTCCGGTAGATTTTTATTTTGGGCCGAGTCCTATTTTGTAACCGTATATATCGATAAGCCCATTTGGATTGATTAATAAGATTATAATTTAGAAAAAAAAAGTTGCAACACAAAGAAAATACGTACTTTAAAAAAAAATTGTCAAAGATTAAACACTTCAAAAACAACTTACAACAATTTACAGCAATATGGCAAAAAAGTTCGATCACTAAATATATGACAAAAACTTACCTAATTGTGGAAGCCCCCTTGGCCCATTGGTTGACTAAGGGTTGATTAATGCTTCTACACCAAGAGGTCTGGGGTTCGAGTCCTAGATATTGCGATTTATTAACAAATTTGCAGATTAATGGAGGCAAGTGTGCAGGAGATGTCCAGCGATGTACAATTATAGCCGTTCGCCAGGATTCTACGCAGAGAAGGAAGTGTCGCCAGGATTCTACGCAGAGAAGGAAGTGTCGCCAGGTCGTGGATCATTGAAGGTATTCATCAAGATCATGAAGAAGGAAGTGTAGTCTGTCGTGGATCTAGTAAGGGTCGGAAGGAATTGTCAGTTGTAGAATCGTCTATGTAACAGTTCTCATAATTTGCAATTAATAATAAATCTAGACGACAAAAAAAAAAAAACTTACCTAATTATAAGAGGTAAGCTGTTATATAGTTTTTTACTATCTTTTTTCTTTCACATATTTCAGTTTACTAAAAGTTTCTGAACAGTTTCACTGTCAAAAAAGAAAGATTACACTAATTAAGGTTTTATTCTGGCTGTCGTAATTTTATTGGTGACTACTTTTGAAGGTAGCATAAAATCTACAGGGAAAATTTGGTGGGCAATCACTAAAGATCTTTAAGTTCAATCGATAAAACTACTTTTTTTAGTTAATAATTTGGTGTGTGTTTTTTTTTTCACTTTTCAAGTATATAATATCCATTACCACCACAAAGCCGTGAAATTTAAACATTTTTCTTCGTTGAAAATTTGCATTGAAGACATTATGTTAAGTTGTATAATTGAATTTCTATCCATTGTTATAACTTTTCCTTACGTAAAAAAAATGTCAACACGAAGTAGTAAAGGAAACCAAAAAAATAAAAATTCTAAAAGGCCTGAGGCCCAAGTCAGTGAAGCCCAAATGGAAAATAAAAAATAAGCCTCATAGAGTGAATGGTGAAGAAGGTCCTTAGGTTTTTAGGGTTTAAGAAAACGTCTGAGAAAGAAAGAGAGAAAAAAGCTTAGAGAGAAAAAAAAATGGGGAAGACGATGAGGAAGAAGATGAAGGGAAGCCAAAACTTGAGGCAAAGACTGCTTCTTTCGACACTTTCTTCAACACCTATCGTGATTGATGATATTCGTGCCGACGACATGATTCCTGGTCTCCGCCCTCACGAGGTTAATCTTCTCCGCCTCTTTGAAACTGTCACCGATGACGCATTCGTTGAGGTTAACGAGACTGGTAAGTAACGTTTCACTTGGTTTTCGCGTTCTTGACTTGAGATTTACTGATTTTAGGACTGAAGTTTCACCAATTTAGGGTTCAGCTGATTTTTGATTATAATCATGTTTGTGTTTATGAGAGCAAAAATTTAAGAAGAAAATGTTTTTTTTTTTTCAAATTGGAATTGGTTTGTTAGTTTTAATATGTTGCAATTTTGGCAGGGACGCAATTAAAGTACAAGCCTGGAATTATAATGGGAGGTAAGAACTTGGTTCACACCTGCTCGCTGAGTCGATCCATTGGCTATTATCTTGAGCCATTGATTTTGTTGGGATTGTTTGGAAAGAAGCCTCTTTCGATTAGGCTCAAAGGTATGTAATCTTCTACTCCAATACAGCTTTCAAAAGCATGTGGATTTATTATGAACGAGCGAGCAAATATTTTACTTTTACAGGAATTACAAATGATTCGAGAGACCCGAGCGTTGACACATTCCGTTCCACTACCTTGAATATCATAAAGCGTTTTGGAGTACCTGCAGAAGATTTGGAGCTTAAAATTGAGGCCCGTGGAGTAGCTCCAAATGGAGGTGGAGAAGTTCTCTTAACTATTCCAAATGTTAAGACTCTAAGTGTATGTACTTGTTCATTTCCTTCTTTAAAAAAAAAATTCCTCACTGCTAGCTTCGTATGGATTTCTTATCTGTTATATCGCTGCTTCAGGCGGTTCATTGGGTAGAAGAAGGAATGGTGAAGAAGATACGTGGTATAACTTTCTCTACAAGAGTGACTAGTGACTTCGAACATTCCATGAGATTCTCAGCTCGTGGAATCTTTAACAATCTCCTGCCTGATGTTCACATTTTCCAAGATCACAAAACTGGCGCTCAGGCTGGAAAGTAAGAAGATTTTTAACTAAAACCAAAAACAAGAGATGCTTGATTGAGTAAAGCTCACCTTTTTGAAAAAAATACGTGATTGCAGATCTCCTGGATACGGAATATCATTGGTAGCAGAAACAACCACAGGGTGTTACATTTCTGCAGATACAACAGTGTCTTGTGAAAGACCAGACGAAACTGGAGAGCTCGATGTAGAGAAGAAAGAGAGATTGCCAGCAGAAGACACAGGAGTTGAAGTAGCTTCATGGCTTCTTCAAGAGATTGAAAAGGGTGGAGTTGTTGATTCAACACACCAGGTACGCGTTTAAAATTCTAAAACATTCAACCATAGACACCAAAATCGATCAAACTATAAGTGGGTGTGTTGTTGATTCTCTGGATTTTTACAGGGATTGTTGTTTCTACTGTGTGCGTTATCTGAACAAGACGTGTCAAAGGTTCGAGTTGGAACATTATCTCCATATGCAGTGGAGACATTGAGGAACATAAAGGAGTTTCTTGGAGTTAAGTTTGACATCAAACCTGATCCATTGACAGGGACTGTTATACTCAAGTGCACTGGAAGTGGCTTAATTAACCTCTCCAGAAAGCTGTCTTGATTTCTTTCTCACGTTGTTGTGTTTGTTAACACAATCAGCTTTTACAGTTTTGTCTGAATGAAAACGCTTTTCTATAGTTTGAATGGATGTGTATTTTTGACCTAATGGCAATTTACAATTAAATTTATGCATTTTCATTAATTTAGATCGACCCTTCTCTGATATAAAAGCACATTATACTCGTCAATATTGAACTGTATTATAAAGTTATGACTAATAATTGGTTACATTAAGACGAATATACCCTATAAGAATACTTGGTCATAAGAATACAACAGAGAAGCAAAGAATAGGGAATGAAGCAAGTTTTTTCTCTATTTCTTAAGCTCAGGCTTGTATGGTAAAAATGGCACTCAATTGATCTTCTTGGAGGAATGTTAAAAGAGAATCACAAAGCAGAGAGTTCGACTTCTTGAGTGGAAGGTCGATAAGCTACGAAGGTGCTATCAGTTGAAAAGGAGCCTGGATTGAAACATGTTGTTCCCCCAAATTTGCACACCTCTTGCTCACTCTTGTCACCTAATACTATCTGTTTTGAAACAACAACAATCCATTGTTTTTAAATAACAACAACACATTGCTTTAAGGCGGATTTCGTGCAGAATTCAATCTATAAGAAGAGAATTTATGAATACCGTGTGAGGAGTTGGGTACAGTCGAAGAGAGTGATCGTAGTTCCAAATGATGGGTTGCACCATGAGAGGTAGAGGACATAGATGGCTCTGATGTGTTATTGTGTAGACAAGCTGTACCAACACGTTCAGGAGTTTCCATCAGTACCCGAAAAACTTCTAAATTATAACATAAGAAAATAATGGAGACGAGAGATGTGTTTACATGCTTAAAATGGTCCTTGGTTTCTTCTGTGGAAGGGGTTACTAAGCATGAACGACGCATCCGATACAGAAGATCTTGTCGGAAGAACACAATCTCTTGGTTATAGAACTTTACTCTGCATTTTACAAAGAAGAGATTATGCTGCCTCTTTTGTATTCGGTCCATCTCAGTAATCCGATGTTCACATTTCAGAAAATAAAAACCCTAATGATGAACAATAGAGAGTTCACACATCGTATAGAAAACTCACCTGCAAGGATTGCTTGAAAATATTGCATTGGGAATAATGTTCCGAAGCTCTTCGGTTAAATAGTTCGGTAAAGCGCATCTTGGCAAGACTGTCGAGGGACCTGTCAAATATCATGACTCTCTATAAGTCATGTCGCCTCATGGACCTCTGTTAAAGATTATTTAGATACTAATGGTTGATGGTACCTGCGTCCTCAGGACCTGGAATGAATAAAAACCGACTATTTTCTTTTAACCGTGGATGATTTCCAATCATTCTCCCAAGTTTACCAAACAGCTCCCTGCGAATGAAACGAATGCATGTCATCGAGAATATATAAGAACAAATTTCCATTCAACAATTGAGGAGATTCTAACTTCAATGATCCCTTACCTAAGGCTTGAATACGAACCAAAGGATAAGTTGCATGGGCGAGAACAAAAATTTCCCATAAAAACAAACAAGGAGGGTACTGTCTCAACACTTTCAAAACCGTCAAGAACAGTTTCCAGCTTCCTGATAACCTTCTCTACGGACAACATATTGTGGCGATCAAGCGATGTCACAAAAGATTGATGCTAAATAGAGTACTTGGTACTTCAACTCACCTCTTCGTCGTCCAACCATATGTCAGACAATATGACAAATGTGTCATTCACCGCTTGCCTTTCGAGGTCTGCAAGTCTAATCTGTTGGCAGGCAAAAAGAACATATTATTTCTGCTGTGACTTACCTACTATGTAAGGGTTTGCATTGGAAAGTTACAGAATTCTCAATCCGGGAGTACAAACAACGAATCAAAGATTACCGTCTCTTCTTTAGTTAGTGTGCCGCCTCCAAAGAAGTCGTATTCAGAATGTGCCTTTAGTGTTTTGTCCCTGTCTTCTAAAGGAGGAAATCCGCATGTAATCACCTTCACCACAAGATGAGAATACACTTTTAGAAGAGGATGAGTTGGTCAAAGAACATATTTTAAAAAACTAAGATGAGAACGAACATTTGCATAATCCTTTGAATCTATTCAAGTGTTTATCGGAGACTTGTGTAAGTATGTTTTGTCACAGAGGAGACCCAATACATGACTTAGTTCTATATTCCTTTATATAGCTAATATCTTGACCCCGATATGAATGATAATAAAAAATCGTAGAATTTATGAATGTGCAGCTCAGCAGATTATACAAATATCTCCCTGGTTTAAAAGTAACTAACTCAGAACGGGGGAGAGGAAGGCCCAGCAGAAAAGTGCCTTTACCTGAAAGATACCGTTCACCTGCATTTCACCTTCTGCCAAAATTATAGTATTCTCTGTGAAGAATCCTGTTGTTATCTTGTACTGATTGTTAGAGAAAACTATTCATAGCACAAATAACTCAAATGCAATTCTTTGCTGACTTTATAAGCATGAGGCTTTAAATATTATGTTCAAATGCTATCCCAGATTTTTTATGTTCCCACCTTAAGAAAAGGATATTGCTTTGGACAGATCAATCTCTACAGAAGCTGAAAGGTCCTCCAGGTAGAAATGCCCATCTTCTAACTGTGATATAACTCCCATCACCCATTTCCTTCCCCTTTGAGAAATCAGAGACTGAATTGAAGATATCTACTAGAAAGAACACGCAACAAATTCCTTAGTCTCAGATTTAAACATAAGAACCCAAAAGAAAATGGGAAGGAACAAACACATTTGACAGGAAACTTAAGACCAACCTCATTGTTCTCAAATTGCGACATTTCAGCATCAAATGCTGGCCTAGAAAAATGCTCCGCACGAGAAACTCTCTGCGACAGCAACATGAATCGTTCCCTATATAATGCTGTTTTTGCAGAAGCCTCACCATGAATAGGCAGGCTACTCGTATGCCTAGAATCAAATTAAATTTATTTCAGTCAGTCCAATCGGTTCAACAATCAACAACGCGTTTCATCACTATAAAGCTCCATCATCTACCACACATACACCCTAAGCCACCTACTAATTAATCAAACTCGTCTTTAGTAACTCACTAAACAGTCTTAGTAGGAAAAGTAGAGTGGCCTTACTCGTTGAACTTTTTTTTAACAGAATCATATCCAAACTTCGGAACCAGAAACGCGTCAATGACGGCCAAGGAAGAAGCAGATGTTGTAGGTTCTTCCGGCGCGTTATGAGCTCCCAACAACTGGTTTATCAATCCTCGAACTGATTCCGCGTCGACAGTGGAAGATTTATCTGCAACATTTTTTACAAAACCCAAACTGACTTCAGAATCGATGATACTAGTCAAATTACGCAGAAAACAAATTGGGCGACATACGCGATTCCTGGAGATTATCGAGGAGAAGATCGATAGCTTCTCCGTCAGCGTCGTCGGGAAATTGATCGGCGAAAACGAGAATCTCGTCTAAGGCATCGAATTTGAGGTTGTAGCCTCTGTTTTTGAATTTCTTCTGTATCTTCTTCCTCTTCTGACTGGTGCTGCTCATTCTCGCTACTTCTCTTTTTGCTTTCTCTGAATCTGCGAAACCTTTTTTTTTTTCCTTTTCTCTTTAATTCCTTTTTGGGCGGCAAATTTCTGAAAAGTCACCAAATCGGCGGGAAATGAATGTCTCGGAAGAGCCCTAATCGGTGAAAATTCTTTGTTCTTTTGCTAATACGTTATTTACATTATTGCCCTTCTAGCTAAACCGGGTGGGTCTAGAACTTTGGATAATATTATAATAACCGGTTCAGATTTCATTTCCGGTTCAAGCATTTTCAAACGGTTTTAATACACAAAACACTACAAACACGTAAAGCAATGGCTTATAAGGATCACTCAAGTGGATTGAGGTTGTATATACCAATAAGCAGACACACAAAATATAGATCCGGTAAGCCGGAAAATTGAGCAAACCAAACTGTATGGTTAATGTCAGTCAGTCATCTCCCCAAGCATCTTCCCGTTGTTTCTGTCTCCAGACAATTCGGTTTTTTCGGGCAGCTTCTTGGTCTCGTAGCTCTTTAGACCCGAATCCAGAAGCCGGTAGCTTCAATCCCATGCTATGAGCAATCAACCGTTGAGCTGTTCTCGCTGATGTCTTTGGTCTTTGAGACGGTGGTTCCAAATCTGAAATTGATTGAACATAACATGGTCACACATAAGAAACACGAGTAACAACAATTTAACATGATCTGTGTTTCGTTGTTACATTAGTTAGACAGCTTGACCAAAGGAAGAATAATGTGTTACAGTTCATAATTTGATGACATATAGACGTGAAAGAAACTTAAAAGGTGGGCAAGCTTATTTCTGATTGAAAGAGGGAATAATTCTACAGAACATAGAAAGTTAAAAAGGAGTAGAGTACCTTTTCCAGAAATCGAGCCCAAAAGAGAATCGTGATCATCGAGAACACGTATGGTGAATGAGCATTGAACATGGTTGCAAGCCTCTAGAGCTGTATCAATATTCAAAACACACAGGAGAAACTCTATTTGATTTGTAACTTAGTTACCAACAAAGGCAGAAGTTACATTTTTAGCTGTAAAGATACTAAACCTACTTAACAACTAAGCTGTACATTTTATGTAGTTCAACCATAGATCAAGTCCAATGCAATCTCTAATAACCCAATGCAACATTAGAACAGGAAAATATTAATGCTTAAGTGGGATAAAATTAAAATTCTTCCTAGTTAATCAGGCATGTATGATGAAAAATCAAATAACATATATATACCAGCTGAAGGGGTTTTGAAGACTGCAAGTGCTGTTGTATCATTAACCCAACGAATGATAAATCCACTATCTTTGAAGTCTTTAAATAGCTTCTCCAAATCAGCAGTTCTCAAACTTGGAGAAAAATCAGCAAGTACGAGGACATGGCGTGTGCCATACTTGGCTGCAATTAAAATGTTGTGCTTAGAACATGCAGCATATAAATCCAAATCAAATTAATCTAACATACTGATTATGCTTGTTACAGATACTACAATACAAAAACAGAAAGGAAACATTGAACTTACATTTCAGTGATTCATCATTCTTCTCTGAATCACGAGATAAATCGTTATCTTCTGAATCATCAAACCTTGACTCAGAGAAATCTCGATCACTATACATCGCATCCCTCTTATAAGTAAACGTTCCTCTTCCACGTCTCTTAGGTCGTTCAACTTTAGGTTCTTCAACCGAAAGCTTTGATATTTCAGGCAACTCTTCTACAGGGAGTAATTTACTCGGTTCAAGATCTGCAAGAGCTTCCCAATCTGCAACAAAATCAAGGTCATTTAAACATACACACATACATAAAACAATCGCATGACAAAGGTTAATGCATCCTCTGAGTTACAACATGAAACATACCATCATCTGAAGAATCATGAGCAGCTGAATTATTGCTAGGTACGTTTGTGGAATCCTTTGTTTTCCCTTTACAGATCCATGAAAAGCGATCAATAACAGCATAAAAAAGCTAAATCAGATAGATAGAATGGGCACTCTAGATGAACAACCATCAGCAGGTGAGACATTTGGGTCAGACTTGAGTCCATTGGAAGCAATACTTTGATTCTCTACATCGCCGGAATCTCTGCAATCATAAACCACAAATGAACCCTAAAATCGATGAAGCATATACAATTTCCGCAACACATTTCTCATATCTCTCCTAATTTTTCCGATCAAACAAAAAATTTCGTAGTACCTTGAAGAAGCACGATCACAATCCAACGCTCGTTGCTTAATGAGGGAAGAACGAGTTCGAAGCTTATCGGATTTTAGGGAAAGTCCCTGAGAAGAATAGAGATCCGCCAATTGCGTAAGAGCGGCTGCTAATTGCAACCCAAACTCTGTTCTCTCCCCGGAGGAGGAAGAACCCAATCGTGACTGAAGATTGGTCTCCAAAGACTCGAGAAACGAGATCGCCGCCGTGACGTCGCCGGCTGCTACGAGATCTTCCACGCGCTCGCTCCAATTTGGTTCACTTATTCTTTCTTCTTCGTTTGGCCGTGTGTTCTCCATAGTTAGGTCTCAGGGAGTCTGACGCTTTCAGAAATTCTCACACGTATCCACACGAACCAGAAAGCGATGATTCTGTGCTCTTATTTATATATCATCGTAATCAATTTGAAATTTTAAAACATGTTAAAAAAATTAGGGGAAATTACTATTTTTAATAAGAAAATAAGGTGAAACAAAACTGTAGCACTAAACTCAACTCAAAGCTGTCCTAGGTGATGATATCTGGGATCTTGTAATTATATTTTGCAAAATATCAGTTTAGTTGTATTAAAAACAAAATTTAGATATAAGTTTTTTTATTAAAGATCAGTAATGACATTGAGCTTCGTTAAGACGGATTTGATCTATCATCTATCTTTGATGGTACCTTCCACTGGATGGATCATGTGGATGTGGTATGGGGAGATTATGTGACACAAGCCCGGAATTTCATGGTTATATATCAAAGTTTGTATACTTACGTTTATACAAATGTAAAGAGCAATATAGGCTTTATACGGTGATGTTTTTATGATCTGTTGTGTTTATTATACAGCTCTTTGCAGTCTCTCTTGTACAATGAATCCGAGGACATGCAAGCTCCATGAATGTTTCATATTCCGGTAAATAAATCGCTATATAAGTTCCTCAATGAACTATTCTAGAGAAAATCCTAACAAACCTTAAGAATACATATCAAACAAACAAAATTTGCAAACAATGAATCATATACAAAAGCCATAAACTCTAAGGTCTCAGTAGATGGTAATGACCCAACAAACCAAGAGAGTAAATAACTTTTGACTAGTCTCAGTCAAGTTTGGTAACATTCTTTGAAGAGGACGACGATTCATACCGTTTGAAGAGAGGAGAGAATCGATGGCGTTGTATGATTCTGACGAGGACGAAGGTGTTTGCAGCCAGAAACAGTATACTCGCGATCCATAGCGGTAAAAAGACGTTAAGGCCCTTGAACTCGAGCATGTATCCCCATAAGAGCCAATGTGTCTGAGCTCCGATCCACATAATGATGCATAACAAGCCTTCCCATTTCAGCTTCATACGGCTCCATGGTAGAATCAGGGGTAGCAGGCAATAGAACCACACAAAGTACTGCGCAGTTATCACCTAGAGACAAATGAGGTAATAAAACTTTAGATCAGAACCAGAAGGTTTTTTAGCTCACTGAGAAAAGCATATAAGAAAATGAACAATTGAAGACTTTTTTGGGACATATATAAGAATATAGTGATGTATTCCATACCTTATTGAAAGCCACAAATGCAACGGTTTGGAGAAAGATGCAGAACACTAGATCCTGCGAGAAGCAGAAGACTAGAGCAAACTGTACTGTAAACTGGGGTAAAAACGAGATAAGCTTCTCCACAGCTGAAAACTGGCGCTCATAGTGAAGATATATGTGATAGAAGTAGATGGAGAAGTTGTGCCTTGGATCTGTCCGAGTCAGATGATATAAGAGAGCCTCGTGCAGGAACTCGTGTCCATAAAAATAGAAGGAAACAGCATTGCAAGCTAAAAAAACTCCCCCGGATATCAAAGCAAACATGATTCTCTCCCTGGAAAATAAACTTTTCAAGGTGGTCAAGAGATTGAAGAGGAATGTTTTTCTCTCCGTGTTGCTGATAGGTGTCTTGGCCTGACCGGTATTCCAATCCTCGAGAGCAGGCTTTTGACCAGATCTAAATATCTGGGAATCGAGAACCAGGATGATTGGCAACGCATAAATAATAGGATACACCCTGAAATGCACAACAAGCCCATACCAAAATGCAGCTTGTGACAAATTACCTACACAGCAAAATATATAATTGTTGTTGTGTCATTAGTTTTCCGGATTAACAAACTGGATATTCCACTGATAAGAACATGACAGGAGAATCGCATAATAACAACTCTTTACTTATCTCTATGAAGAACGATGAACACAACTACAATTGCAGACTAAACCACGGAGAACGGAAAAGAAAACCAAATTTACTTAGGGTATTGAGATAAAGTCCCTAAAGCCTAAAAGAAGTCCCCAAACCTATTCCCAAATACTCAACGTGGCCCAATCTGTTACTCTCTGTCTAATACAGTTCATAAAGAAGACATAATGTACTGACTTGTAAGAGAGAAAACAAATGAATCCAATTCTATTTCTGTTATAACACTTGTCTTTCACAGCTTATGAACCACAGCTAGTATATTTGTTATAATCACCTAATGTAATTGATACACACATATGAATTGAATTGATATAAATTAGTTCATGGAACTCAATTCAGGGTATCAAAGTATAAAAGCAGCAGACCTGATAAAACTCAACAGAGAAAACATTCAGTTGTACTAGTTTCGAATAAAGTGTCTACCTCGCATAAGAGAGATGATGATCCATAATATCATGGCACAAACGATGGGTTCACAGTTCCCTCTGGTTCCAATAGTGAATGTAAACGGATTGAGAAGCCAAACCATAACAGAATATGTACATATCTTCTCAGGCACCTTACGTTCTCTCAAAATCTTATGGACAAACCAGCCGACCAGTAAATCTGAAATATGAAAACAAAACTCAATACGACCGAGGAACGTATCAGCAAACAAAAAAAAAAGTTGAACGTTCTACATATTTTTCTTTGGTTATGACAAGAAAAACAAAAGAAAGATGAGATAACTAACTATAAGAAATGTCATACCAGAAGCTGAGAAGAGAAACTTTCCCCATGACCGATGAAAGAAGGAATTAGGGGTCAGAAGAAGGGCAAGCAAAGGAGAATAACGGTATGTGGTTCTCTTGTAAGGGGACTCCCCGGATGCCATCAACGACGCAGCATCGGAAAATACAATGTAATCAACGTCAGTGTACCGGACCTCCATATGAGCATCTTGCCATTCTCCATAAACAATCAAAAACACACGCAAAAGCATCGAAAATACCAGCAGAGAACGAAACTGCATCCCTATACAATCACAATCCAAAGAAGAAGCAACAATGTCAGAAAATTCAAGATCTTAGTATGCAATTACTAATCATAATCAAACTAATTATACACCGATTATCGTGATACAATGCATCTTTAAGCTTATTACAGAGAGAGGAACGAATTACATACATTTCGGTGGTTCATCATCAGTGTTCTCTGATTCACGAGACATATCGTTATCTTCTCAATCTTTAAACCTCTTGACTCACAAAAGTCTCAATCACATCACTCTTATAAGTAAACTTTATCAACGAGCTTGAGGTTCTTCAACGGAAAGCTTTAGGGGTTTACAGGGATGATTGAAGTCGCCGATGTATGCTTCTCCGCCCGGAGATCTCCGATCGAACCTAAAACACTCAGTAAACGCTAAAAAGGTTTGAGCTAAATTGATTTTAATTTGGTTTTCTTCTGGTTTATGTTTGATTTCCGGTTTGCTCTTATTTGATTTTCCGGTCTAGTTGATCTAGGGGACAAAATTTGGAATGCAAGTGAAGAAGATTAGAACTTTTCATTACATACACAACAACATAAGCAAACCAACACTCACTCCACACTGAAACAATGAGATCAACACAAACAACATAATTTTCATCTCTCAAGATGAAACCAGAAGACACAAATAGGACTCAACCTTATTATACAAGTTTAGGATTTAGTCCTCTTGCCTTCCTCGTCTTTCCCACAAACAGATCCTTCGACTTGATCAAACCAGGGAGGCAACCAACAACTGTTACAAACGGAAACTGAGCCACTGAGTCCTTTCTTCCTAAAGATACAATGGCCATCTCTGGACCAGGCTTGTAAGTCGACATCTTCTTCTTTTTCCCACTCGACATCATTACCTTTATGTTTTTCACAACCACATTAGCATGAGTCTCCGCTATATATCCTTGTTTCATCTCCTGTTATCAAGAATCATAAAATCAAAACAAGACTACTAACCAAGAAAAGCTGGATATACTTCACGATATAATGTGCTTACCGGGATATTAGTGATATCTCCAATGGCGAATACATTGCTTCGACCCCTAATCCGCAAGTACTCATCGACCATGACCCTTCCTTTGCCATCCAAGCTATCTTTCAGAACAGTTCCATTGAGCCATTGAGAAGACAAAGGTTTCCCAACACAGAGGAAATGACAATCTGCATGTATAGTTTCTCCTCCTGAAGTCCGGTATGTTTTGTTTCCATCTGATGCTGAACTCAAATCCACAGATTGGTTCAATATCACTTCCACTTTCTTTGATTCCAACCAGTCAGATGCTTTATCAGCAGCTTTTTGTCCAACAAATTCAAGCAATCTTGGTCCTTTATGCACCAGAGTAACCTTCTTCTCTGGAAAATCAACAGCGATTTCCGCAGCTAGCTCCACACCAGATGGACCTCCACCAACAATCAAAACTGATCCAGAAGATTTGATCTTCTCATATTCTGCAACAACATAGATCAAATGTTGTATAAATCATACTAAAGACAAACAAAATATCTTCACACACAATCTCAACACCAACCAAAACAAACAGAAATCACATGAAACAAATGTCAGGATTTAGATTCGTACCAGCTTGGTAATGTGACAGCTTCTCTTGTCTGGTTTTAGGGAACAAGTCATTGTGACCTGTAGCAATAACAAGATAATCATATCCAATCACAGATCCATCTTCAGTCATAACATCACTCTCTGTGATATTGATCGCCGGAGAAGTTACAACACGGCCTTGTTTCAAGTAACTGTTGTGGTTAATCACTGTTCTTTCAGCAAACTTAGGCTCCACCATGGATCTCAAACTTGCCCATGTAATCTCAAAGTACTCCTTCCTAAACTCAACACAAGTTTTGAAGATTTTAAGATCAAATAAAAAATAGTGTTTTAAGAATTTGGTGAAAGAACTTACGGATCGATGAGTGTGACATCAGCATCGTACTGAAGCAATTTAGCGGCGAGTGAGCCGGCGATTCCACCGCCGATCACAACCACTCTCTTTCCTTGTCTAGACCCAGATTCAATCCCTTCCATTTTTAGCGATTCAAGCACCAAATAAAAACAAATCCAAGTTTTTTCGAATGTTCTTCGTTAGGCTTCTTCTTCTTCTTTCAAATCAGTTTCAAGGGTCGATATATATATATATATAGAGAGAGAGAGAGAGAGAGAGAGAGAGAGAGAGAGAGAGGAAGTGTAGAAAGATTGTCAGAGAGGAAAAGCAAAAGGAATTTGTGATTGACGTGTTTAGTGACTGACTTTGAGATACCTGAAGAAGACGAAGAATCTTGTGGAGCTTCCCTTAAGCTTACATCATCGAATACGTCAATGGCGGAAGAGCGCAATTTTCAATTTTTTTATTTTGTTCCTGAAAGAAACCATTGGGCCTTTGAGTTTGGAATATTGGGCCCTTGAGTTTGGTAGATTGGGCCGAGTATAAGCTTTTTTAATCATTTACATTCTTCTTTTTTTTCCCTTCTATATACTGTATACAACCTTAAATAAATAAATTTTAAAAAAAAACTTTCGTTGTCTTTAGGACAAAAGATAGGACATCATCTCATTCAAGGCCAAAGAATTTAATACATTGACACATTTGAAAAAGAAAGTAAGATATTTGAGATTTGACACAATTTATTAAATTTAATTATGGTAGATTCGGATATTTACTAAACGTAAAAAAATTAAAAAGATGTGTAATTAATATTTTTTTTTATTGTGATTCTAAATAAATAATACCCCCGAAATATCATAATTATCTTAACAACACATAAAACTTTAAAGAAAGAAAAAAAAAACAAAAGAGAGATCAATCGGCGGACCAGCACGGGCGGAGTCAACTTTCTATCCTTTTAGGAATATGATAAGTGATTGCCGTCTACGAGAGGTCCCGAGTATAGGTAACCGTTTCTCTTGGGCGGGTGACCGCAATAATTTATGGATTCAATGTTGTTTGGATAGAGCACTGGGCAACGAGACTTGGTTCCGTATTTTCCCGAGAGTTCAAGCAGAGTTTTTGGAGCGGATTGGGTCAGACCATCGCCCATTGCTAGTTAGATTTGTAAGCGAAAACATTTCCAGAACTGGACGCTTTATGTTCGATAAAAGATGGATTTCTAAACCGGAGTTCTTGGGAATAATAAAAGAGGGATGGTGTAAAGATGATGCTGCAGGATCTAGAGCATTATTACACCGCATCTCTAACTGTAGAAAATCTATATCCTTATGGAAAAGAGTCACAAACCAAAACTCCAAAAAAAGAATTACTCAGCTTAAACAGAAGCTTGAAGAAGAAGGCTTGAAGCTGCAGCCCAATCGTGGTCTGTTGCAAGCATGGAAATGGGAACTAGCTGAGGCTTACCGAGAAGAAGAACTTTTTTGGAAACAGAAAAGTCGAGAGAAATGGTTGAAGGAAGGCGATCGTAATACAAAATTCTTCCATGGGAGTGTTCAAAGACGACGAGTCCAGAACCGTATCATTTCTCTCTTTGATGTCAATAACGTGGAGCAGTTTGCAGAAGGATCTAAGGGAGAGATCGCGGTTGATTATTTCCGCCAACTTTTTACAAGCTCTAAGCCCGATTCTTTTGAAGTAGCTCTTGAAGGAATGCTACCGCGAGTGACAGCTCATATGAATGAGGTAATGACAAGACCAGTTTCTGGAGAAGAGATTAAACAAGCAGCCTTTAGTATCAAAGGAGAAAGCACTCCAGGAGCGGATGGTATGTCTGGTCATTTTTATCAAGCATATTGGGACATTGTTGGACCTCAAGTCATAACAGAGGTACAACAGTTTTTTGAATCTGGTTCTCTCCCTCCGGAGTGGAATTTCACACAGATTTGTTTGATTCCCAAGAAGCCAAATCCATCAAGAATGACAGATCTACGCCCCATCAGTTTATGCTCGGTTATTTACAAGATTGTCTCCAAAATCCTGTGTAATAGGCTGAAGTGTTTTCTACCGTCGATTGTTTCAGACACTCAAGGTGCGTTTGTCTCGGGCAGATTAATTTCTGATAATATTCTCTTGGCTCATGAGATGATACATGCCCTCCGCACAAATTCCAACTGCGATGAAGATTTTATAGCCATTAAAACCGATATGTCTAAGGCCTATGATCGAGTAGAGTGGAATTTTTTGGAAGAATTACTCATAAGATTAGGCTTTGATATGCGGTTTGTACAATGGATCATGAGCTGTGTTCGATCAGTTTCATACTCGGTGCTCATCAATGGTGCATCGTATGGATATATAAAACCGGAGAGAGGCATCCGTCAAGGCGACCCGCTATCCCCATTTCTATTTATTTTGTGTGCTGAGGCTTTAGTCCACATTATGAACAAAGCAGAACAAGAAGGCAGATTAACAGGATTGCGACTTACACCAAGCTGCCCATCAATTCAACACCTTTTATTTGCCGATGACAGCTTTTTCCTTTGTCGAGCTACCTTCAAAGAATGTTCTGAATTTCTGGGCTGTTTACGGTTATATGGGGAAGCCTCGGGTCAAGAAATTAATTTTCAAAAATCAGCTATAACTTTCGGACGGAAGATGGATCCTTATATGAAACGTTTACTTGGGCTATTCACTGGGATTGAGCAAGAGGGTGGAACTGGTAAGTACCTTGGACTACCCGAATGCTTTAGTGGTTCAAAACGTGAGCTTCTAGGCTTCATTACGGATCGCTTAAAATCTCGTTTAAGTGGATGGTATGAGAAAACATTATCCTTGGGAGGCAAAGAAGTGCTCATTAAATCGGTTGCGTTAGCACTACCCGTCTATGCGATGTCATGTTTTCGGTTGACAAAACATCAATGCCAGAAGATCACCAGCGCTATGTCTAATTTTTGGTGGAATGAAAGTGAAGAGAAGCATAAGATGCATTGGGTTTCATGGGACAAGATTTGCAAATCTAAAGCACAAGGCGGGTTAGGTTTTAGGGACATTGGTCGCTTTAACCAAGCTCTACTTGCTAAACAAGCCTGGAGACTGTTGGATGTTCCTAATTCTTTACTTGCCAGAGTATATAAAGCTCGATATTACCCACAAAAATCTATTCTCGAGGCAACAACCGGGTATCGCCCTTCTTATGCATGGAGAAGTATTGTTTTTGGTAAGGAGCTGTTGGAACGGGGTCTCATGAAGACGATTGGAGATGGGCAGACAACAAGTATATGGGCGGATAAATGGCTTTTTGATGAAGCTCCGCGTCGGCCAATCAATAAGGAGTTGTTCATTGATTTAAATCTCAAAGTATCGACACTGATCACACCACATGGTGGCTGGAATACACAGCTCTTAAATCAACTTTTCCCACCGTGTGATGTTATTCAAATCAGATCTTTCCCACCTGCACCGAGCTTATCGGATAGATTTGTATGGGCATACACAAGAGATGGTCAGTACTCGGTAAAAAGTGGTAACTGGTTAGTCAACAAAGAAGTTACAGCAATGGATTTTGTTTCTGCGGAGGCGGTGACTTTAAACAAAATCAAGGAACGTGTTTGGAAGATACATGCGGCTCCGAAAATACGACTTTTCATGTGGAGAGCTTTATCTGGAGCCCTTGCCGTTGCAGACTGTTTACGGAGCCATGGTCTGCTAGTGAATGCTCATTGTCAATTATGTCAAAATCAGGAGGAAACCATAGCTCATGTTCTTTTTGGTTGCACTATGGCAATATCGGTTTGGCAGCTCACTCAGTTACCATCTCCTTCTCAGGGTTTCACGGAATCTATAGCGGAGAATTTCTCTTTTCTTTTGGATTTGATGGTTAAATCTGAGCTTCCTGCAAATATACGGACTGCTATTCCTTGGATATTGTGGGAAATATGGAAAGCAAGAAACTCCCAAGTCTATGCGGCGAAAGATGTTGATAGTAACATTCTGCTTGCTAAAGCTTTAGAAGATGCAGAGGAATGGATTTTGCAGAATGCATTAACTACTTCAGATCTTGTGAATGCGCAGCATCGACAGCCAAGGCTTGAGACTAGGTGGTCTAAACCAGCATGGGGAAAACTTAAATGTAATTTGCATGCCTCTTGGACAAAGGATACTCATCACTGTGGTGGCGCGTGGTTGCTACGCAATCATGTTGGGGATGCTATTTTACATGCTCGGGATGCCTTTCTTCCAATGTTTAATAGGGTAGCTGCGGAATTACATTGCATTTGGTGGTGTTTACAAAGCCTCCATCAGGTTCATATGGATTCTTGTGAGGTTTGGTCCGATTGCACAGCAGCTATACGTGCTTTAGCTCAACCGGATGACTGGCCAAAATATCGCTCCATTCTTAATAAAATAGCCCAGGTAATACAGGTGATGCGGGATGTGTCTTTCCACATTTCTTCACCGAAAGCCAATCTTTTGGCTAGGGATATTGCCTGCAGTGTCACTCGGGATGGACGTTTTAACTCCTACTTGGCGAGTGGAGGGCCAGCTTGGTTACATAATAGGATTGAGGATGAACGACGACGCAGCATTTAAGCCTTCACGGGATCGTCATCAGCTTCGCTACGTTTGAAACGCCGGGCCATGGATTGGTTTGATCTTGGTTTTTGCCCGTCCTTTACTCTGTTTTGCATTGCTCTGTTTTGGTTTTGGTTTGAACACCCTCTGTTATTGAACTCTGTTTTATTATATTGCAATGAAAGACGTTAAAAAAAAAAAGAGAGATCAATCGAAATTATTGTATATATATATATATATATATATATTTATTAACCATTGATCCCCCTCTCGTCTCTATAATTAACGATTAAGTTAACATCAAACTATTTCTTTCCTCTCCAAACCAGCCAAACAAGGAGAGAGAATGGCTTTCCAAATCAATCCTTACAACGAATATCCAATTCCACCAACCTCGGCCACTCCTCCTCCTCCTCGTAGATGGTGGTCACGACCAATAGTGACTGTGCCGCCAACGCATGGTCGTAAAGCCACTTGTATGGAAACTACGGTTTGCGTTACACCTTGCTTTGGCGCAATATTCACCATCATCGCCGTATGGGTATATATCTTTAACATCGTCGACAATGCTCATTGCGACGCCAAATTCGCCATCCAATCCATCGCCGTCTCTCCATCCTCCGCCACATGGCACGTTGATTTTCTCGTCAAAAACCCTAGCCCTAGGTATTTAATTTGTTCCCATATTTTTTATTTTTGTTATATTAATATGATGCTCTAAGCAATGGCTTCTTTTGTCCAATGGTTTTGCAGGTTTGCTATCTACTACGAAGGCGATGAAACTGACGTGAGTGTCGGTCCCTTAAGCGCTGCCGTTTTAAATACTTCTCACGTTCGTAAGTCTCCAAGTCACACGGCTTTCTCAGTGGATTTCCTTGCGGAGGGTAATCCAAGTGATGCCGTTTCCGAACAATTAGATATCAAATTAAGGGCTAAGCATAAGAGTTACGGAGACGACTATGATAACGCTGGACATATTGATATAAGTTGTCGTAATCTAACTCGAAGCCATGAGAACGTTGAGAAGATTCAATGTCACTCTTCTTTCACAAAATTGAAGATTTTGTATAGAAATCGTTATGATAATTAGGCTTTTTCATCGTATTCTTGTGGTTTCCTTGTTCTTCACTCAATTAATTATTATTTTGGGTTAAATAAATCCAACATCATTTTTTAATACACTTATCTTTGATGACTATGTAAACAGTTGGTAATCTTAAATGAAATCAGATGTTCAAAAAATAGAAAAAATAAAAATAATACTAGTTTACACAATTATATGGAATAAAAACAGATTTCGAGTAAATTACCAACGCAAAAACAATCGCCCTTTTGATCTTAATCATCGCATTTAACGAAAAAAAACTTTAAATATTATTCTATTAGATATAGACAATCTTTTTTTTTTTTTGCTAAAGTAGATACATATAGACAATCTTGCTAAAACAAAATCCATTTAAGAGAAGGGCGATTCAACAGAATTATTCAGGGGTACATTTATCTCTCTCTTTTTGAAGTCTTTGTGTTGGTTCAATATAACCTAGTAGAGTTCCTATTCTCTGGTGACGACTTAGTTAACTGATTGTGTGCTACAATTTTGGATTTATCGTTTCTCGCAAATTTGGTTTGGTTGTTGTAGATTATAGTTTCACTTTCCTTTATCTTCTGTTGAATGCTTAGTAATTTAAAAATTTTAACTCTCTTTTAAAGCAAATTTGAAAGTTTTTATTTTTTTGAACTTTGTTTAGTTTTATTTAGAACAAGTTGAATATAAGTGGGGTAAAAGTTTTAGTAATAAATATCGCATGAGATAAGTATTAAAAATTTACAAACTCTGTATTTATTTATATTTAATGTTAATAATTAAAGTAGATAAACAAGGCTAAGTCCCATAAAATCCCGTAGATTGAGCCAACAATAAAAGAAAAGATATCCCGTAGATTTGCTTTCAAATCAAAATATTATTAAAGTAACTAAACAAACATGGTATATATATATATATCACAAAAAATTAAAGGCTAAATATAAAACAAAACAATAAAAAGCTTAACACAAAAAAGGAAAAGGAAAAAAAAGCAAAAAGAAATCAAAATTTATTCAAGTATATATGTTGTAAACTTGTAAAATTTTTTCATCGTGTTAAAACCTCCAAAATGTCAAGTTCTCGATGTAACTCTTGTGGCCTCATTCACCAACCTGGCCAATGTAACCTGGAAACTTCAACCACACCACCCGACGAGCCCATGGACATTACTCCACTTTGTTGCTGCACTTGTTACTTTTCTGTGATTGGTTCCTTCTTCCTTTTACTTCTCATTGTTTTAGGTCTTACCAAACTTGGCACAAGACAAAGTTGTTACGTAGAGCTTTTTGCCAATTCCGTCTCCGTCTCAAATGCAAACGCAAACGCAAACGTTTCAGCCGCTGATTGGACGATCGGTTTCGTTGCGAGGAGTCCAGTCACCGGCTGTGAAGTCTCTTTTCATACACTCAATTCGCGTTTACTCCGAGGCACCGAAGTTATCTCCAAATCATCGTCTCCGTCCTCGGGTTATTTCGTGACCGGAGACAAAACAGAAGCCGTTTTCGAGAAGGTGGTTATGCCGAAAGTTATTGGCGACGTGATTTGGGATTCTCGAGTTGAGATTATGTTTGCGATGAATACAAATGCTAGATATTTAAATGGATTTTTGATGGCGGCTTGTCCTGCTATTCCGGTGAAATTTACGACGGATCAGGCGGGGAAGGTCATGGGATCGTTGCTTGGAAATGTGAAACGGTGTGATTATATATTCCAGAAACATTTGGATTCTCTCCGATCTTGAATTCATGATTTCTATTACGAGAGTTGTTGGCTTAGGTTATTTATTTCGTTTTATGTTTTTTTTTTTTTTTTTCCTCAAAATGAACGATTATATTATATGGTTTGAGAAGTCGCTATGAAGCGCGTTTGTTATTACATGGGGAACCAAACTGTGAAAGTGAAAACTAGAATTGAAAGGAATTTGTTGTTTTGCCAAAAGATCTGCTGGAGTATTACAGAGACGATGACACCAAAGGAATTGGCAATCCATGAATCTTGACTTCCAACTACGCGCTTCCCTGATCCAGTTGAACATACCAAAGTTGAGTGTATTGCCGTTGAGCAAATCTGCAACCTCCTTATTGTCACCTTCAAAACAAACTCTCTTGAACCCTTTGCTCCAACAATTCTGCATTGAAATAATTAAGGCTTGAAATTCACTTTCTAGAGCATTACACGTTCTTCTCCCTCTTGCTTGACCTGCACCTAAAAATGTTCCTCGAGCATCTCTTAGTACCCATCCTGCATGGGAATGTAAATTCGCAGTGAAAGAACCATCATAATTACACTTTATCCAATCCCTTGCCGGTTTCTCCCAGATGGAGCCAAACTGTCTCGGATTGGAGTTTTGAGTTTGAGGAGACGAGAATTTTTCAATGTAGTCTACTTGGTCTTGCCATTCTTGAGCATCCGTTCGTGCTAATCTAATGATTGTCCGCCACGACGTAGCTTTCCTTTGAAATAGCATTTTGTTTCGACTCAACCATAGCCGCCATAGGATCCACAAAGGTAAATGCTTTAGGTGAGAAAACCGAGATGACGTGTTACAGTTGAGAATAGCTTGAATCTTGTCTTCCACGGTCACATTCGGGTCTGTTATTAATGGGATTGGAAAACCAGAACCGCGCCACACTGCTTTCGCTACTACTCAATTAAAAAACAAATGTCCTGTAGTTTCCTCATGTATACAACAGTAACAGCAGTTGGGAAAACGACTGATGTGTCTGTAGTTCAAGATGCTGCCTGTAGCTAACGCGCCAGATAATAATTTCCAAAGGAAGTGCTTTAACTTTGTAGCAGTTTTGAGTCTCCAAACATGAGCTTTAAGATCTGGATTACCTGGAATTGGACGTGTTGGATTGTTGTTTGGCAGGTGAGTTGCAAGCCAATAAGCAGACTTTACCGTGTAGATACCCTCTTTTGTATAGTGCCAACCCAAGAGATCTCTTTCCGCATTTGGACACAGCTTTATGGATAGTACCTTGTTGACATCCTCTTGATGAACCCACTCATTAACTTTGCTTACGTCCCAATCAGATTTGGTATTGTTTAAAAAATCACTCACCATCATCGGGCCTACTTCATCTGATCGCTTTCTAGGAGCTCTTGGTGGATGGACTGGCAGCCACGGGTCTAACCAAGCGTTCGTCAACGAACCATTTCCAATGCAAAAGCGCAGTCCCTGCTTCAATAAATCTCGTCCTTGCAAAATCGATTTCCAGTGATAAGATGCTTTCTTTCCTTGCACCGCATTCAACACATTTGTATCCGGAAAATATCGTCCCTTGAGTACTCTTGACATGAGACACTGTGGATGTTGTAAAATTCTCCAAATCTGTTTACCAAGGAGAGCCAAATTGAATTTCTCTAATTCTCTGAATCCCAAACCTCCTTCCTTTTTAGGGCGACTAAGTCTGTCCCAAGCATACCAATGAATACCTCGTTTCTCTTCCCCAGAACTCCACCAAAACCTTGCCAAAATCCCATCAATCTCTTCACAAGTTTCCTTTGGTAGTTTAAACATGTTCATTGTGTAGACCGGCATCGCTAAAGCCACCGCTTTGAGTAACACTTCTTTACCACCTTGAGATAAAAACTTTTTGCTCCAGCCTTGTGTTTTATCTTTGACTTTCTCCACTATGAAATGAAATAGATCCGCTTTCTTCTTATCAAATTGCTCAGGAAGCCCCAAGTACTTACCTCCTCCACCTTCATTGTGAATATTGAGAAGATTACGAATTCGTCGCTTGTTGTCATGTTTAACAAGATGACCAAAAGTAATGGCTGACTTCCTAAGATTGACTGCTTGACCCGAAAGCTCTTCATAGCGACTCAAAATACTCTTGATTGTTTGGCATGAACGTTGATTTGCCAAGAAGAAAAATAAAGAGTCATCTGCAAATAAAAGATGAGAAACTGCTGGTGCTTGTTTGCTGATTTTTATTCCTTGGATCTTCTTACTCTGTTCAGCCTGCTTCATCATATGTGATAGAACTTCAGCACATAAGATAAAAAGATACGGAGAGAGTGGATCACCTTGTCGAATTCCCCTCGTTGGGAGAAAATGACCATAGGGAGATCCATTAATCAGAACTGAAAACTGGACTGTTGTGACACAACTCATGATCCAAGAGATCCACCGCTGATTAAAGCCCATATGATGCATTGTTGCTTCCAGAAAATTCCATTCGAGACGATCGTAAGCCTTGGCGATGTCTGTCTTGAGAGCCATGTAGTATTTGGCTTGATGTTTCCTTGCTTTTAAAGTATGAAAAATCTCATGAGCAATCGTGATATTATCTGTGATCATACGCCCGGGAATGAAAGCAGCTTGATTTTCTGAGACCGCACCGGATAAATGCTTCTTCAAACGGTTGACAAGAATTTTGGAGATTATTTTGTAGCTTACATTACACAGAGCGATCGGACGAAAATCTGACATTGTTGTAGGCGCTTCAATCTTAGGAAGGAGACAAATATTAGTATGATTATGAGCCTGGTCAAAACCCTGTCCTGAGAAGAAACCTTGGACTTTCGTGTAGATTTCTGGATTGATGTCATTCCAAAACTGTTGATAGAATGCCCCGGTAAAACCATCTGGTCCAGGAGCTTTTGTAGGACCTACTGCAAATACAGACTCTCTGATTTCCTCCATTGTGACTTCTCTTGTGAGATCATCATTAATCTCATCTGTTATTCTTCGTGGAAAATTCTGAAAAACATCGCCGAAAGATGATTCTGGTGCTGGCTTTGATGTGTAGACACTTTCGAAATACTTGATTGCAACGCCAGCTATGTTTTGGTCTCCTCTACGAGCTACACCGTCCTCGTCTTCGATAGAGATCAGGTTGTTCCTATCTCTTCTGATTTTTGTGGCAGAGTGAAAGTATTTGGTGTTTCTATCTCCAAAATTTAGCCACCTGTTTCTGCTCTTAAGCTTCCAGTGCACTTCTTCATCAAAATACGCTTGATTCAAATCCCTTCTTAGTTTAGCTCTCTCTGAAGGTGTAGAATTTCCGGTGGCAATGGCTTTATTCAGGTGCCAACGGATGATTTTAATTCTTTCCGATGCATTGGAACGGTTCCTCTGTTTCCATTTGGATATGCCTCGACGACATTGGTGTAAACGGTGAACTATGGAGAAATTCTGGTCCCGAGAGACTTCTTGACCTATCCAAACTTGTTTCACTGTGTCTCTAAACCCGTCTTTATCATGTAGTCTACCATCATATCTGAAAAAACCTTTGCGTACAATACGTTGATTTGAAAAAGATGATACCAGAGGGCGATGATCTGATTCACCAAAATCCAGAAAATCTGTTTCTGCAAACGGGAAGAGAGAAAACCATTCATTATTGGCCATGGTCCGGTCCAAGCAACACAAAACATGATGTTGCCCTCTCTGACCAGCCCAAGAAAAACGATCTCCACTAGATTTTAGATCTGTGAAGTTGCAGGTTCTAACCATTCTTCTCAAATCACGAAAGGAAGCTTCAGGTCTTGCTCTACCCCCCTTTTTCTCATTGTTACCCAACAACTCATTGAAGTCACCCATGATTAACCAAGGAAGATCTTTCCTTTGAGTATGGATTCTCTCTAATCGTTCCCACAAGAGATTTCTCAGACTTGGGTTTGGATGGCCGTACACGAAAGACAAATAGAAATCTCCTTCATTACTATTCACAAAAAGATCTACAAGATTGGGAGATTGAAAGCAAAGGGAAATATTTACATGATTCTTCCAATACACTACTAAACCACCACTGCGACCATTAGGAGACACTATTACATGATTACTGAAACCCAACACACACCCCTTCTGTCTCACGTAGTTGTCACTTTGCTTAGTCTCTGAAAGGCAAATGATGTCCAGGAGATGCTGCTTGGAGATCTCCTTTAGGCGTCGAACTGTAGGGTCATTGCCGAAACCCTGACAGTTCCAACAGGCCGTCCTCATGGCGGAAGCGGTGGTTTTGGGCCCACCGCGCCTCTGCACTGGTACAAAATAGAAAACGATTTACTTTTCTAAATTGTTCATTATTTTCTTTTCTTTTTTTTTTAACAAAACTTTTCTTTTGCTTTTTTGTTTTAAATATCAAAAAGAGATAAAATTGATTGTTTGGATTATATCTTTAAGACTAAGACAACTTCTTAAGCCGGAAACGATCGCTTCTCTCCCTTTGTGAAACGTAATTTTGATGCAAGTTTTGAACAACTACACAAAAGTCTCGAATGGATGGATTGTTATTAGGGATCATAATGGCTTAGCAAAATGTTGGAGATCATCGGTTCCACCTAATGCCTTAATGATTTACTCAATTGTTAATAAAAATTTATTTTGACGAAAAAAAGGTCTATAAAATTGGGTAATTCATATCCTTAATTAAATAAATAATATTCCCGATATATCTAACAATCTTATAGAAAATTTGATGATTATCAACACATAAAATTACAAAGAAAAGAAAAGAGAGATATCATCAAAATTATTGTGTATATTCACCATGTTCCCCCACCGTCAATATAATTAACGATTAGGCTAACATCAAATTTTTCTTTCCTCTCCAAACCAACACACCACACACACACACACAAAGAGAGAACAAAAATAAAAAATGGCTTCCCAGACCAATTCCTACACCGTGCCAGAAATAGTGACCGGATATCCAATTCCATCGTCCTTGGCCACTCCTCCTTCTCCTCGTCGTAGATGGTGGTCACGACCAATAGTGACTGTGCCGCAACCGCATGTTCGTGAAGCCACTTGTATGGAAACTACGGTTTGTTGTACACCTTGTTGGGCCGGCTCATTCACCATCCTCGCCGTTTATTTATTGATCTTTCACGTCATCGATAATGCTCGCTGCCACGCCAAATTCTCCATCCAATCCATCGCTGTCTCTCCCTCCTCCGCCACGTGGCACGTTGATTTCCTCGTCAAAAACCCTAGCTCCAGGTATTCACACCAATCCAACTAATATTAAATATATGTGATGCTCGAAGCAATGGTTTCTTGTGTCTATGGTCTTGCAGGTACTCTATCTACTACGGAGCCAATGAAACTACAGTGAGTCTCGGTCCTTTGAACGCTGCCGTTTTAGATACTTTTCACGAACGTAAGTCTCCAAGTTACACGGCTTTCTCAGTGGATTTCGTTGCCGAGGGTAATCCAAACGGAGTCGTTTTCGAAGAATTATATATCAAATTAAAGGCGACTCGTAAGGTTTACAGATATGTCTTTAATAACGCTGGACATATTGATATAAGGTGTCATAATCTAACCCGAAGCTATGAGAACGTTGAGAGGATTCAATGTCACTCTTCTTACACAAAGTTGGAGACTATTGGTCGATAAGTTCTTATGATTAGGCCTTTTCACCATAATCTTTTTTTTTTTTTTTTTCTGTTTTGACTCGAGATCTTTTTTTCTTCCATTTGTGTGAACTTTATTATTTTTATTTTTTAACAACTGATTTCACTTAATATTTACCAATTGTTTACATATTCTTCAAAGAGAAGTGTATTAATTATTTTGAGAAATTAATTACCGCTTTTAACCAAATTTTAAAAAATTACTGTTAACAATTCTATTAGATAAGAGTCTCTACAAGATGATGACCTAAAACCCAATATCCGTTTATCCAATTTGGAATATTAATGGAGGATAACGCAAGATTGGTAATGCATGAGATATATAAGACATGATATTAATTGATTCTTCGGTCAAGTATTTGTTAAGTCTTATTCGATGCTTGCTAACGGAATTGGTGGAAAGGTACTTCACACAAAGATGGCCGTAAAGTTTGTGCTTGGAAGGGTAAGGATCAAATGGGCTTTTATCACTCTTGATTAGCTTATCCATTAAAAAAAAAAAAAAAACACTATGCATTGGATGCCAGAATGAATTTAAGCTCTACTCAACTATGAGGAATTCTGCAGAAACATGAAACGTTTTAATATGTACTCGACGGAATTACATTTCCAAATTAAAACGTTAAATGTAAACAAACAAAAAAAGCATACCATTCAAGCAATATAATTATTCAATTATTCCATTATGTATTTGACATACCAGTCTGTAACTATTTGTATTTTGCTTCATGATCATGTAAACGATGTTCAAATTTAACTAAAAAATACGTTAGTTCCAATTTCAACGTTAGAAATTAAGTTCCAGTTTTCTTGAATGTTTAGTCTTAATCTCTCTCTCTCTCTTTTTTTTTTTTTGAATTTTGTATAATGTAACTTAGAATAAGGTAAGTTTTAAAAATTCCAAACTATGTTATTTAGAATAAGGAGCATTTAAAATTAAAAACTATCTGCAATTTATTAATACTAATAATTAGAGTAGATAAACGAGCCAAAAGAAAGGAAAGATATCAGTTAGATTTGCTTTCGAGTCATAATATCATTAAAGTATATCTAAACAAACATAATATATTAGAAATATATTCAAAGGCTAAATATAAAACAAAAAGGAATCAAAATATTATTCATATATATATACACATTATTATATTAGTGTTTTCTTTTCATCACGAAGTGTTAAACATAATAATGCCAAGATCCGACGAACCCATAGATATTACTCCTGCTTGTTGTTGCACTTATTACTCTTCTTTCGTTGGTTTCGTCTTCCTTCTTTCTCTCTACATTTTTTCACTTATGAATATTTCCGACAAATCATATTGTTACGTAGAGCTTTTTGCCGATTCAGTCTCCGTCTCAAACGCAAACGTTTCAGCCCCTAATTGGACGATTGGTATCGTTGCGAAGAGTCCAAACACCGGCTGTAAAATCTCTCTACATACACTCAATGCACGTTTACTCCGAGGTGGCGAAGTTATCTCCAAATCAGCATCTTTATCGTCCGATTTTTTCGTAACCGGAGGCAAACCAAATGTCTTTTTCGACAAACCAGATGTCCTTTTCGAGAAGGTGGTTATGCCGGAAGTTAGTGGCGACGTGATTTGGGATCTTCGGGTTGAGATTTTGTTTGCATTGGACACAGATGCTCTCTATTTACACGGTTTTTTGATCGCCGTTTGTCCCGCTATTCCGGTGAAATTCACGACGGATCCGGCGGGGAAGGTGATGGGATCGTTGCTTGGACATATGAGATGGTGCAATTATGAATTCCGGGAAAATTTGGATTCTTCCAATTCGATTTTTAATTCTCTTCGATCTTGAATCTATTAGGAGAGTTTTTGGCTTTAGGTTAGTTCGAATTGGGATATTAAGCAACATTGGGTATATTAATCTATAATTTTTCTTTTCCTTTTGTCCCAAAGTTTTAATCACGTGGCTATATTGTTACGAACAATACTTGGGTTCACCCATAGAATATAACTTTTCTATTCACCCCTATTTTTTCTAACCAATAAGAATCTGCCATCTATTAAATATTAAAAAAATTAATAAGTTATCTATTAGTTGATTTTGATTTTGTCTAGAAGATATTATATATCATAAAATATTAAATCTAAAGAGTTGATTTTGTCATCCAATTAATTCATTATACAATTTAATTATTGATTGTGTTTCTAAATAATTTATATCCCGAAGTATCATAACAAACTTTCTTATGAACAAAATAAATTGTAAACCATGCTCCCTCATTCGTCTATATGATTAAAGATTAGATAAACATCAAAATCATTCTTTCCACTCCAAACTAACACACACGCACACGAAGAGAACAAAAAATAAGAATGGCTTCCCAAACCAATTCGTATACCGTGCCGGAAGTAGCGATCGGATATCCAATGCCACCGTCCTCGGCCACTCCTCCTCGTCGTGGATGGTGGTCACGACCAATAGTGACAATGCCGGCAGATCGTAAACCCACTTGCAAGGAAACTACGGTTGTCCTTACACCATGTTGCGGCGGCATATTCACCGTCATCGCCGTTTTTTTATTAATCTTTCAAGTCATCGACGAGGCCCACTGCCACGCCAAATTCGCCATCCGATCCATCGCCGTCTCTCCCTCCTCCGCCACGTGGCACGTTGATTTCCTCGTCAAAAACCCTAGCTCCATGTATTTATACCAGTCCAACAAAGATTATATATCTATATATATATATATATATATCTCTATATATATTATATATTTTTCCTCCGAATTTTATGATATGATGCTTATGTTTTCTTGCAGGTATACTATCTACTACGGAGTAAGTGAAACTGCGTTGAAGCTCGGTCCCTTAAACGCGGCCGTTTTAAATACTTCTCACAAACGTATTTCTCGACGTCACACGGCTTTCTCAGTTGATTTCGTTGCCGAGGGTAACCCAATCGTTTTGGAGCAATTAGATATCAAATTAAGGGCGACGCATAAGGTTTATGGAAATTATTATGATGACGCTGGACATATTGATATAAGGTGTTATAATCTTACCCGAAGTCATGAGAATGTCGACAAGATTCAATGTCACTCTTCTTTCACAGAATTGGAACAAGTAGATTAAGACCTTTTAGATATTAATGTTTCAATTAGGCTTTCTACTTCATCATCTTTTATTTTTTGTTAGATATCCCGAGGCTGAGTATGTATCAAGATTTTTTCTTCCAATTTTTTTTTTCTTCCATACAATTGTGTAAACTATATCTTAACTTTATAAGCACCTCTAACAAAGAAGAACACATACAACTCTATATATTCTCAAATGCTCAATTTATAGAGTTTCCATATATATAGTGAGAACTTAATTATGGATTTTAAGCAAATAAATAAATACTGTCGACAACCTTTGATCACCTAAAGCACACGGACAACATAATCGGCTGGTTCCCAAACCAACCGAGATTACGAGCTACTTTGAGAAATATAGGGATATTAAATAAAGGATCGTAACTAACTTTTAATACTGTCGTTGATTTAGGTGATTTCCGAAGAAAGTAAGAAGTTCCTATTCTAGTGTTGAATATATAAGTAGTTCCGATTTTGTTCAACAGTTTTACTCACTTTTGATGTTTGCTTCCGTTGAGTGCTTTTTTAATCTACTAATTTAGACTAATTTTGTTATTATTTAGTGTTATTACTTATTAGATTAATAAGTTAAGCTAGTATTATTAATATTAATAATTAAAGCAGATAAACAAGGCTCCCTTATTAGATTTGCTTTCGAATCAAAATATTCTTCAATATGCTAAACAAACCTAACTTATTAGAAAAAATAAAGGCTAAAATATATATAATTTTTTTTTTAAAACGCGCGCCTTCATTTAGTTATTATTGTTATTATTTTTATTTTTTTTTGTATAACATTTTAGGTACTCTTATATAATTTGTTGTTATCTTCTCATTTCATCATGAAGTGTTAAACATCCCACATGGAAAATTCTCAATGTACCTCTTGTGGCCTCATTCACCAACCTGGCCAATGTCGCCGGGAAATTTCAACCACCTCTCTCCGAGTGGGAGAGCCCGAAGATGTTACTCCAGCTCTTTGCTGCGCTATGTATCTTTGTTATACTGGTTTCTTCTCCCTTTTCTTTCTCTTCGCTATAGGTGCCGCAGCACTTGCCAGCGTCAGAGATAGTTGCTACTTGGAGTTTTTTGCCGATTCCGTCTCCGTCTCAAACGCAAACGTGAACGCAAACGTTTCAACCGCTGATTGGAGAATCGGTTTTGTTGCGACGAGTCCAGTCACCGGCTGTAAAATCTCTCTAAATAGAGTCCAATCTCGTTTACTCCGAGGTAACGAAGTTATGTCCAATTCATCATCTCCTTCGTCTGATTATTTCGAACAATTCGGTGCCGGAGACAAAACAAATGTCCGTTTCGAGAAGGTGGTGATGCCGGAAGTTATTGACGACGTCATTTGGAATTTTCGGGTTGAGATTATGTCTGCAGTGAACACATATGTTAGATATGGAAACGGTTTTTTGATGGCGACTTGTCCCGATATTCCGGTGAAATTCACGACGGATCCGGCAGGAAATGTGGTGGGATCGTTGTTTGGGAATATGAGACGGTGTGATTTTATATTCCAGCATAAATGGGATTCTTCCAGTTAGATTCTTAGTTCTCTCCGATCATGAAATATTTACGATCTCTATATACGAGATTTTTTAGCTTTAGGGTTTTTTTTTTTTTTTGGTGACAGCTTGGCATAATTTAGTTTATTTATAGTTAGAATTGAGAAAATAAGATGGGATAGTAATCACATCGTTCAAATTTATAATTGTGTCTTTAATTTAAGATCAATTAATTTGTTATAGTTTTTCTTAAACTATACGCGGGATAACGCAACTGAATGAAGTCGAACTCCGGTGGAGTATGCGGAGACAAATGGACTTAAACACTTGACTAAAAGCACATTCCCCAATTAACTTGATTTAGTTTAAGATCTATAAATAATGTTAAATTAAGAAGTTGCTGGAACTTGGAAGATACATAGAGTATTTCTTTTCAATATATAAATCGAGTGTTCGGAACTGGAGCTATCATCATTTAAATTGAATTGAATAATATAAACTACAAAGAAATAAAGGGAGTCTACTTTATTAGAAAAAAAACTCTTACCATAAACTAAAATAAGAGGATTACAAAAACAATCCAGCTAATGGAAAGCAAGAAGAGTTCCGAATTCATTACATGATGCTATCGGATGCTTTGAAAGACGAATGGCACTTAGTCTTCTGATAACCGAGAGTCAGATTCTGACACCTGATATTATAATGTCCATATTCATCTAGAAACGCAAGATACTTCTTCTTCCCACTAAGTTTCATGTCCAATTCGAAGGCTACTCTAGGAGAAACTGCAACGACGTCGCTTTGATTTCCACCCGTAGCTAAATCCACCGAGAAACTAGTGTGACCGCCATGTGAACCATGCTTGCGAGATGTTTTCAAAACGGCGGCGTTTATGGAACCTAGCTTGGCGTACACGTTCTCTGCGTTGTAGTTGATAGGACTGCATGAGCTCGGTTTTTTCACGAGGAGATTGACGCGCCACGTGGTGGAAGAGGGGGGAACGGAGATGGATTCGACGGAGAAGCTGACGTGGCAGAAAAAGATGTCGAGGAAGAGAAACATGTTCATAACGGCAAAGAGTGTCAAGAAGCTGTAGTAAAAGGGTTTAAATATAGCTGATCTCTCTTCTTCGGTGAGTTCTTTACGACGTAGAAATAATGAATGTAGTTGTGTCCACCACCGTGAAGGAGGAGGAGGAGGATCAGTGGCGGAGGACGGTGGTGCTGGGAATCCGGTCAATATTTCGAGTGGCCTGTTTGCCATTTTCTTTTGGTTTTTGTGTTTAGGGTATGGAATGAAGAATGACTTGGATGTGATCTTGAATTTTAAGATACGAGAGAAAGATGATAGGCAATATTTTCGATTGATTTTTTACTTAAGAATTTTTTATGTTCTATTTCATTTAAGATTTTGTGAGTGGATATGAAAGTTTGTTATTATATGCAGGGGAATTATCATCACAAACTTTTTTTTTTTTTTTTGGCAAAGGGAATTATCAGAAACATTATCACAATTGAATAGGTCGTTGGAAAAAAAGATTTGGCAATCTTTTTTTTTTTTTTTTTCATCATAAGATTTGGCAATCTACGTGCCGTAACTAAAATTACCAAATACGTCAATAAAATCAATTATAAGCTAGTATATTGTTAGGATACTTGAGAATTGAGATATATGAATTGACGACCTTAGAGATCATTTATCTTCTCAAAAATGACAAGGTCTCTTTGTACTTCTTGTGGTCTCAGGAGCAGGCACTGCCAATGTCATCAGCAAGTTTCAACCGCCCCAAACGCAAATGCAAACGGTAACAATGGGGAAAGAGCGTTCAAGCTTACACCAGCCTCCTTCTGCGTTTTATACCTCATGTACACACTCGCATTGTTTGGATTCTCCTTCACCTTCTCTATGTGTACAGTCGTCATTCCCGAAAAACTTAGCGGGTCTTGTTACTTGGACGTCTTTGCTGACTCCTTCTCTGTCTCAAACGCCTCAAACGCAAACGCAACCGCTGATTGGAACATCGGGTTTACAACAAGGAATCCAGGTAACGGATGTAAAGTCTCTCTCCACACAATCAAGTCGCGTCTCCTCCGCGGAGGCAAGCTTATCTCCGAGTCATCCACTCCTGATTATTTCGGTTTACTCATAGCCAGAAAAATCAATGATGTACCGCTTCCTTTTGTCGTTTTCAAAACGGTTCCAACGCCCAGCAACGGCGTGGTTTGGGATCTTCGGGTCGAAGTCGTGTCTAGCTTTAAGAGAACCGGTCGGGCCGGTCATGGAGATGGTTTCTTGGTCGTCACTTGCAGCAATATACCGGTAAATTTCACGGCAGATCCGGCTGGAAATGTGAATGGATCGTTGATTGGATATATGAGGCCGTGTGAGTATTTAGTCCAGGAAGAGTATACGGACACATCCTTTTAGACTCTCTGATCATGAATCTATCTCTTTTACGAGTGCTTGGCAGCTAGCTAGGGCTTGTGGATTTGTTCTCTTTTAAAAGTTCTTTTTTTAATAGATAGGATTAAGCACATGGTTGCTCTTTTTTACGCCAAAGGAAAATAACATATTATTATGCGATCTATATTTGTTTTATCTCACTAAATGGACTTAGTATATATTGATGATGCAGCACATACTTACATGAGATTATATACAAGGATTGGAGAATCAAGTAGTTAATTAGTGGTCAAAATATTATACTTACTACATTATACGGATGTGACATAATTAGAAGGATTCATAACTTGCAATGTATGTTTTGAGATTTCAAATTTTATTTATTGGGTATAAACGGTTTTCAATTTTTATGAGGTTTTCAATTTAAATAAAAGAATTGATATATATATATATATATACTGGCCTTTCAAAATAAAGAAGCAAAAGAACCTCATAAAAGAGAGTGGTTGGAATCAATATTAAGTAATTTTATATCATTTTTTTTTGTGACAGATGTTTACAAAGATATATGGGAAGTGGAGAAAAACCAAAAATCTAGAAAGCAAAAAATAAATACAACAAGCCACTAACAAGAAGCAGGAAGGGAAGATATAGAAGCATGAGAAAGACTTTTTGGCAGTTATCCAACAAACTTGGATCCGGGGTTTCAAATTCGTGTGTTTTTAAGGAGATTGTGAACTGTTTATTAACATCGTCAGAGGTGCATCGAAGAACGGTGCATTAACTAATCTAATCAAGGATATATATTTTTGGACGTTGAAATTCACTGGCATTCAATTCTGCTTTACCAAAAGAGAAGGCAATGAAGCAGCTCATTATTTAGCAAAATTTGGGTGTAGTGCTTCTAATTATTATTCACACTCTGTATCCCAGCCACCTTAGCTACAAGAACAATTGTGTATTGATCTCATAAATTCAATATAAATTTGTTTTGATGAAGAAAAAAAAAGTTATCAACATAAACCAAGTGTCGATAGCTGAACTAGTAAAGACTCTGAACCAAGGTCGCCGGTTCGAGTGACACTTGGGAGGAGACCATATAAAATGCTATGATCTATGATTTGGGAGCATATACGGACTTAGGCTCAAAACCTCTTTATCATTAAAAAAAAAAATTACAACATACATCTAATAGATATTTTATCTTTAAATTAGATATTTAAATATTAGAGAAATGATTTTTTCATCCAACTAATTGATCACCTAATTCAGTTCTTGATTAAATAATATCCCGAAATATCATAACACACTTTTTTTTCGTTGAAATCAAATAACACACTAACGATTAGGTTAACATCAAATCTTTCATCCTTTCCAAACCAACACACACAAAAAGAGAGAGAACCAAAAAAACATGGCCTCCCAAACCAATTCTTACACCGTTCCAGAAGAAGTGATTGGGTATCCTATGCCACCGTCCTCAGCCACTCCTCCTCCTCGTCGTGGATGGTGGACACGACCAATAGTGACTTTTCCGGCAGAGCATGATCGTAAACTCAATTGCAAGGAAGCTACGGCTTTTATGACACCCTGTTGCGGCGGTATATTCACCGTCATCGCCATAATGGTATATATCTCTCACGTCATCAATGCTCACTGCGACGCCAAATTCTCCCTCCAATCCCTCACCGTCTCTCCATCCTCCGCCACATGGCACGTTGATTTTCTCGTCAAAAACCCTAGCTCTAGGTATTCGCACCGATCCAACAAAGATTAGTTATATACTTATATTTAATTTGTTCCAATATTTTTCTCATAATAATCTGATGCTTGAAGCAACGACATCATTTTGTCTATGTTCTGGACCGGATCTTGCAGGTATACTATCTACTATGGAGACGATGAAACTGCGGTGAGGCTCGGTTCCTTCAACGCTGCCGTTTTAAATACTTCTCACCAACGTATGTCTCGAAGTCACACGGCTTTCGCAGTCGATTTCGTTGCCGAGGATACTCAAAATGCCGACGACGTTGGTAAGCAATTAGATATCAAATTAAGGGCTAAGCATCAGGGTTACGGAGAGGATTATCCTGAAGCTGGACATGTTGATATAATGTGTCATAATCTGACCCGAAACCATGAGAAGGTCGAGAAGATTCAATGTTACACTTCTTTCACATCATTGACAGAAGCACTAGTATATTAAAGACGTTTTTGAAATTGTTTAAATTAGGCTTTCTACTTTTTCCATTATCTACCTTTCCATTTTCTGTTTTTCGTCAATATATTAAGATCCTTTTTTCTTCCATACAAAAAAAGAGAGGAAAAAAACAGAACTCCAAAAAAATAGTGATAACTTTGCTACAAAAAAAAAAATAGTAAGAACGTAATTTTATTATCGCTTTTAACCAAAAAAAAAAAATATAATACTGTTGACATATGTGATTTCCTAAGTAGTTCCGTTTTTTTTTTTTTTTAAAATGGTTCCTATTTCAGTGTTAAAAATAAAAGTAGTTCCGATTTCCTTTTAACAGTTTAACTCAAAACATTAACTTTTAAAATAAATAAAGATGTCTCTTAGATTTGCTTTCGAATCAAAACATTAGCTTTTAATTTGTTATTTAGTTACTAGCTAGACCCCTAACTATATCTATTAGTTATTATTTTTTCACCCGGAAGTGAATAAACTTAATTCCATAATGGCAAATTCTCAATGCAACTCTTGTGGCCTTATTCACCAAGATGGCCAATGTCGCCTGCAAACTTCAACCACCCCTCCCAGCAAGCACGACGATATTACTCCAGCGTTTTGCTGCTATATTTACCTTTATACCATTGGTATTTTATTGTTTTTAATTCTCGGCTCTATAGGTATTTCCAAAATTCACGGCAAAACCAGCATTTGTTACGTGGAGCTTTTTGCCAATTCCGTCTCCATCTCAAACGCAAACGCTTCAGCCGCTGATTGGAGAATCGGTTTAGTTGCGAGGAGTCCAGTCACTGACTGCAAAATCTCTCTAATGATACTCAAGTCGCGTTTACTACGTGGCGACCAAGTTATCTCCAATGCATCATCTCCTTCGTCAGGTTATTCCGGAAAAGTTGTCGCCGGAGACAAAACAAATGTTGTTTTCGAGAAGGTGGTGATACCGGAAGTTATTGGCGACATTATTTGGGATTTTCGGGTTGAGATTAAGTCTATAGTGAGCACAAATGCTGGACATATAAACGCTTTTATGATGGCGGTTTGTCCTGATATTCCGGTTAAATTCACGACGGATCCGGCTGGAAATGTGATGGGATCGTTGCTTGGAAATATGAGACGGTGTGATTATATATATTAAATTCCGGCGTAACTTGGCTTAATTCTCTCCGATCATGATGACTCTTGCTATGATCTTTATTTCTTGGCCTTGGGTTAATTTTGTTTTTGGCAAGATTATTTTTGTTTTTTTGATTATTTTTTGATAAATGTTTTATTTTTTAATTAGATAAAATAAGATGGGATATTGATTAAGAACATGGTTATGATCTATAATAGTTGGGAAAAAGAAAAAGAGAACCATATGGTTACATATTGTTATTCATATCTTTAGGCCAAAGATTTGTTGTTTCCCACAAAAATTTTCTTTCCTAATTTGATTTAAATAGAAATAGATCATCAAAAACTAATACTATGGAATGGCCCACAATTGTTTAACTTTTATTTAGCCGCGATCATGAAAAGTGTTTATAAGTAATAATAATTACAAATATTTATTGATATTAATAATTAAAGTACTTGAACTGTTGAACAAGACTACTTCCCTAGATTTGCATTCGAATCAAACCGTTCGTCAAGTCTCTATACAAATATGACATATTAGAAAAAAATGAAGGCTATAATATACATAAATTATAAAAGAAAAGCTTCATTTAGTTACTATATATATATATATATATATATAAGTTGTTGTTATCTTCTCTTTTCATCATGAAGTGTTAAACATCTAACATGGAAAGTTCTCGATGTACCTCTTGTGGCCTCATTCACCAGCATGGCAAGTCATACGACCCATACCGTTACAATTTTTTTAACGATGAAGAAATGATAGAGTTTACTTTATGCGAAGAAACACATGCAATAAAATAAAATAAGAGGACTAAAAGAAATCCATTTTTTTTTGTAGAAAAAGAAACAGCTAACGGAAAGCAAGAAGAGTTCCTAATTCAATAGCTTACGTATCGTGTTATCCAACGATTTGAAAGACGAATGACACTTAGTCTTCTGATAACCGATAGTCAGATTCTGACACCTGATATCGAAATGTCCATATTCACATCCAAACGCAGGACTTTTCTTCTTCGTACTAACACTACAAAAAAAATTGAATATTCTTACGAAAAAATTGTGACCATTTTTTCCGTAAGAAGATTGTGACCATTTACATACTAAATTGTGACGTATATATTTCGTCATAAAAATGTTACAATTTCGTTATAAAATTGTGACTGAATTGAAAGTAACCAATTTTTGTCACTAATTATGTCGAATTTGTTACAAAATATATAGTCACAAATATAAGTACGGATTTGCGACCAAATATGGTAACTAAATTATACGATTTTTGTGACTAAATTTACGTCACGTCTAGTTACAAGCGTTTTGTAACTACCCTGTCACAATTTGTCACTATTTTTGTGACTTTTGCGTTTGGTCATAGATTGTGGCATATAATTGTTACCATTTTTGTAACAAGAACAAAAACGTGTGAACCAAAAGTTAAACCGAATTGCTGGTTCGTCTGAACCTTCTCATTGGAATAAACATTCTCAAGGGAGATTTGGAGATTGTAAGAACGTAAAAAGAAAGATTTAGAGATTGTAAGTTTCAATGGACAAAACGAGACTTCAATAAACCTGCATACATCCTTTCTAAGCAACAAATTCCTCAAGATTCACATTATTATTTTCATTATTTGGTTCTTTTTGTAATCTCAAATGCTCTCCACTATAACTTTGTCTTTTTAATTAATAAAGAGAACGTTGATGGCCAAAAAAAAAAAACGAAAATAGCTTCAATATTGGACATAAAAAAATGAAAATACATAAAAATTTGAAAAAATTAAAAATGACATAGAAAAAATTTAAAATTATTACTCAGATTCGTCACTAGTTAATTCGATATCAGAATTTCCATCTTCAGCATCTGATTCAACTTCGGCTTCTACTACTGGATCATCAAGATCTTCTGGTTGGCCATCTACACATGATAGTGTCTCGAAGTACAATGAATCAGATTCAACAATAGAATCATCGTTATCATGTTGCATTGCAGTGAAATCTAGATTTTGGTTGATCAATACTTTCCCTCTCGGTTGTATCATAATTGCTGCTTCCCATTGTTGATCTTTTTTTGGCCGAGTCATCCGCGGATATGGAACATAACATACTTGATCTACTTGTGAAGCCAAAACAAAAGGATCGTACTCTTCATAATGCCTTTTAGCATTAATGTCAATAATCCCTGACTTGTTTCTTCGTATACCTCTCCCAATTTTTGAATCATACCAATCACATTTGAAGACCACAACCTTAAGATCAACAGGTCCAGGATAAGAAAGCTCATAAATCTCTCTCAATATTCCATAGAAATCAGCGTCTTCACTTGAGCTAGAAGATGTTGTACCTCTGACACAAACTCCATAATTGGCATTCTTTTTGTCCTTTCCATGATCATATGTATGAAATATGTATCCACGACAAAAATACATTGGCCAACAAGTGACTTTAACCATTGGACCTTGAACGAGACCCATCAACCACTTTGGATACGAATTATCGTTCCAAGTATCCTCCACCTGATTCCATATAAACAACACATACTATATTATAAGCTATCAAGTATGTATCGCATATATAAAAAAGTATCTTACATGTTTTTTTAACCAGCTTGAATATTGCTTTTCTCTAAGCTCCGTTAGATCTTTTTCACTTATCCCATGATTAGCCGCAATCATGCTCTCATCAAATAACCTATATATACATATTACTCATGAAGAATAGTTACAATGTATTATACTAATCCTTCAAAAAAATATAATTTCAAATACATGTGCATATTAAATTTTCATACCTTTCAAATGGTCTTAATTGGTCACAGTTCCGCAAAATATATCTATGTGCGATACTGTAGTCTTTATCTTGGAGCCATATCTCATTTTCCTTCCCACTGCCCCTCCCCGCCTGAGAAAATATATATGGCCTTCTATCAAACTCATGTGTATCTTCTTGATTACCTCCGTCATAGTGTCGATCTCCTGCTCGGCTTTTTGTCTTGATGTGTCGTTCAAAGTAATAAGTACAAAAAGTAGAAATTTCTTCATTGATGTATTGCTCAACAATCGAACCTTCTACTTTTGCCTTATTTTTCACCTTTTTCTTTAGATGGCCCATGTATCGTTCAAAACAATACATCCATCTAAACTGCACAGGTCCTCCAAGACTAGCTTCGTGTGGCAAGTGAATTACCAAGTGCTCCATGACATCGAAAAAAGAAGGAGGAAATATTTTTTCCAAGTTACAAAGAACCATACAAATATTTTTTTGCAACATTGCAACACCATCTTTGTGTATAGTTCTTGCACATAAGTCCCGGAAAAATAAGCTAACACCTACATAAAAAAAAAAATAGTTAATGATCATATATAAAAAAGCCATTAACGTCTATTAAATAAAATATAATAAAGAAAATGCAGAGAGAATAAAATAAATTATACGAATGTTGAAAACTTACTAGATAGGGCATCATGTACAGATTTATCCATAAGCTCAGCAAACGCAATTGGAAATAGTCGTTGCATTAGAACATGACAGTCATGACTTTTCATCCCTGTTAATTTTTTTCCCGGTAGATCAACACAGTTAGCTAAACTTGATGAATATCCATCTGAAAATTTAACATCCTTTTGGAGCCATCGTAGAAATACTTCTTTGGCATCATGTTTTAGTCTAAAAATTGGGATTGGCGCCTTTCCATCAGGTGTTAAGTGCAACTCTTTGCGATTACAGTGCTCTTGCAAATCAAGCCGTGATTTGATGTTATCTTTCGTTTTTCCCTGCACATTCAACAACGTATTGATGAAAACTCTTTGATTACCCTCCGTAGCTAAATCCACCGAGAAACTCGTGTGACCGCCACGCGAACCACGCTTGCGCGAGGTTTTTAAAACAGCGGCGTTTAAAGAACCTAGCTTGGCGTACACGTCATCTCCGCTGCAGTTGATAGGACACCATGAGCTCGGGTTCACAAGAAAATCGACGTGCCACGTGGCATAACAGGAGGGGGAAACGGAGATGGATTGGACGGAGAAGTTGACGTGGCAGAAAAGTTTGTCGATGTATAAGAAGATGGTCATAACGGCAAAGAACGTCAAGGCGCCGCACAAATAGGGTTTTAAAAATATAGCTGATTTCTCTTCTTGAGTGAGTTCGTTACGACGAAGGAATAATGAATACAGTTGTGTCCACCACCGTGATGGAGGAGGAGGATCAGTAGCGGAGGACAGTGGCGTTGGGAATCCGGTCTCTATTTCCATCTGCCTGTTTGCCATTTTCTGTTTTCGTTTTGTTGTTTAGGGTATGGAATGAATAATGATTTCGATGTGACCTTAAATCACAATATTTTTGATTGATTTTTATAAGATTTTGTTAGTAAGATATGAAAGTTTGTTATGATATATAGGGGATAATCAGAATTGAATATAGGTAATTAGTCGGAAAAAAAAAAACTTCTTTTTTCTTCTTCTAGTTGCTTTTAAGATTTTTGTAAGTGGATATGAAAGTTTGTTATGATCTTTCGGGGGAAGTGGGGAATATTTTTACGAAATTTAAGAATTGAGATACATAATAAGTATCTAGTTACGTTGCAATAGTTTATTAGAAGAGCCTTAATCATCCAAACATTTAGCTAGTTATATTATCCTTAAACTAATTACGTATCTTCGCATGAAAAATTTACAAGCAAAATGACAAGGTCTCTTTGTACTTCTTGTGGTCTCAGGAGTAGATACTGCCAATGTCATCTGCAAAATTCAACTGCCTCAAACGCAAACGCAAACGCAAATGCAAACAGTGACAACGGAGGAAGAGCGTTCAAGCTTACACCAGCCTCCTTCTGCTTTTTCTACTTCATGTATGCCCTCGCATTTTTTATATTCTTCTTCAGCTTTTATATGGGTACAGTCTTTCCCCACCACATCCTAAAAGGTGTTTGTAACTTGGAGGTCTTTGCTGACTCCTTCTCCATTTCAAACGCCTCAAACGCAAACGCAACCGCTGATTGGAACGTCGGGTTTACAACAAGGAATCCAGGTAACGGATGTAAAGTCTCTCTCCGCACCATCAAATCGCGATTGCTCCGCGGAAACAAGCTTATCTCCGAGTCATCCACTCCTGATTATTTCGGTTTACTCGTAACCGGAAAACTCAATGATGTACCGGTTCCTTATGCGGTTTTCAAAACGGTTGCAACGCCCCGCAAAGGCGTGGTTTGGGATATCCGTGTCGAAGTTGTAACTAGCGTTAAGATAAACGGTCGATCCGGTCATGGAGATGGTTTCTTGATCGTGACTTGCCGCGATATACCGGTAAATTTCACGGTAGATCCGGCTGGAAATGTGAATGGATCGTTGATCGGATATATGAGGCCTTGTGAGTATTTAGTCCAGAAGGAGTATACGGACCCATCCTTTTAGACTTTCTCTTCGATCATGAATCTATCTCTCTCTTTTACATGTGCTTGGCGTTAGGGTTAGTGAATTTGTTTCTTTCTTTCCAAACCATTTGACTATCACAGATTACATATTGTAGCTCTTTTTTTTATTGCCAATGGACAAATACATATAATTGTGCGATCTATAATTTCATTTATATATCTCACTAAATTGGCTTAATGTATATTGACGAATGCAGTTACATGAGATTATATAAACAAGGGCTGGAGGATTAAGTAGCTACTGGTCAAATATAATATTTGCTACTATTTAGCGAGGGATGTGGGGAAGATTAGAAGGATTCATATCTTGCCATCTATGTTTTGAGATTTTAAAGGTTATACCACAAACTATGAAAAATTATATTTATTTATCTTGCTCAAAGTTTGATAAAGACTAAGAAAAAGTTTTCAAAATTTCACACGATAAGAACTTCTATTGGGGGATGTGCCTTTAGTCAAGTGGTTATAGTCCATCTGACTCCGCTTTCTCCACCGGAGTTCCATTCCACGAAGTCTCGTCGTGAAAGTTTATTAGAAAACCTCCTTTGGTTTACCCTAAGGGTCTCCGCAATCACATGCCCAAAATTTTCGTGATGGGTGCAATTTGTTTTCAAGCTAGAGGTTTTTTTTGAGTTAAGGTAGAACTAATGATGGAACCAAATATAGTAACCAAGACGGAGAACATCTTTTTTTTTGTACAAAGTACAAACTGCTTGAAAACCGTCTCTTGATATATTACCAACCTTAACAATATTTTGTATGCAGAAGACAAGCGGGCTATATATTACCGAAGAGTAAGAATTACCAATATCAGTATTGGACATTTAATGGTTATAACTTAAAACCCAGCTAATCTTTTTTTTTAGAAACAAAAAATTATTGTTTAAATTATATTTGAATACTATTTTACATATATTAAGAAATTAATATTATTGAAAGGGCCACAATTTTTTTTCCAGACCGTCATTTCCATTTGGTCGGCCCATATATGTTATCTGAATGTGATAACAAATTTATTTATTTCTAAATTTCTAAAAATAAAAAACGATATGCGTAGCTGCATAAAGAAGACTAGATCATCACCCGTACTACAGTACGGGTTAAATTTTATTTATTACAAAATTTATATATTATATATTTTAGAATAAAGTTGTGATATATAATAATAGTAATTGAAAAAATATAATTAGATTTTTGTCAGTCCCTATATATAATATTAGAATGAATATCTTTTTTTTTAATTATACTCAATTATGGATTTTTTTTAAAGATATGAAAACAGAAAATAAAATTATTTTAATAAATTAATATAGTCTGAAAAATGAGTAAATTTATATTAACAACCACAAAATGAGATTGCATATAATTCAGTTAGATCAAAAATCAAAATATTATAAATGAATCGCTTCTAAAACGTAGATTATTTTTAATTAATTAAGATAGTTAGCTATTATTTTGAATTAATTTAGAAAATTCTTTTTTCAATTTCTAATTCTTTGGTTGTTGAAATAGAGATTTGTTTGAGGTAACTACGGAATTTATCAATTATTCGCGTAATCGAATATGTTACGAACATATATTTAGTATATAATATACCAAATTCAACCCGTGCGTGGAGTCTATATTTTTATTTTAGAATCCGAATGAAAATATTGCGTGCACAATCTATTATTCGTTATTTCCAAAATTGCTTGCACAATCAAATTTTCAAATATTTTGAGGTGTCAACTTTATTTAATCTATCTGATCATATAATCTTAACATGCCTTCTATTATAAGGATCATAATTTTATATCATATAATATATTACATGTAACCCTCCGCCTACTATAAGTTTATAACTATTTTAAATATATCTTTTTAGAAAATTATAGTATTTATAATTTTTTTAATCTTTTTAATCTATTAAATATTTATGAATTATGATATTCATTAAAATATTAAATTAAACTATTTTTAAATGTTCCAATTAAAATCTTTAAAAATATTTCTTTTAGTATATAAAATTATGAATTTCAAAAAAGAATTATATGAAATTAAATAGAAATATTCAAACAATTATAAGGATCATAACTCATTTGTTAATATAATATATTATATTTAATCCACTGCCTATTATAAATATTTGTTTACAAAAATCAAATTAGAATATTTATTGATGATATTCTTGAAAAATATCAAGTAAAACTAATTTTATATGTTGCAAATTAAAATGTTTAAAAATCTTATTATAGTATATAAAATAATACATTTCAAAAAATAAATGTATGAAATTGAATATAAATATTCAAATTCTGACCCGTTACTTAGTCTAAATTTTTGTTGAACTTATTTTTGGTTAAAAGAAATATATTACTCAAATGTGAATTTTTGACCCGTTAAATTTTTTTCTTCATAGATTTTACAATTTAATTTCGTTTTTAAAAATTCAAATCTTGGCATATGGAGAAAAAAATTATTTTTTTTTGTTTATATGGATGATATGATGATTTATTTGTTTCATAAAAATAGAATCATATAAAGATGAGAGGTGAACTATAATGATTAATAACAAATTAATATGGTAAGTTAGATATCAAATCTTATATGTTCATTTTGATTGGTTATTCTTTTTTTTAAAATTAATAATATATTTTCGTTTTTAATAATTAAATTAATTAAATTGCATAAATTAGTATTTGACTTGTTTATCCTTAATGAGCTGAATTAATTTACTCTTTAAATTTTTATCTCTAATGGCATTCTTAAGTAATTTTTTACAAATGAGAAGGTTAGTTAAGGATATCTTATAAAGTGTACTCCCCAAATAATAGTATAGGATTCTTCGTCTCCTCCAAAGTGCTTTTCGTGGTAATTAATACCAAAAACTGTTCTTTTTTTATCTTCCTCAGAGTTGATAAGGACTAAAAACAGCTTTTCCTAATTTCGCTTAAAGTTAAAAAGAAGCCCATTGAAAAAAATAAAGAAAATGTCGCAAGATTTAATAATATGGTTACAAATAGAAACATAGGATTAATTAATAATTACGATACATTTACTCACGAGGCTCCATTTACATAAATATCCCTCAAAACTCCATTACTAACCTTCCAATTTCTTCACCCACCAAACAAACAAATCTCTCTGCATCATCCAAACGCAAACAAACTCTACAATGACGGGGAGAGACTGCAACCAACACTACGACTATGAGGAGAGGAGGATGAGACGCATAGTATGGGGGGGATTGCTTGGCCTAATCGTGGCGGTTGCGTTCGTGGTGTTCTTGGTGTGGGCTATACTTCACCCGCACGGACCGCGTTTTGTCCTCCAAGACGTAACCATTAACGACTTCAACATCTCTCAGCCAAATTTCCTCTCTTCAAATCTTCAGGTCACTCTCTCTTCTCGCAACCCAAACGACAAGATCGGAATTTTCTATGACCGTCTCGACATCTATGCCACATACCGAAACCAAGAGGTAGCATTTTGCGATATTTGTCACAAAACATCACCCATCTTTACCTCTGTCTAAGAAAATTTAAGAATCGATTCGATTTCACAATTTTTTTCTGTTAAATTTAATATTTATCATCATTTTGTATTTATAATAACAAATCTGTAATGTTGAAAAACCAATACCAACATATGCATATTTGTGTACCACTTGCAGAATTAATTTTCTTTTTTTCGTCTTCTTGAAATGTCATCTTTTATTCACGAATAATTATAGAATATTTACAAGAATATAAGGCTCTAAAGTACTTGCTGTTAAGGGAAATCGAAATTTGGCAGAAGCTATTAAAGTTTAGATACAAGAAGAAATAAAGTCTTTTATAATATGTTTATAGTTTTAAAAATGTTTTAAAGTCTTTTAAAACATTTATAAGGTTTTTTTTACTTTCTTCTAAGCATTTAAGTATTAATGTATTAATTCCAACTTTATTTTTTTCCTATTAATTAGGTGACGGTGGCGAGGCTATTGCCGTCGACGTATCAAGGACATCTGGAAGCTACGGTGTGGTCACCGTTTCTGATTGGCTCCGACGTGCCGGTGGCTCCTTACCTGTCTCCGGCGTTAAACGAAGATTTAATCGCCGGGATGGTGCTTCTCAACATCAAGATAGACGGTTGGGTTAGGTGGAAAGTGGGCTCGTGGGTCTCTGGCGGTTATCACCTCCACGTTAACTGCCCGGCGTTCATTACCGTCACCGGAAAGTTAGTCGGCCCCGGTCCGGCGATCAAGTACCAGCTTGTTCAGCGATGTGCTGTTGACCTATCTTGAAGAGTCTTTTTTTTTCCTAGGGAATAAAATGATATAAAAGGTAATTAGAGAAAATTGTTGTTGATTTGGCTTGTTAATTATTTTTTCTAAAGGGTGTTAAAAAACTTAAAAGAACAAAACGCTAATTAAACTTTTTCTTTTAACTAATGTCCAAGAGGTACTAAAGCAGAACATATAGTAAGTTCACATTAATTCAACACATGTATTCCTTTTTATTAATATAGTTTTTTAATAGTAAATAATTTTTAATTAATTAGACAAACGTATGATAAACAAATATCCTTATTTAGTTAATACTCATGTTAAATGTATATGGGTTCTTAGCGTATTGATAATATAGATATAATTTAACCCATGAATGTCATTGATTAGTTGACATTTTTAGTACTCTGCAGTCTGCAAACGAAATTGTCAGGATTAGGCAAAGCTTACAAGAGTGGTTTTATTTTCTAGTTGGATATGACCTATGTTGCATGGAAACGGGAGCGGGTACGCGGAAGCGGAATCGTTTAGAAGCGCTGAAGCGATTTTTTAGAAAATTTTACGTAAGCGGTACGCGATGGAAGCGTATAGTATATATAAAGAATATATATATATATATATGTATATATATAACTAAATATTACACATTATATCATATTACAAGTTATATTAACCCCACAAATCTAATAAATAAATTTTAAAAACTAAATTTAAAAATTAAACCAATTTTTACAACAAACAAAATCAAATAATTCAAGAAAAAAATTATAACACTATATTCATTCTTTTTTTAAATAACATCAAACAAAATCGTTTCAAATTATGTATATTATAGGTAAAAATATTATCAAACTCAAGTCTCTCGAAATTAATCTAAATTAATTAATCATTTATAATATCTCTCACATATTAGATTCATGTCATTGCTATTTTCTAAACATGATTTTGTTAAAAATAAAATACAAAGATTAGTATGCAAAATTTTTAGTTTGAGTTTGTTTGTATAAAAATAATAATTTCATGTTTTATTTGTAAAATTGAATTTATAAAATGGAAGCGCAAGCTTCCAAACCGGAATCGTAAGCTTCCAACGAGCTTCCAAAGTGGAATTTTTGGAAACGCGATGGAAGCGAGATTCCGAAAGCTTCCAAAAGCTTCCGATTCCGACTAAGATTCCGAAGCGGGAAGCGGACCTCCGACGAAGATTCCGTGCTTCCTAGGATATGACTCACATGACAACGACTATGCAGCTGCTGGTCTTTATGGAATGAAATATTTAAATATAAAACACCCCAAAAGTATAATGATTATCCTAGTTTCTATTATCATCTGCAGACATTATTAGTTTATTAGTTTTTTAAAATATAATGAGCTATAACAAGGAGCTGATATATTTGTAAGAACTTAAAAGACTTTAACTTATTTAATTTTAAAGTATGATACTATGTAACAGATGACTTAATACATGTGAGTTGTGAAATCATCGTCACGTTGGTGACGACATTTGCACGCCTTATGGTGTCTGTAGCGTGAAGCACAATAATCCTTTTCTTTTCTTTAGAGTTTAGACATAAATCATCAATTTCTTTTTATAAATATAAGGGATACAAAAACTAACTACAACTTGATAACGTGAGAGATAAAAAAAAAAAAACACTTTTTCCCACCTTTAGAACTTTTTGTGATTTTATAAAAGTTTGGTTTACATATTCTGAAAGCAAAAAAGAAAGATTGATAACTACTTTAGCGAATATTCGTCAATAAACTTTGTTACTTTGCAACTAAACCCACACTTCTAGTCTCTGTAGTCTGTAGAGTGTAGTTCACTTTTTTGAGCATTTGTTGGCATGTTTCCACATTTAAACCATAAGAGTTGGCCCAAAACCAAAACGTGAAAGCTAATGGGCTTTTATGTTACTGGGCTTAACCCAGAAAACAGCCAGAGATACGACACCGGTTTTGTTTGGACTGGAAAAGATTCTCTGCAAAGCGCTCTCTAGTGTCTGGTCAGAAATTCTTCAACTCACTTTCGGTTTCTGATGTTTTGTCTCTCTGATTGAAAAAGGTAAAAAGCGCTACGCTTAATTTGCTTGCTAGGGCTCTTACCTGATTTTTGGGTATGTAGTGATGATAGAAATTGAAGTAATTTCTCCAATTTCCTCAACGATTTGGGTCTTTTAAAAGTAGATTTAGTATTCATGATGGGTTTTTAGAAGACGGGATCTTTCTTAAAACTTTCTTTTTTTCTGATGATATCCTTAATTACAAGATATTATTATGTTTAGGATCTGATGATTCAAGATAGCTAATGATGCTGATTTCATAGTAACATGGATGCTGAAATGATTACTTGATTGATGTATATAGTTTGGTCTGTTAGTTAAGGTTTTGATGGTCCAAGGTTACTTATATAGCTTCTGTACAACTTTTTAGTCTCAGTCTCCTTTTAGATGTTTATGACGCTGTGTTGCATTTATATCGGAGATTGTAAATGTTGCAAACTTGCAATATTGATTGGTGTGTATGTTTCTTTAGGTGATAACTTAATATGCTTATACAGTGTTGCAAAATCATCTTGTCGACTAGTTAACTTGTCTTTGTGGGTTTCCATCTTCAATGTTTCAGTACTCTATGTATGCAGGTATTATCGGGCTTTTCAAGATGGGTAACAAAGCTACAACGGTGAAAGAAGAACGGGAAGAGATCCACTTGAAGATTGTACCTCCATTGGACAAAGTTTTTCTACGTTGGCTCGCGAGAGATCTACGAAGATTTCATGGATTCATACCGAAGAACAACACTCGTGCGATCACTCCTCCAGATAGCTACATCGAGTTTATGCGGCTAAATGGATCGCTTGATGTGGATTTAGATGACCCTGATCTTGCCCATCTGTTCAAGTAAAAAGGTTCTTGGGTGTGTTTGTCTTGTATGAAGCTTTCAAACTCCTAGTATACTTAAGCATGTGTAATGAAAATTGTCTTTAAAGTGAAGCATCCAAATGAGAGATAAGTGTCTGCATTCAGATGACAAATGTTTCGTTAGTGCAGTTGTCTTGGTTCTATGATTGGAATCCCTAGGTTTCAAGGTTCCACAAAACAATTGTTAAATGATTAGACACTCATGAGTCATGACAATAATTTTTTATTAGCACTAAACACTACCAAATTGGCAAATTTCAACAAAAAGAACTCCAAATCTGAATTGACCAGTTTTTAAGTTTTGAAGGGTTCAATAGAATTTTGTTGAGACAAAACATAAATTGGTTTATAAGGTTTCAAAGTTTGGCTCTCAAGAATGATTTTATTTGATTTTCTGGTCAACAGTTTAACTAATGTCCCTGGGTCAACATGCATGTACTTATCTTTTTTATTAAAGAAGGTTAAAATTTTCCTCAAAAATGGTTTTGGGAACAAACTAGGTTTGTAGTTTAACTTTAACCAGTCCGATGGGACTTCAACGGGTTTGGTTTCTTTAATCTCTGTTTCAACTTTCAACATAACATATAAAAAATCAATATTTTTCAGTTATTTGTAGTATATATAGTCCTATTTTCATTTATAATATTTTGGCTCTTCTACGAATTAAAAAAAAACGTATATGTTCGACAGATTTTGACGATAATTGCTCACGCTTAACGCGTGTAACGGATGCTGCAACAGTTTGATGTAATTATCCTCCAATTCTTAACATGAATAAATCCAAAATTCACTTTTTTTTTTACATTTTTTTTCCTCCTCAATCTCAAGGAAATAAAACTGTATCCAAATTAGTTATGTGGGTTTATTAACTTCGTTGACTTAATATTTTTTTATTTTTTATACACAGATATTATATATTTTTTATATATATAAATAGGATTATTATTTAGTTGAGATATTGGTAAAAGATTGTGTACAAGAGAAAGCGCTAATTCCCTCCACATCAGTATTCTGAACCAAACGCAACTCATTCCCTCGTTTTCTCTCTTTCTCTTCCACCGTCTCTTTTTTTTTTTTATCCTTCTTCTTCTTCTTCTCCTCTCCCGCTTTTTTTCGATTCGCCGATCTCTTCACATTCTCTCTCCCGGAATCTCCGTAATTCTCGCCGTAGATCTGCTTCCTAATCCTTATTAGGATCTCTGTTTACCGGAGATCCGAATTCCCGGACAATCTCCGCCGTTTCTTTTTTTTTTGGGGATTTTTATCGAGATTCGTTCTCATGTCTGAAGAACTTCCACAATTTCCACCTTCTAAGCGGCAGCTTCATCCTTCTCTGTCTTCTATGAAGCCTCCGCTAGTTGCTCCCGGTGAGTATCACCGGTTTGATGCGGCGGGAGGTGGAGCTGCTGATCAGGTTGTCGTCTCTGATGCGATTGTTATTAAATCTACTGTAAGTCTTTTTTTTTCTCTCTCAATTTTGGTTTTATAATTCTCGTGTTTCGATTGTGTGTGAGGCTTTGATTCTATTGATTATAATTTTGATGGTGTCGTAGCTTTAGATTTTGATGAGAATTGCGTCGGGATCTGTTTCCGGTGGTGTTAATTGCGTTTGGTCTCTTTTGATTTGGCTCGTTTAAAGTATAGGATTTAGCATTGCAAGTTAATATTGAGAGTTTAGTTGCTGGACTTAGGGTTTGTGGTGTTACTGTTATTGCTATTTAGAGCAGATTTATGCTTCTTTTTTTTGCTTATGTTTAGTTAATTTACTGAATTTAGCTATGTTGGACTTTTGGAATTTGAAGTTTTGTCTATGCTTTTAGATTTCAGCCTAGTGACAGTATGATGCTAATTGGATAAGATTCTTTGATGTATTTAACTGTTCAATTCTGGTGACTTTATTGGCAGCTGAAGCGTAAGACAGATTACGTTAACGAGATAGCGGAGCCCAATGAATTGAATACTGGTGTTCTTCAAACACCTGTATCAGGGAAAGGAGGGAAGGCCAAGAAAACTTCTAGGTCAGTGAAGTCTAATAAGTCTGGAACGCAAGCTTCTGGTTCTAATGCAGGTGAGTTTGGTCTTGAATGCTATGTGCTAAACCTTCTTTGTTGGTTTAACTGGAAAGAAAGAAAGAATGGAATCGTTGCAATATAGTGAGAAGGATCTTTTGTGTTGGCAGGTTCTCCTGGAAATAACTTTGCACAGGCCGGTACTTGTCGATATGATAGTTCGCTAGGTAATAACTTATTTCACAAACTAATGTTTAAAGAAATGTTCTTTTGGATAATAGCTTTTTTTAATGATTTAGGTCTTTTGACAAAGAAATTTATCAATTTGATAAAACAAGCAGAGGATGGTATTCTTGATCTTAACAAAGCAGCTGATACTTTAGAGGTGATATATTTTAACTCTAGACTGCCCTCTTGATGTAGTACTTACTGTCAAATCTTAACTGCGTGTTCCTGTTGATGCAGGTACAAAAGAGACGGATATATGATATAACCAATGTGTTAGAAGGAATAGGTTTGATAGAGAAGACGCTCAAGAACAGGATTCAGTGGAAGTAAGCATGTCTTCCAACTGTCAAATCTTGGATTCCTTCCATTTGACGCCTCATGTGTGTGAGTGACGGTATTCTGAATTTTCTTGTCTTTCTTAGGGGTCTCGATGTCTCAAAACCAGGAGAAACAATCGAAAGCATAGCTAACTTACAGGTACAGAACATGCCTATATATTTCTTTACCTTTCAATTACACATTTCACTGCGAACTCTGATATGCAATGCTCAGTAGGGTATATGTTAGCTTACGTTGTCTTCTTGAACATCGTATGAATCTGCATTAGTATGGTTCTTGTTATGCCTGTTTTCTGAGACCTAAATGTGTTAGGGGGGTAACTAGGATACTAGAAAATATACCACAAACACAAACGTCAATGACATGTAAGCACAAGCTCTGCTTGTACACCCCTACTAGCACACTTGAATGATTGAATTATTGTTTTATGTTCAACCTGTTGATAAAGTGGATAATTGGTTACTGCAATTTTTCTTCGATCTCAGTCACTTGCATTGATTTCTTGTTTTGGGTTTTTGGTTCGAAAACTATTCGTGTTTTATAAATTCCTGTTACCAATTTCACATTTAGTAACTCTCAATCCTCTACAGGATGAAGTACAAAACCTCACAGCTGAGGAGGCAAGATTAGATGACCAAATAAGGTATTCTCGTAGATAATTTTTCTTTCCTTTTCTGCTGTTTTGTATCTTGTTGAGAATCGACCTGGTTGCAGAGAATCACAAGAAAGATTAACAAGCTTGAGTGAGGATGAAAACAACAAAAGGTAAGCTTCTCCTGCTAATTTCTTTTTGCGAAAGGTACAATTGAACATAACTGTTTGTTCTGACGCTCCACTTTTTTAGGTTACTGTTTGTCACTGAAAACGACATTAAGAACCTACCATGCTTCCAGGTTTGGTCTCCTTCTAGTAATTACGTGTTTCTCTTTGCCTTGCATTCTTCTCACTAAGGAAACAATGCTTTTGTGGCGTGTCTCATACCTATTTTTAGAATAAGACGCTGATAGCTGTAAAGGCACCGCATGGAACAACTCTTGAGGTGCCAGATCCTGATGAGGTAAGCTTAAGAACACACAACACCAAATGAGCGATGCACTGTCTATAACTATTTCTATCTCTCATCCTGCCATTAATCAGGCTGGTCAGAGGAGATACAGAATCATTCTGAGAAGCACAATGGGACCAATAGACGTGTACCTAGTCAGGTAACCCTGTCCTCAAACGTTATGCTTGCCATTGATAAATTTGTAACATGAAAGCGAGACTGACATTTATATTGTGCGTTTATAGTCAATTCGAAGAGAGCTTTGAGGACATTCCTCACACTGATGAACCTTCAAATGTTCCTGATGAACCTTCAAACCTTCCATCAACATCTGGTCTCCCTGAGAACCATGATGTTGCCATGCCGATGGAAGAGGACAGCACCGAAAGAAACATGGAAACACAGGAACTTGATGATACGCAAAGAGTTTACTCTGATATCGAATCTCATGACTTTGTCGATGGTATCATGAAGATTGTTCCTCCAGATCTGGATGTAAGTCCCAACTGCTTCCTCAGCTTTAAATATTTTCACCACATAATCACATCTTGAAAATCATGCTTGACTTACTTCATTATTTACCTATATGTTACATTATATACAGCTGGGTGTAGATTACTGGTTTCGATCAGAGGTCGGCGAAGTCAGCATCACAGACATGTGGTCAGATGAATGTATCCTTGATTTCTGTCACTTTCTCTGATCTAATCTTATCTAATCTAATCTCTCTTTGAGCTTTTGAGTTTTTTCCTCCCCAAATATGAAATTTATTTAGAGCTCCTTGACTCTTTCATCATTAGCTGGACCGGACTGGAACCAGATGATTACATTTGATCAAGACCACGCTGGACCGAGCGACACAGCCTTGGAGCAGCCAAAAACTCCATCGAGCCCAACACCAGAAGATTCCTCTGCTACGAGATCATCTACAGGTAGCTGAAGTTACCATACCACATTACAAGCACCACCATATATCTGTACATAGAGAATCTGATTTCGGTGAATCGAGAGTTCATGTTGTACTTGTACAGTAGCTGCATTGCGTTATCGTAGGATAGAGATTGCAAAATAAAAGTAGAGAAACCAACCACCTCGTTGTATTCTTCATTTTTTTTTTCTTAGCTTCTCAGGCTTATATAGAATTAGCCTTAACCCATTAATTTCTTAATATTGGTCTTGTTCATGTGAAAGTGCAAAACCTTTTAGATTTCTTCCAGTCAGGTTTACTAAAAATGGTTACCGAATCGATATCAAAATATAATTTGGTTTAGTTTTAATTTCAGCTCTTTTTTTTTGGTCATCCGAAATTGTTTTAATTTCAGTTCATTTAGTATTTTGTTTCGGTTTTGGTGATTTTAGATTTTTAGTTATGTTTTAGTCAAACAAATTTTGGGTTATTAGGTTTTGAATTCTGATTCAAATTGGTTTTCACTCTTCAGTATAAAACTATTATTAATTGGTTTGGTTTGGTTTGAGTGATTTCATTTTTGGTTGAAATTGGTTTCTATGTCCAATCCCTGATAATGACTCACAATATACCTTTGAATTTACCTCAAGATGGAATTATTTTTCTTAGAAAAAGAGAAATCCATCAAAATTGTGCATCTCCAAAGCAATGAGCAATGCTGAATCTCCAAGCGAAGTTAAAAGAAAAAGGTTCCTCTATTAACAAACTTTCCCACACCAACATCCTCACTCAATAATCTCAACTTGTTTTTTCTTCCCTCTTGGTAAAAAATGCATTTGAAGAAGAAGATGAAGAATACACTCAAAACCATATTTAGACCAATTTTTATGGTGTGTGGTTGTTGCGGTTGCGGCTCTACCGTTCTGCCTTCCTCTCACAACCACTACTACACCCCAGGACCACCGGTTTCTCCCACGGTTTTACGTAGCCCATGTCCTAAGATCGATGAAAGCGTCGCGATGGCTAAGGAATCAATCAATCCGTTCGAAGATTACAAGAAGTCGATGAACCAGATGATTGAAGAGAGATACATCGAGACAGAAGATGATCTTAAGGAGCTTTTAAGGTGTTTCTTGGACATAAACCCTTCTCCTCAACACAATCTCATCGTCCGTGCTTTTGTGGACGTCTGTTCACATCTACGGCCACCACATGACCGTCGTGGGAAGTCACTTGGGAAATTGCTTCGTCTATATGTTAACAATCCTCTTGATAATCATGATGACTCACACCAAACCTCTTCGTTTAAGATGAGGAACTGATCCTCCTCATGTATCTCTCTCTATACATAGATGATACAATATTGTAAATAATTTGATTTTATGATTCCATGCAAGAGCAAGACTATATGTAAACCATTAAACTACAACCACAAAAATCAAGATTTGCATGATGTTTTCCAATTTCATTAGATACACAATGTGAATTATGATTACAAAGTTATACCGGCTCAAAGTCTAGCTCAAACATTTAGTGCACACAAAGTTTTGAAGTGTAATTTGATTTTTTAGTGTCAAATACAGTTTTTCTAATTAATTCCGTTTCCATTCGGATTTTAAAATTTTAAGTTTGTTTTTAGTTAGGTTTAAACAGGATTTTATACAAAATGTAAACGTAGGGTAGATGCAACTTACAAAACCAACCTTAAAAGTTTCATTTTGGCCTCAGTTAATTTGAAAACAAATAGAAAACGAGTTATTTGATTTGGTTAATAAACGAGGAATGAATAAAATAATTTCGATTTCGACTGTATAAAATGAATAACAACAATGATTAATTAAGTTCCTCAAAAAACCTCTAAACCATACAAAACTCCGGCGTGTTTCTCCGCCCCATCCTCAACGAAATACAAATCCCTCATCCTCTGAAACGCCTGCCACGTCAGCAAACTATCCGAACCGGCTTGATGACATTTCCCAACCGCCCGGTTAACCTCAAGCGACCGAGCAACCCGGTCCAAACCACCGTACAATCTCCTCTGCTCACAAAACCTCATAATATGCTTCACATCATAAACCCTATCACCGAAAAAAGCTCTAAGCAACCGTAAAAACTCACGCAACGCCACCGGAAGCTCCCGGCGCGTGAGAATCTTCACAAGATAACCGAAATCGTACGCGCTGTGAAACGTCACCCAGCTCACAGACTCGTTACAGATCAATCCCGATGACATCATCAGCTCCGCGAACCTCCCCGATTCAACACCTTCGCGACGGTTCCGCTCGAAATCGATCCCGTGACGACGGAGAAGCTCGATGGAATCAGGCGCGTGTGGATCACGCTCCACGTCGAAGTCACGGAAATTGAATTCCCAGATGAATCGACGGTTTTGAACGCCGAGATCGGGGAGGTTTCCGTCGGCGTCAGAGAGAGTAAGACCGACTTGGATTAAACTTAGAGCATCGACGTTGGATTTGAGAAGATTGTAGAGATAATTAGGGTTTCCAAGACGGAGAACGGCGAGATCCGCCTTGAAAATCACGCCGGGGAATTCTGTATCCATGGAGATGAATGGGTAAGCTTCGACGATTCCGCTGATTAGTTCAAATTCTGACTCGAGATTATCAGCCCAAACGTCACGTATCACGATACCAACATCGGAATTGATCATGGTTTCAAATCGGAAATCGAAAGTCCCGATCTTTTAGGTCTTCTTCTTCTTCTTCTTCGTCGTCGTGTTTAAAAGTCTCTGTTTTTTTTTTCGTTGATTTTGTTAATCTGCGAGGTTTAGTTATATATGTATAGGTGTAAGTAAGAGTGTGTTACGAGGAAGGAGAGGAGGAGGAGGAGGAGAAGTGTGAGAAACGCGCACGTTTTGATTCACTGTGTTTCTTGACTCGGTCTAAGTTGGCTTCTCCTTTGTATCCAATTATTGCAATTCAAGTCGTTGTATTAAACTAAGTACATTACGCCGACAACGTTACGACTTACGACCAATGAACTTACCAGGAATATTGCTATATTACCAATAAAAACACTGAATATGTAACGCACTAAAACGCATTAAAAGGTTGATTAATTAGATTACGATAACTACATATATTATATCAAAGATAGTTAGGTGATATTTCCTTTTGGGACAATATCGGATTTTTTTAAATCATCTCTTTCTTTTAATTGTGCTTTAAAGGTTTTGTATGCCCAAAATTCTAGCAACGACCTGCTGCTTGAACATCGTGTAGGATCTGCTAGTATAGTTATTGTTGTACCTTTCTTTTGAGATCTAAATGCGGTAGGGAGCTTATTTGGATACTAGAAACAATACCACAAACACAAACATGTAACCACATTGATAAATTTTGTAAAATGGGAGTGAGACAGACATTGATATTGTGAGATTTGGATGTAAGTCCCAATTTCTAGAAACAGATGGACTGAACATAGAAGAACCTGCATTTTATAAATAGTCCTTGGAGTTTTACATCTTCAGTCAATATAATAAGCTAGAACCTTTTAGGACGTTGACCTTGAACATAGTTAAACATGACTGTTTTTCTTTCATACCCTTTGTTTGCAATAACTTGTTATTGTTCCATGTTAATGAAGAAAAAACTTACCAATTCCAAATGCAGAGACTACAACATATTACGAGAGCTACTGTGAGAGTGGAGCAAGCCACATAAGAGGGGGATTAGTGAGAGGGAGATCATGGATTACATCGGTGGCAAGGTCGTAAACACCGCTATGATTAGGTGCAGCAAAGTAAATGGAATTAGGCTTTAGGCCTGGGAACATACTCGCTTGTAAACAAAAGGCTTCAGTACTTTGACCAAGAAAGATGCAGAGATCCCCAATGTCATACGTGTAACAATCCTCATCCTCTCTGTAAACCATAAACCTCTTTGTTTTTTTCACCACCTCTTCTTTTTTCAATTGCTTATGATGGTCCTTCCAATGGACCGCATTTGTACCGTGGGAGAGCTGAATAAACCTGCCTCAACGCAAACCAAGTCATGCACTTTGTCAATAAGAAAGAAAGCAATAAAAGAAAAAAGTTTTGATTACCACATGATGTCAAAAACTTCGCCGGTAGGCGACTCCACCAAGTGTTCAGTGTGGAAACAAGACTCTAGCAGCTCAAACTCCGACCATAGCAAATCAGGCAACTTGAGACGGTCAAATTTGTGGTAATAAGTCACCTCAGGGAAATCTTGGTGACCCAGAGGCTTGTACTTGCTAGCATCAAATTTGATGGCAGTGAAGTGAAGCTTGGAGACAAGCCTAAAGGTTGTCAAGTAAAACTTGGAATCACGGTTGGAGTAGAGGACACTGGAGCAATCCAAAAGTTTTGAAGAAGTTTCCGTTTTGGTCCAGGCTGAGTCACCAGGCCTACAGAAACACATCCGACCTCCAAAAAACTTGATAGCCACAACACATGAGTCATCAGGGGAAGAGGAGAGCGACATGTTGATAATTATATTATCAGCACAATCAGGCTCCATAGGAGGCAAGGATATGACTTTGTGATTGAACATGTTGGTGAGATAGAGGCTTCTGGGATCATTAGAATTAATGAAACCAACCCACCCTCTAGACGATCCTATGTAACGTGATGGATACGTCATCATCCCCTGGTTCGGTATTACCATCTCTTCTTTCCTCGGATCGTAAATATTCATTGAAGAGCGTCCTCCTGGCAAAGCATCTTTCGTATTCAACAGGTATGGAGACGACATCACCAATGAGGACAGTAACCGAACCCGCTTCTCTGCTTGAACCTGTCCCAACATACATGTAATTTGTGAAACAGCAAGAGAAAACAAATAAAAAGAAACACTGAACAAAACAAAACCAGATAGAGAGGGTTTACAATGGCACCAGCTGAGTTTCTAAGACCAAGTTTCCACATCCTACAAAGAAAAACCAGAGACATATTTTTAGTCTTCTCTTAAGCATTTCATCGAACATGTTGTGTGCGCTTGTAGAAGAGGCCTTCAAACTCAATTATTTCATGATTTTATTTCCAGAAATTAACTAACAATAGAGACAATGAATTCTATGTAAAGGTTAGTGACTCAGAATAATTGATACGCTCAATTTGCAGCAACTATTGAAGAACAAGAGTTCAATCATCGACCAAGCAGAAAACGAAAACAAATTTGTACATTCGGAGAAGAGGAGAGTGAAGAACTAACGTAGGAGAAGCACAAGTTCTGGGGAAGGTGAATCGTCGTCGTCAAAGTCGCTCACGAAGACTCGATAGAGAGAGCAATTATAGATGAATTGGTTTCAGAGTTTTGTGACAAGGACAAAATCGTCTTTTCCTCTTTTAACTGGGCTTTTAAAGTTTTGCATGCCCAAAATTTTCAATCTAATAGCAACAACGAAGCCTGCGTTGAGCCCATTTTCATTTTCCCCAAGTCCTTGTTTTCTGTAAATTTGTTTCTCGGTAGGTTTTGGTATAATATATATATATATTTTTTTTGTTAATTTGGTTTTGGTATAATAGTTGTGTCTTCTTTGGTATTTCCCCACAAATGAATACACGTCGATCGAGGAGTTTAATTTATGTATTATGAGTAGACGTAAAGATAGAAAAAGAAGGTTTAATTATAACATGAATTGATTTAAGGTAAAAAAGAGAGAGGAATAAGATGTTGGTCACAACTTTGACAAAGAAAAATGCGAGGAACTTCCTCATTATGTTGAACGCCAACACACCTTGTGTGTTGCCATACTTCACATATATCACAACACACCATTCTCTCTCCATCTTCTTCCTTTGCTCCACACTCACACTCAATTCTTTTATCCTTCTTTTTATCATCATCTTCATAACATTTCATCACTTCAATGTTCATCATCATTCCAACGTTCCCTTCTAACACCAATCCTTTATTCCAATTCATGGCCATTTCATCGACCCTTGTGATCTCTCTTTGACCATCCGCCACTGACTCCACCACGACGTCTCTTAGTTCCCAATAGATCTCTCTAAACACTCTTTCTGCCTCTCCATACACTTCACTCAATGTTGCATCTTTCTTCACCACTATGCATTCTTGTGGAGGAATTTTTATCTCGTTGTTATGATGATAACATTTCCACGCGATCGTGCAGAATATTCCTAGTTTGTCCCCTCGATCTAAGTGTAGTGTTTTCGCCGATGTATCTCTAATCATGTAGTGATACTCTTTGATGAAGTACTTAGCATCGAGGATTGTTCTTGAAGCCATTCCGATTTGGTTCAATATGCTTCCTATGGGGCCTACAACTCCCTTGTAGTCCATGAGAATGTGTTTGTAAAAATAAAACATGTCTTTCATCACTTGACCTCTTGTGATCTTATTGTGACAGTTTGTCGCCATCTTCCCCATTGAGTTTTGATTTTGAAGGGTTATGAGTTCATTGTTACTACTTGGTAACAAATTTGATATGTCCTCCAAGCAATACTCTAGCACTTTCTTCACCGGATTTAGACTACGTCGGACCAAATAGTTTCCAACCACCTGGTTCCCGAGCGACTTCAACACGAAATCAAGCAAACCAGTGTCCCCTATGTAGTTTCTTGCTGCGTCCCTCACTTCTTGTCTCGATATCCATCGGTATTCGACTCTTTTCAGTGACTCTATGACCACTTTGATAGCCATTTGGATCCGTTTTTGAGACCATCTGCAGTTGGTACTATCAATGGAGATGATTTGGTTTCGGGAGTTATTCATGTAGTTATCTCTTGGAAGACGCGAATGGAGATTAAGCATGAACCTGAAGAGGTCACTGAGAGTGATCAATGGCTCGGTGGATAAACTTTGGTACTTTGACAAGAGGATTGGAGTTTCTCGGTTCAGGCTGGTTAGGTGATGGTTAAGCAAGCACAAGGGTATGTTACGGACAGATTCAAGTGCCTTCTCGTAAATCTTTTGAGTCACTCCGTATGTCCCTGACCCAAACCGGTAGCCCCAACGACCGAACCATGGCTCTCCTTTTGCTACCCCATGCAGCAGCCTCAGCTCCATTCCTCTTTTGTGCGATGCATCATTCAACCCTATTTTCCTAAATTAAACATAAATAAAATGACTAATTATTTATGTGTAAATCCAAATTAAGGAAAAATCCATTATGATATATGAAAGCCAGCAGAATTGTGGTGAATGGTTTATATGATATACAACTACGTATATATAGTCTTAGTACCTGGCCTTTAAACCGGTGCAGAGCCGGTCCCACAAATCCATGACTTGATGACCGGTTAAGTCGGAGCCCGTTTCAATGCCGTTGACAGAGAGCAAGTGACCAAATCCGTTGGAGTGAAACAAGCCGTGAAGGACATGGCCTTGAAGCTCCACCAAATGGGAGAGACTTTCCTTTTCAGGAAAAGTGTAGCCTCCACCTTCCAGTTTTAGAAAGGCGGCCATTGTTTCCTTTGAGGGGATCACGAAATGGTACTTCTTGTTGCATATCATTTGGTTTCCCCAACCTGCAAGGTTTCATACAAACCATTGTATAATATATATAAATGCATCATTTTAACCATATCAAATTAATATTGCTATTTTTGTTCGTAAGTACGTGTAAGCATGTATAGATATGCAAAGAAAAATGCTTACATGTTGAGCTAGGTCAATTCTTACTAAATTTTCAGCTTATGATCTTAGTTCATGTACACAAATGTATTCGCATGCATAGATATGCAAAAGAAAATTGTATACACAGAGAAAGAAGGGAAAATAGAGAGAGGACGTCACCAACATATTGGCAATGGTTGCAACGGAGGTTGAGAGAGACTTCGATGGGCTCTTCTACTACAAAGAGAAGCACATAAAGAGGATTTGGGTGGCGTTGAATCTCGAGCTGAAAAGACCAACTTCCCATGAGACCGGAGCTCTCAAAGTGACCAAACTCAAGTAGTTTCGCGAGGTTGTCACGAAAAGACAACTCGTTCAACTCAGCTGGATGTCCTGACTCTCCGAACGTCTTCAGTCTGAAAACCCTACTTTCCCCTCTCTTCCTCTTCTTTGGAAGATGCTGATGATCTGTTCGAATCAGATTCGCCATCGAATCAGAACTTTGGTTTGATCTTGACAAGAGGGAATATGATAGATTTGGATATATATTATGATCAGGGGTTTGTTATAAGAAGAGGCCGAGAAGTGTTGAGGAAGTGTGTGAAGGGTTTAGAGATATAGTAGTCATTAGGATGATGATCACACAATTAGTGCTTTGTGGTGAAAAGGAAAAGTGAGTGTGAGAAAGAGAAAGGTTAAATTAAACTCTGACTTAACAATTGTTACTATTGGATTGGATGTTAGGTCTTGATATGTGCATGACTTGTAACATTAACGACTTTTCTTTCTTAGACATAATACTTAATAAAAAAAAACATTCGAACCTCATCACTGATTCCCAAAATCTATTTCATTTCTAAAAAATACTATACGAAAGGATTGATAATGAAATGTCTCTGACATTATTTAATTATACACATAAGTATTTGTGTAAAATATGTGGCAATGGCATGCAAAAAGATCGAGGGTGAGGAATGTCACGTGACTTGGGAACATGAGAAGATAATATAATTATAAAATAATGAAGACATGCATTTGAGCTTCTCACTTTTTTAAAGAATCAGATTAACTCTGTGTTCCGTCAATTTCTGTCATGAGCTACCTGCACATATATGCATCTATTATATAACACACACGTGTGTGTTTGCGTGGTTGGACAAACTTAATTTAGTCGATTTATCAATCTCGTAAAATTATGTTTTAATTGATATGTAGTTTATTGATTTGTGAGAGTGTCATGTGTCAATCGATGATTTGCCACCGCTTTTGTCAAACCCGCAGAATTTTAGTTAGCTAAAAATATTAAGTGAGTGATAGGTGGCATATATGATTAATGCATTTTGTTATTATATCTTGAAAAAAATGTTTATATCAAGAGATGTTTTAAGCGGTTTAAAGAAAGTTTCAAATTATGTTAGCCGAAAGAAGTATTTTGAAATGGTATTATATAATATCACATTCAAAGTTTTACTTGCACCTTAATGATCGCAGTGATCACAACAATTTTGGGTAGTTCCAGTCACTTTAGTGCTTCAAATGAAATATTTGTTTTTTAGTGTTTCAAAACTTCGTAAAAAAACAGCTAAGAGCTCAGACCAATCAAATTTTAATATGTTTAAATTAATGATATGCCTTGTTAATTACAGATGCTAACAATATATTTTAGTTTGAATCATCATTAAGCATATCTAGCTAAAATGTTGACCTTCTATCACTTGTTTAGTGTTTAAACTTTGGCAGCCACTAATAGTATAAGATGATAGGTAGAGCAGAGTAGACTGAATAATTGTTGATAGTTTTTGTATCATTTTTGTTTCATGATTCTTAGTAATTAACAACAACCAGCGAGGCAGCGATATGAATTAGCGATACGTTTTATTGTTCGTAGTATAGTAGCCTCAAGTGAGTTTTACAACTATCACCAAATTTTTTTTGAAGTATTTTGTTTTTGGTTTTCCAATTGAAATTGCCAGTAAGGGTAAATATAATGATAAAAATGTGAGAGATCTACTTAAACGTTACGTGTTCTTTCTTTTGATAGTTGGGGAAAGGAACAAAACACACGTAATGTTGAATCCGACATTAATGTGAAACCAACATGCATTTTTTTTTTGTAAGTTTAGGTGAAGATTTTTCACATTTATAATAAGCATAACTCTTTTTCATGTTTTCATAAACATTTAATTTGTTAGTTCAACAACTTTGGTAACAAGTAAACCAAACCTATTTATTGTTTGATGTATGATGTGTATATTTATGTATATAATTCGTATTTAACGCCAGAATTACTTAGTGCAAAAAAAGGAAAAGAAAAAAAAAAGTCATTGTTCCACATTTTTCATATTGAAATCATAATTAATTGTGCCATGTACATATACATTGAACATACAACAAGTCAACAACGACCATTTTCCATTTATAAAATTAAATATCGCAATAATCAAGAAATATCTAGCATCCTAAACCGAATACGATAACTTTTTGATGAGGACACAATGACACATCCATCATTATACTAGCTATTAATCTTACCGCTAAAACAATATAATGATGGATTCAAGTTTTATAGTCTATTTGTAATCACCCGTTGCAAATAATCAAATATTAATGGCTTAGTTTTCTACAAGAATTTATATTCATCGCTAACCAGTAAATATTGCAAACGAAGTTAAAGATGTTTTACAAAACAAAAGTATATATATTTCAATTTTATGAACATATCCGTTCATTGTAGATTAATTCAAACTATCAATAAATGTGGCAACAAATTAAGAAAAAGAAAAAAGAAAGAAAAATAAAAGAACATTCTTAATTATATATATATTTTTTCTTAATTAGTACTCTTCTTGCTATGGTTTCCTGTGAGAAAATCAAGCAAAACATGGCTGTTGCATCTAGGGCATCTAGGGTCGTCACTCTCTAAAGAGATGATGATGTACATGATGCAATTAGGGCAACCAACGACCACCATTGATTTAGCCTCTCCTCCTCCACCCTCAGCTTCCTCCGAGCATAACGATGAAGATGAGCTCTCGGTGACCAAAGATGAATCCAACGATGGTGAAATATTTAGTTTCAGATCAAGTTCAAGGTTACTCGCAGTTTCTTGATTCATGTTCCTTGCCTTCCAAGAAGAGTACTATGTATGTTGATATATTATTCTACAAGAATCAGAATAAGAAACACAATAAAACAAAAATTTAGATGGAGATCGATGGTTTATAAACATGTATATATAATTGTATACTTATTTTTTCTATCGATCAAAAAAAGTCATGAAGATGACAATAACAATATTTCAATATAGAAGAACAAAAGTTTTTCGATGAGAACAAATAAAGTTGAATCTCGGGTTCCAAATTAGCTTACCTTGGTAAAGAGTAGTAGTCTACTATTGTTCTTGTTCTTGTTTCTTGAGATTTAAAGAGAGATAGTTTGATGGCTGTTATATAAATAGACAGAAGAGAAGATACACGCAAGATGAGAGAGGGTCTCATTGAATGTATATTAATTAATTAGTAGGATTAGTTTCATCTAGCTTTCAAAATTAAATATTCTTGTAGAAAATAATTATAAAATGAGATGTTTGAAGCAATAAATGTGATTTGAAAATAATATGCAAAAGATTGAGTATATGACTTGAGCTTTGAAATTGCATTTATTATCAAATAGTATTTGGATAAATACAAACGAGATATTTTGTCCTTTTTCATAAATCATCAAAAATTTTTTTTATGGAAAATTGAAATTCAAATCGAGAGAGAAGTAGACAATGCATTTGTTTCAAACTTGTAAGGTTGTAATGTAGTTAACTCGGTGTTGACAAAAAAAAAATTGTAGTTTAATGGGTAGTTGATGTTATTATATTTCGAAAGTCTTATATGATAATAATTTTATAATAACAATTTAGTAGCATCGAAAAATTATTGTTGAAAAATTGGTGAATATGAATTTGGATAGCTAGAGACGGCTAGACGCACGGCCAACAAATGATAGAAAGATTGACCAAAAAAAAGATGAACAAATGAATGGCTTTTGACTGTTAAGATTATTGACTTTAGAAACCGAAATAAAAATGGAAGAATATTAAATGAGTATGTGAAAATTTCATGGGAGATTTGGTTTTGTTTGACTTGGAACAAATATGGAGTTGTGGTTGGTGTCTAATAAGAGATTTATTTAGGCTCTGACTAGTGATGAAATCATGGAAAGAATATGACATAAGCTTGCTTTTGTCATCTTAGACTTTCGTTAGCCTCATCAGTCAAAGTAAAATCTAACATCACAACCAAAGTTTGACTATACCAAGACATCGATTATGATAGAATCAACCATAACTAAAAGATATATTACAAGTACCCTAATTCTCAACTTTTATTACACTTAAATATCTCAACTTACTCGTGAATTAAAGTAAATCATCCTTCTAATCAAATCATAAGCAAGGTTTTAACACAACAAAAGTAAATTACAACAGTTTTTACGTACCATTTGGGTTATTTATTAGAGCTGTTGTAATAACGGAGGAAATATTAGTCTTCCACGATGTGTTTCCTCTCGAGCTCAATGAACTGTTTGTTTATATGGGAGGTTTCAGTGGCGTTTCGTGTCTCGTTCTCTCCTTTGCATCGCTGTAACTGAATTTGAAGATTTCGTACAAGGTCGTTTAGCCTCTGGATATGTCTCTCTTGTGACAAGATGATCTGTAACGATTAACAATATAAGAAAAAAATATCAAACTGTTAGAACTTAGAATTGACAGGTCTTCTTCTATTTTAGGGTTCAAATTTGTGCTGAAACTATGAGGTTTTGTCATAACATTCATTTGAACTTTAAGGTTGCAAGACAACTAAGTCTTCTTTATATACAAATTTTCTCCACTAACAGAAGGCAAAAAAACAACCAGTAATTCTATGCAACATTACAAAGTCAGATCAGTCATTGATGGATTCCAGAGACATTCTCAAAAAGAAGTAGATAGAGAAATGAAATCGAGTTACGAAAAAAGGTTTGTTCAGAGACTCATGAGACTAGAAGCATTTCAATGCCGATAATTAGGCCAGAAACATAACAACCAATGTATAGAAACGTCTCGATCAAAAAGGCCCGTGGTTCAGATACAGGAATCTTTAGCATCAGAACATTACAAGTTAACTGACTCAATCCAATTATGCATATCTCTTCTACAGTTTTAATAATCTATAAGTCACAATCCCAAAACCAATTCAGGTCTTTCTCATACACAAAATTTCCATGAGAAGAGTTAAGAATGAGTACCTTCTCCTTGACAGCTTCTTCCCTCTTAGCAATTTGCTGATGTTTCTGAGACAAGCTAGGAGCTGCATCAAGCTCAAGAAGTGGTTGCCTCCATTCAAACTGAGAAGTGACTATAAGTATAACCAGAAGAAAGACGAGCATGATCGGCCTCGACATTTTTCTATCTAGCTCCTACAAAACCTGTTCCAAATTCACAATATCCATTTCTTCATACCATCCAACAAAAATGCATCCAAGAGCACGCCTAATCGAAATTGAGACATATATCGAAAATGAGATCAATGCGACTAAAATTCACATACTCAGTTCAAATTTCCTCAACACAAACCAAAAGTAGAACAATATAATCAGTGTAAGCTACTACTATAAGGAGCAAAAATCCATCAATGACCTAGATTTCAACAAGAATCTCCTTCATATCTAAACTACTACAGAAGATTGAATTTCCTCAGCACCACAAACAAAATTGAAGCATCAATGAAGAAGATAAAGATATCTCCAACTTACAGATCGAAGTTGCACAGTGAAATCAAACTTCATTATCGAATCATCAGCTTTTCTAGGGTTTCTTAAATTGAAGAAACTGATCGAGAAGATCTTTCGATAAAATCGGCTTAACGGAGTATTGAGGCGACTTGTCTTCTCCAAAAAAAAAAAAAGGATTCTCGTATAGAAGAAGAGAGAAAGAAACGCAAAGCAGAGGTTTAACGGCGGCGAGATAAATCTACAACCATCTGGACGAGAAAGATAAACAGTACGGATTTGGAAAATAGTAATTTACTAAATTGCCCATCCTTTTTATCCATTCTCATTAAACAAAACACTTAACTCCTATGTGAGCATGTGAGTAGTACTCCCTCCGTTTCATAATATAAGTCGTTTTAGCTAAAAGCACACCGATTAAGAAGATCTATTTTTTTTTTAAGTTTAGCCAATCATAAAAAAGACTGCATAATATAAATAATTATAAAATAATAAAATAATATATAATTTGATAGAAACTTGAAAACGACTTATAATGTGAAACAAAAAAAATTTAGCCAAAACGCTTTATATTATGAAACGGAAGAAATATTATTTAACAATTATATCCACAAAACTGGATTTGTTAACGATATAACTTTCTTCTGTGGTCTAGTTGAGTACAAGTTTGTAATTCACTTTTGATGATCGGTTTGGTTGCACAGATTTGAAGTACAAGTGTAGAACATTAAACACAAAAAACGTATAAACCTCTTAAACGAAAACATCATATATTTTTGTCCCAGAAGATGCAAACATAGGACTCAGGAGGACACTGGTTTCTTCTACTTCCATAAACCTTATTCTTCTAGATAAAACAACATTGCTATCAGAGCTACTAAACATATAATAACATTCCATCGTGCTCGGTTCACTGACTTGATCGAGTATAAACCCACGAAGCAGCTCGACAATGATTCCATGGTATCTGTTCCTTTCTTCTTTTGTGATAGTCTTTCCTCTAACAGTGAAGACATTTGTTTGTCTATCATGTTTGGTAAGGGAAGTACCCTTATCTCCATTGATGCTGATTCTAGTGTTGGGATTTCGTCTCGTGTGTTCCCCGTCATCACCGCTTCATCAAGATTGATGATTTCGTCTCTTAGGATATCCGCAAAGAAATCCTCGTCATTATGCACCTAAAACACACAGAAAAATCATTAACAACAAGGACAATCAAGAACCATCATCCAAATTTGTTTTGATCCCCTGGACATAAAACAAACAAAAAACGAAGGTGACAACAAACAAACCTGTAGATTTTCTGATGATTCTGCCATCTCAGAGAGCAGTTTCTCCCCTGATTCACCTGCTAGGTAAAAATCAACCAAGTTGTCCCCATCAGACGGGCTCTCTGAACTAGTAGCACCATTTTGCAAGATGGCGCGCTTCTCGGGTGCTAATTTTGGCTCGGGTGCCTTCTGACTCATACCACTTTGATATTCTTTGTTCCTCTTAACCCGGCAAACAACCATAGCATCATCCTAGAATTTACAGAAGATCATTAATCAATCAACTCAAGCCAAAGACCAAAATCCTAAACTGTTACCGTATTCCTCTGCTATAATGAAGTATATGATTAACTTTCCTCCCAAAGTAACCAGCGTAGCTCAAGCATTCGTGCATAATCTTAAGACAAAACAAAACTCTAAAGAACAGTTTACCAGAGAAACTCCTTTCATGCAGTACTCGTGCATAATCCAGTCAGTTCTTTCACCTTTTGGTGCACGACCAATATGGAAAACAAGCGTCCTCTTTGTTCCAATGACCTCAGAACCAGACTTCACATCACGCTCTTTCCCAGTTGCTTTCCAATATCCCATCTTCGTTGCTCTCCTGTTCTGTGACCCATGTGGATACTTTTTCCCACGGGCACAGAAGAAGAACCACTCGCTATCAGATTTCACAATCGACTTATCTGCAAAGAACAAAATTTGTCAATTCACAGAGCCAAAAAAAAATAAAAACTTTCTTAACATAAGTGAAGATGTTGTGGAGCAAAGGCAACAGTTCCTCAATTGTCAAAAGACTCAAAAGGTATGAACTTTAAACAACGAGATCCAAAAATAAGAATTTCTCCTGAAGCAGAGCAAATTCAAAGTAGAAGAAAGACAAACCGGGCAAATCCCAAGGCTCGAAATTGTAAATCTCAGCGACCGGTATAACCTCAACGGACCTCTCCAAGCCATCCATCTTCCGCTTCAAGTAATACGCAATCAGCTCAACATCAGTCGGCGAAAACTTAAACCCAGGAAACACCGTCGACGCTACTACTGACGCCGCCGTAGCCTTAGAAACTTCAGCCGCCTCCGCCTCCATGAAGGCTCGCGCGTACACAACACTCGCGCGTAAGAAATGAGTCACCGCCAAAGAGTAAAATCTGGGAATTTTCGATATCAAACTGAATTTTCTTGTCAGTGTGTCTCTTCTCACTCACTTAGCTTTTGATTTGTAATTGGAACACTTGACAGGTGCACACATATGGGTTTTTGCATACGTGTTACGTGTGAATGCCACGTCACCAAACCTGGTAAAATTATAGGCTTTATTTCATTTACACCCTTAATGTTTTGACGTAATCTCAATTAACGACCTCTAGTTTAGTTTTATAAGAGAAAGCCCCTTTGGTGCATGCGAACCTAAATAAGCATAACCGAATAAGAGAGACATTGTAAAAAAATGATATAAAAGGCAAAACAAATTATATGATGAAGTAAATGAAATAAAGAAAATTGTTTATTTTTGTGAAGGTAACTTAAAACCACAAAGGGGACACTTGTGACCAACTAGAAGCCAATTTTCAATACAAGACTTGTGGAAGACATGAGAGCAAGGCAATTTGGTTGCTTCTTCTCCAAGAAACATCTCCCCAACGCAAATCATACATGGAATGAGCCGATCCATATCTGATCCAAGCACCTTAAAACGCTCTAACCCGAAAACCGTAGATTTATCTGCTGGTACCGTAGAGATGCTCGAAGAAATCTCCATTTGAACCGCCTTCATCATCGCCTGGTTCGCTCTTCTAGACACATCATAGGTATGCATACAATGAGTGAAACCCATTTCTGATATCACTTCTCTGATTTGGTTTTCCCATGAAGACAAAGAGAGCAAATCCTCGTTCTTCTCCACTCTGTTCTTGATCAGATCCGAAATCTTACTCTCAATCAATCGCTCACAATATATGTCAGCATAAATCTTGTTCAGGGACTCGTAATCAACAGGCGTTAACTCAAGGTTTTTGTTGATTTGAAGCTTCAGAGTCAACCACTTATCATCACAAGAAAACTTATCCTTCTTGATGGTTTTCAACTGGTCCACAAGACTTCCGATGTCTTCAGGTTTATTCAACAACTCATGTTCAAGACCGCGGAACATGAAAGGCGAATTCTCGCAAATCTCCCTCTGTAAAACCTCGTACGACTTGGAGGTAGTAAAATCTGTGGACTCTGTTTCTGTGTCAAGGTACGAACAGGGAAAACGAAATCTGTGAGTGGACTTTGTTGTTGTTTCCCTCGTGGATTTAGGGATGCAGATAGCGACCAAGTTATACTCAATCTCTATAAAGAATTGAGCATACGAGAGAGACTTCTGGCAGTCATCAAAACCATTCTGTTTCGCATCTGATTTCATCAAAACAGTTTGGTAATACGTTTTGAGTGGAGGAAGTCTTAACCAAGGGCCATAGACATGTGTTCTTGACGTGTCGGTCAAGTCCCGTTCCGTAGGAACCCTAACCTGATTGCAATTGCTTTTGACGTGACTAATCATGCCACAGTTGTAGCAAAAATCACCTAAGTGTCTGTATTTGAACCCCACGAACCGGTTTGAGTTTTCGCCTATGTAGAATCCTGGTTTGAGTGGCTTCTTAAGATCAATTTCCATTAGGAAAGAGACAATATTGTTTCTTATACCGAGAGATAAAACGGGATTTTCGTAGCCGACTAGAGATTTGAGATACTCTATGGAGTTTTTATCGCAAAGATACGATGGTAAACCCACGACAAAGACATAGAAGGAAGCCACGGTGAAATCAATCATGGGGGAAGAGTTTAGATCCTTGATTACTATGATAACTCCATTAACGTTGTAAGGTCCGTTCTCTAGAACTTTCTTTTTGTCATTCTCTTGTCTGAATTCGAACATGAATATACCGTTGACGCCTTGGTTTTCGACAGTCATGTCGCCGGAGAGAACCCATTGTTTCCGGAGCGATTGTTCTGTTTCGTCGAATGACGGCGGAGTTGAGTTGGTGAAGAATTTTCCGACGAGACGGTGTGATGAAGACTTATCGGACATGTTTACTTTCGTAAGAGTTTTGACTTTAGATTCGTAATTTTTATTTTATAAGAAACCAAAACAACAAAGCCTTTTCCCTTGTTAGATCTGAACTAACTTTTTTAATTATTTTAATTCTTCTATCTTCAAGCTAAACACAAATCCATAATGGAGACATCAGAGTAATCAATTTATCTTAAAGATAATCTTACCAAATTTTTTCTTTTTTTCTTAAGATAAAATATCATTAAAACGGTTAAGGGTAACAGACATTTCTGCTTTAAACATTATAAACCTTGAAATTAATAATATGTTTTTAACAGATAATTTCCTTAAAACACCACATAACACCGCAATAAAGAGATCTCCATATTATTTCAACGACGAATTCAGATTTTGTCAAGATCGACGGAGATAGATATAAGAATTGAGAGTTCTATTCTTAGGAAACTCTTTAGAATTAAGAATCTTCCTCTCACAAGACTTTTCACAAGAAAATAGAACTCTTTAAAATATCTTAATCAAAAGCTAATGATACGTGAAAGGGTTCGATACCTTTTATTATAACACCATCCAAATTCCAAAGATAAGATATTCAATATCCGATTTAACCAAAAATCTAAAAACAATTCGATTAATCCGAAATATTCGAAACAAACTGAAGTGACTAATTGAACTAACATGAAACCATAGCTAGATTAGGGTAATTAATATTTGAAAGAGAGATTAAGGATTCCATATTAAAAGATTACGGTTTTATGCTTCTATGCTAGAGGAGTGGATCCCGTATTGTTAGGGAATTCGAGATTAGGGAAGTAGATCACGTATTGGTGTGGGAGAGAAATCGAGATAAGGGAAATGGATCTCGTATTGCGAGGGACGACTAAGGTTCTAGAACTTTTAGAGGAGAGTTCGTAATCCGTCGGATATCGGATCGGATCGGGTATTATCCGATATTCATAGATATAAAAGTCAATAACCGATCGGTTAATCTGTCGGATACGGTACGGATTTTAATCCGATTTTTTTGGTTCGGATCCGGTTTGAATTTTCGGTTTTGGATTAAACGCCCAGACCTAATCCAAAGATAAGATCACGTCTAAAACTAAGAGAATAGATAAATATCAAATCTTCTAATTCTAATCCTTTCGAAAAATAAACAACCACTAATATCAAAAGAATGCTAATAACCAAACTGGATAAAAGCTCGAAAACACGAACGTGAAATCTAAGGTCTCGCTGCATCAAAAGTGGCCACCTATAAAGGTTTTTATGAGATTTTCTCTTTATCAAAATAGTAAACGTATTATCTTTGTCAAATCTTTTTGTCCTTATCTTTGTGAGCTTAAAATCTTATTCTCTAAGTATTTAACTGTTGAAATTTAGTATCTTACACCAGATGATAAAATAAACTATAGGAAATGTGCAAAAGAAAACTCAATTTTTGTTAATATTCTATATTAATATTAGTCTTTCTATACGCCAATTAGAAACAATGTTTTTTTTTTCAAATCTCATGCCAAGAAATCCAAACTAGATTCATGACTATTTTGATACGGGTTCGGATTCAATTTCTTTTTGGGTATTTTTTTAAAGAAATATATATTAAAAAGATATAATATTGTTTAGATTTTTATATTTTAAATTAATTTTTGTATAAGTTTAATTGTTAATGAAGATTTGATCTGTTTTTGGACACATATCGAACAAACTTTCTTAATACGAAGTAAACATAAAATACCAAATCAGACCGAACCTAGATTTTTGTTAATGATGGTTTGTTCAGTTTGATCACAAAAATTCATTAACGCAACCAAATTCCGTGATAATACATACAAAATATATAAATTTTATACCAAAATCGGATTTTTGTGAACGAATGTATATTTGGTTCGTTCACAAAAATTAATAACGTAAAAACAAACCATATTTCGTAATAATAACGAACAATATACACAAATTCTTATACTAAACCAAACCGGATTTTTCTGATAGAACCAAATAAACCTTCATTAATTTCAATTATATTTTACAAAAGATAAACTATTATAATAAAACTGTTTCTTTGGTTTTATAAATACAGATGATGGTTTTATTTAATGTTTTTAGAAAATTTTAAATGAGGATTTTGTACCCATTTAGGCATTTCCATCTTTAGTAAGATCGGAAATTGACACACACACAAAAGAGAGTAAAATACAAAAATCTCATGTTTTGTGTACAAGTAAACACCTTACCAACCAAAGCGAATAAGAAGAAGATACTACGTACTAGAATCACTCATTTCCTCTCTCCTACTCGTGACCAGTCAGCAAGAATCTCTCGTCACGGCGGCTCCGCCGGTCAACGTCGATCAAATCTTCTCCTAGGTTGACGTGTCAACCTGCGACTCTTCCTCCATCGTACAATATACATGAAATACTAATCCAAACCTGATGTTTTCGAGGGAACCCAATAAACCATCATTAATTTCAATTATTATATATACAAAAGATAAATTAATATATAAATAGTTGGTGGTTTTAAAATCTTTTTAGAAAAAATGAGGACTTTTTACCATTTTTATCCTTCAAAAATATAGAAAATTGACACAAAAGAAGAAGTAAAATACACGAAAATATAGATCTTTCAATATGAAGCAAAGCATGCTCCGACCGCCCGTAGAGCGGTTGCGGATCTAAATTTTTCAATCCGTAAAAAAAAACAAATCTTATCGGGCGGGTGTTCATAAATTGCGAGTTGTTCCGGGAAAATCTACGGGGATTTCACGAACTTTAAGAATAAAATAAAATATATAATTATATATAAATTTATCTAATATAGTAGTAAAATTTTTAAAATAATTAGGAATATATATAAAATTTTAATTTTTTGCTTTAAATATATTTTAGAATTTTGTAATGAAAAATATATTCTAGAATTGAAAAATAATTTATCCATTACAGGGCGGATTTTTTGCGGGTCGATAATTTTAAAATCCATTGCAAGACGGGTCTACTGGGACGGGTTGGATTCGCTTGACAGCTAGCAACCAAGTAAACAAGATACGTATAGAATCACTCCTCTCCTCTCCTATCTCTCGTGACCAATGATCCTCTATATTACATGAGATACCCTTACAAGAATCTCACCAATAGAGACAAGATACGTATCCAATCACTCCTCTCCCTATCTCTCTCTCTCGTATCCCATGCAACCAGAAATGTCTCTTGTCACGGCGGCTCCACCGAACAACGTCGATCAAATCTTCCCTGAGGTTGACATGTCCGCCGCCGATTCTTCCTCCATCGTACGTGCTACCGTCGTCCAAGCCTCCACCGTCGTCCAAGCCTCCACCGTCTTCTACGATACTCCCGCCACGCTAGGTAAGGCGGAGAGATTGCTTGCTGAGGCGGCGGATAATGGGTCTCAGCTTGTGGTGTTCCCGGAGGCTTTCATCGGTGGATATCCTCGTGGCTCTAGCTTCGAATTGGCGATTGGTGCTCGTACCGCTAAAGGAAGAGATGATTTTCGCAAATACCATGCTTCTGCCATTCATGTTCCTGGTAAAACTCCTCCATCTCCAATTTTGTTCTCACTTCTGAATTTCAATTATCTGAGACTGAGAATTGTGTAGTCTCTTAAGTTTCCATATGAATGGGCTTGAATGTTTCAGTCTCTACTAGTTATTGTGTTTCTTGAATCATAAAGTGTATGTAAATGTAAAAATACATTTTACTTATTCATCTGTGAATCTTGTTTTAGGCCCTGAAGTGGAGCGATTGGCGGAAATGGCCAAGAAGTATAAAGTATTCTTGGTTATGGGTGTGATAGAGAGGGAAGGCTATACGCTATATTGCACTGTTCTTTTCTTTGATTCACAAGGTCAGTTCTTAGGTAAGCATCGTAAACTCATGCCTACAGCTCTTGAACGTTGTATCTGGGGATTTGGAGATGGATCAACCATCCCTGTTTTCGATACTCCTATTGGCAAAATCGGTGCTGCTATTTGTTGGGAAAATAGGATGCCGTCTTTAAGAACCGCAATGTATGCCAAAGGTTAGTTTCTCTTTGCTTCCACAAAAGGATCAGTGTGGACTAGTCAGAAGTATCAGTGTGTTGCTTGTGATTTGATCATGTTGGTGTGTTACTCTGTTCTGATGTTGCAGGCATTGAGATTTATTGTGCACCTACTGCTGATTCTAGAGAAACTTGGCTAGCATCAATGACTCACATAGCTCTTGAGGGTGGATGTTTTGTTTTGTCGGCTAACCAGTTTTGTCGTCGAAAAGACTATCCTCCTTCACCAGAATACATGTTTTCCGGTTCAGAAGAGAGCCTAACACCGGACTCTGTTGTCTGCGCCGGTGGAAGCTCTATCATTTCACCTTTGGGAATCGTTTTAGCTGGACCAAACTATAAAGGAGAGGCTCTTATCACAGCTGATCTAGGTAAATTATTAACACTTGTTATTCATTTTCTTTCTTGGAAAAAGTTAACTACTAATCATATCCATACTATCTATAATAGATCTTGGGGACATAGCACGAGCCAAATTTGATTTCGATGTGGTCGGGCATTACTCGAGGCCTGAAGTGTTTAGCTTGAACATAAGGGAGCATCCGAGAAAAGCAGTTAGTTTCTCTACTACGCCAAAGGTAATGAAAGATGAATCCGTCAACAAATGATCATTTGTATAAGACCCAAACTTTCTCTGTACTTCGTTTTTTTTTTTCTTTTTTGTATGAAGTTTCTCTGTAATTTGATGAAGTTTATGTGTAATAAACTTCAGAATTTGATTGAAATCAATAAAAATCCAAACCGTTAGATTGAGTTTGGTCTTCTTTTTCTCGTTTATATGCTTGGTTCTGCTCGCTCCATGTTCTTCAAATGTGTACATAAAACTAGTGTGATTCAATAACTTGTTAGTATGAGTTAATTTTTACGAAAAAATAACAGAGACAAACAAACCCAACAAATAGGCTACCAATTCCTCTACACTTCCGAGACACAAACACTCTCTAATGGGCTTGGGCCTTTTTCTTTATTTATATTCCTATCTTAAAATTAAGTTATCACCTTGTGATGGGCTTAGGCCTTTCTGTTTGTATCCACACCTTTTTTTTTCCGACATTCTGTTTGTATCCACCCTATGAGAGCACAAAATGTCAATACAAATATATGACAAAAAAATGAATTTTTTTACGTATGAATTGTTTTTTTTTTGGCTTAGAGGGTAACTACTAAGTACTAACTAACACATTCGTACCGAAACGAACCGAAATATAAAATTTTAAAAATACGGTTTCATATATTAAAAATTTATTTAATCAGAAAATTTGAATTAAACTAATATAAACTTATCGTGTTAGACTGTATTTTAAATGAATATCCAGTCAAATACCAACGAAATCAATTCAATATTTCATCAAACTGAATAAAAACCAAACCAAAGTATAGTTCTATTTGGTTTAAGTTCTATAAAACGGATAAAATTGAAAACCAAATCGAAACCAAAAGTTTGCCCATGTTTGAAACGATCTGTCCACTGACAGTTGGTTGATTTGCTAGTAGCTATATTAGTAACATCAATGTCTTCAAAATAGTGATTTGTATAGGTTCATTGTATATATCAAAGTTTATACAGACAAAGGAGGAGACAAAGAGATAAACCACACACGAACTTGATAAGATCACACTGACAAAATATCTACCTATTATGCGAATGTTTTTAGCATTTGACATTTCTTATCAAATTAATGGTTTCAATGAGAGAAAATAGTTAGCCTAGTGGCACCCAATAATGCTTCTTTACTCTACTATATTTATCTACGGTTCAACTTTAGTAGTTTTTTTTTTTTTCTTGGTACTACAATTCTACAAGCTAATAGATATAAATACCCCAAACCAAAACTATGTAAAACTATGTTATATTTGAAACGTAAAAAAGAAATTTGTGAAGATAAACTTTTGGAACCCAAAACCCTTGATTTGATATGATTTAATGGTTTTTTATATATAATAGTTCTAAGCTAAAATATTATATTGAGTGGGGGACATAGAGCAAGTCTGATTGTTATATGCATTTATCTTTCACACGAATTGACCTATTACCTAATCATGTTTATATGATCGAAAAACTGAAGAGTCATTTTTTGTGGGGGAAAAAAGAGCCTTCGTTTTTTCATGTCATCTTATTAATTATTTCAACTTTTTGGTTGAATTGTTACGAAACATTCTCAAATAGGGTGAAACGTAACGGATATATAGTTGAGACAAAATCACATGGGAAGATGGAACGATGCTGTCCTCCAAATGTCTACACAATAATAGAGAAAATGTCTTGTTTCGTTTTTGATTCAAAACCTTAAACTAATCCCTTCTTGAATCAATTATATCACATTATTGTTCCTTCTTATTCTAATTGTTGTAATCATTATGATTTAATTTACACCAAATCGACGTTTCCATGTGTATATCATCAAAAGCCAAATATAAATAAATTCTTTAATAAATGTCCTCAACCTCAAAGAAGTTGTATGCAATGTACCTTCACCTCCAATTTAAACCCAAGCATGATTTGATTGATATCCTCATATTCCCTACATCCATCTACTTACGGTCTAATTAGTGAATTGTTCTCGAAAATAATCACTTAAGTTCAATAATAGACTTCGAATCCTCACAAAACTACAAACCAATTAATTACAAACTCCGATCATAAAAAGAGTATATTTTGATAGAAATGCAATAATCAAAATTTAGTTACACGAATAAGAAAATGAAATTAATGATTTGATTGGGGATGTAATAATTCGAGGTTAAACCCGGATTATATACATATTTGAGTTGTCGACGAAAAATATATGATATTCCAGCGAATTGATTTTGTTTACCGAAACCAAATCCAATAGTTCGTATGCATGTGTAACTTGTAAACGGTAAAATTTTTGTTTTCCGTGAATTGATTTGTTTAGAAAATAAATCCAAAAGTTAAATTGAATAAATTACAAATAAATAAATATGTATATATACTAAAAAAAAAATTGATTCTTTTTTTTTCTCGCCGGCGCTAGCGGTGGTGATTACACAAACTCAGAGCTTGGTAAACTCCGATGATTCCACTGCTCCGACGATGAAGGACCGACACATCTAACATTTGAAACAATGTAATCTCTCAGAGTCTTCAAAGACTCATCTCTCTCCCCATTCTCAACAATCACTGATCTCTTCTCCACAGGATCATCATCATCATCATCATCTTTGTCCTCATCGCCGGAGCCACCAAATCTTGATTCCCTCCGCTGCTCTCTCCGGCTATCAACATAACCCCATTTACTACCACTCTCCATATTCAACTCAATCGACTTAAGATCACTCTCTTCCTCATCATCAGAACCAGAACCAGAACCATCAATTAACTCCAAAATCCGACGAATCTCCGACGACCCTTTTCCTTCTTCCCCATCCAAAACCCTCCGGAGCTCCTCCTTAAGCCGCTCCACGGCGGCGTATTTATCCTCGAACTCAAATTTCGCCTCCGTAAGCTTCATTTGAACTCTCTCTTCCCTCAAAACATCAGCTATATGCATCATCTCTCTCTCTTTCTCCATCTCCTTCTTATCATCTGCGATTCCTTTCGCGAGCTCATCACAAACCTCTTCAATAACATCTTTAGCTCTCTTCTCTCTCTCCATCTCCTCTTTCATCTTCCTCTCTGTTTCTTTAGCCTCCGCGAGCTCTCTCCCTAATCTTCTGTTCATCTTCTCCGTTCTTTGCCGGAGTTTTCTCTCAACCACCGCCTCTTCTTGTACCCTCTCTATCGACCTCCGCTTCTCCTCCTCTTCCGCATCGAATTCACTCATCAGATGCTTTAAAGAAGATTTTGCTCTGTTTAGTTCGCATAACAGAGCAGAGATCAAACGATTGCTTGCTGTCTTGTGATCATCTCCGAGCTCACCAATCCTTTTTAAAACCTTTACAAGTTCTTTAGACGTTGTTAATCCGTCACTGACATTCTTGAAACGAGTTTTCACCTGTAAAATAATTAATCAGAGCTTTCTTCTTCCACAAGGAAAACTTTTTTTAGGGTAAGAGAGCGAATCATACCGAGTTTGTGACAATGGTTTTGTGTTCGATTAGGTGTAGTTTCTGAGGATTTGTTGATCTTCTACGAACTAAATCTTCACGGAGATTGATTCTCTGTTATATTTTTATTTTGTTGAATTAGAATTTGAGAAAAAGAAAAAAAAACAGAGGAAACTTGAAACTGAAGCAAACCCTAACCTCTGAGGTTAGACGAGAAATTGGATCGGATGATTTTGGCGGGAAATCAATGGAAGAGAACTCTGTTGATTTCTTCGCTTTGTGTCTGGACGGTTTCTTGCTTCTCAAGCAATCTTTATTGGAATTTACAGGAGGGTCTGCGTCGTCGTTGATTTCCCACAGCGTTGCAGCTAGCTTTCTCGCCGACACGGAGCTTTTCTGTAATTGATGATGATCTATAGGAAGATTTTCCGGCGAAAACGATAACAGCACAGGAGTTTTAGCGGCTGTGATGGACTTAACCGGAGTTCCTGAGCCACCACCACCACCACCATCATCTTGAGCAGCTCTTTTCCCGGCGAAAATTGCGCGTTTGAAACGGTTTCGACGAGCAAGAGAAGAAGAAGAAGAGGACGAACCACCTCTCTTCCTGATCTTACAACCTCTCTTTCGTTGTTCCATAGTTGATATTTAAAACAACAAATCAGAAACACAATTGTACCAAACAAAACTTGCCGGAATATAAGAGAATTAAGAAATAGGGTTGAAACTGGAATTGGTTGGGGCCTTTTAGGAGAAGTGAGTCATGAGGTTGATCATCTTTTAAAGATCAGAAGCAGTTTCTGGAAGATTTTGTGTTTGAATCTATTAAGAGACTTTAAAGTGAGTGAAAGAGAGAGAGAGAGATATAATACAAAAAGGGAAAGTTAAGATGATGTTTTTCTTCTTCTTCTTTTGCTTTTTTCTGTGTAACTAAACAAAAGAAGAGAAGACTCAAAGATTCTTAATCCCTTTGAAGACGTTGAAAAAGAAGTTTTGAATCTGGGAAATTGTGTTTTGTTTTCTTGGGAGAAGAAAGAGAGAGAGAGAAATGTGGAAGAAGAGGAAAGAGAGATGGAGACAGTGTTATGTTTTTGTTTTTGTGTCTTGTCTACTTGAGCAATGTAAATTTTCTTTAGAGGGTTCTTGATTCATGAACCAATGTTGTCCAATTTCGTCAATTTTTATTAATATATTAAAAATAATTTCATTCATAATCAATAAGTACAAATCTTGTTGCCGCTAACTCATTAACGCAACGATGACTTGGAAAAAAGGTATCATGGAATCCATGTTTTCAAATTAGTGCTTTCTAAAGAGTTTAGAATCTTTAGACCACAATTTAGCTTGGTTTGGTTTGATCGGATTAGACCGGATTCTGTTAACTTTTTGTAGTCTTTTTCTTGGAGAAAAATATGAGCATCAAATAAAGACAACGTACTAGATTATCAAAATTAGCATCAACCTCTATGCTACGTCAAAATCTAGCATTGTTTTCAACAAACATGAATATGGGTGACATATTTTGAAATAAATGAATATGCATAGACAAGATACATGTGCCAAAAAAAGTATCTTGCCTTCGTTTTTTTTTTGTAAAACCTATTTAAGAACTCTTGTTCAAACAATTTTGAAATTTGAAACTCTTTTATAAACTTATAGCTTCTATCTAGGGAGGCATGGATTAACATCAATACACCAAAAATTCCAAACATTTGTTATATGTTATTGGAATTGCCCCACATCGAAACTTTGGCAAATTTGAGACTAATATATATAGTAGATGTTCACTTATTGTCAATTAGTTCTGGGCCGGAAGTTCATATGTACTAAATAAACTATTAGTATATATGGGCTTCCAACTCAAAACTATTTTTATAACAACACATTAATTATTCAATAATCCAAACCTCTTATTCTCAAGGAACAAGTTAAACTATACATAATAAACAATCATATTTACACAATGAATACATGGTTTTAGATTTTTAGATTTCATAATTTTTTTTTTGAAGTTTATTGCTGCTCTAAAACATATTAGTATTTTTAGACTGTAAATCAGACCAAAAAAATTTCCTAGATGCCTTAACAATTATTACTATCCAATCAAAATTCACAACTCAAAACCAATGATTTTCTATACTAATTTGAAAACACAGATTTTGTGATTGGCATATGAATTATGAAAGACAGGCACATGCTGAGTACAATAATAATAAATACTTATGGAACATCCCAAAGAGATAGATGCCTTCTCTGTCAGTCAAATCAAATCCTTCCTCCAGATTCTTTTTAACTCATTACAAATAATTTAACATATTACTAATTTTAAAATAAAATTAATACGAGTAAAAATAATTTTAAAATTTGTGAAGGCTAAGACAAGTCCCACGATGATAAATTGATAATACAAGAAAAATAAAAACAAAGATGAACGGCTCTGATAAAATTGGGTCCTAGTATGTTGCTCTCTTTTATACTTTTGAGTCTTTGACTACTACTCACATATCACATGGAGAAATTGACTAAAATGTCATATTACTATACTTTTATTCAATATACTAACTACTCTTCACAGCTATTCACCATAGGTCCAGAGTCATTCATCTAACTCTAATTGTTTAATTCATTTAATCTAATTTAGCTTGTACTATCATCTTTATTAAACACAAGAAACTAATAGATAAAAAAGCAAATATTATAACTAAGAACATAATGGTCCCATGGTCTAGTGGTCAGGACATTGGACTCTGAATCCAGTAACCCGAGTTCAAGTCTCGGTGGGACCTTTTCTCTACTCTTTCTTTTCTTTTTTGGATTTGGTCTTTCTCGTTTACCACAGTTCTCAAGAAACATGACAAAACATTTTATAAAAATGGAATTGTAGTCAAAGATGTTCAAACAAAGTGCAAAATTAGAGCTTCTCAACACTACAAAAAACCATTTATAAAGAAGATCAAAACCATTTTCTTCCTCTCTTATGTTCTTAACCATATCAAAAATACTCCTCCCTAGCGTTGGATGCTAAAGTCATAACTGTCCCTTCTCTTTAAAGTGTTGCACCACCGGAGTTTCGGTTTTCCAGTTTACTCCCACTTAGACTCTCCTCCTAACCCGATCTCAACTTCCATGGGAAGATCAATCACTACACTCTTGCTTTGCTTCTTTTCAATTTTCTTCTTCTTGTTAGCTTTAGTATCTATCACTTTCACTAAACCTGTCTCTTGCACACTGCTTCTCTTCTTCTTCTCAATACCGTCACCAGAAGAACCCTTTGACACATTTTCCCGAGAAAAGATTTCTGCAAAAGAGGTTTCAGCATCATCGATAGCATCGAGTTCCTCCTTTGGAGTAGCCCTTTTCTGTTTCTTCTCAGCATCATCATCATCATTGTTACTTTGGATTTTCTTCTGTTTATGTTCTTCATTCTTTTCTGTTTCAACTTGATCTACATTTGGGTTGCTCTTAGACTTCTTCTTCTTGGTCTTGTGATCATCATTGTTGGCTTCTTCTTCTTCTGACTTGTTTCTCTTGGAGCTCTTCTTGCTTTTTCGATCTTCTTTGGATTGTTCTTCTTCTCCTGATTTGTTGTGATGAGCATCAAAGTTTTCATCATCGGTATCAAGCCGGGTATGCTTTGCATTCCTTGAGCTTTTTTCTAAGGGTTGAGCGTTGAATACATTCACTGAAGGGAGGAGCAACGCTCTCACCTGCGACAGTAAAACATTTTTTTCATTCTTATTTGATTTCTTCACGCAGTAACACTAATCACGATGGAAAAAGGAAGTACAAAAGGGGTTTTACCTTCTTAGCTGACTTCTCGTTATCAGAGATCGGGTTTCCTCGAATATTCAGGTTTCGCAAGCAAGATAGTGTACCCAAAACCTATCATTTGGGAGCACACAATTTTGACGGTTTATTATTAGAACACCGCAAAAACTTGCCACAAGCTAGGGAAGGCAAACAATACCTCTAAACCAGAGATTTTCGTAATCATATTGTTTCCGACATCCAAATTCAGTAGTCTTTTGTTGACTGCTAGTTCTGCTGGGAGGGCCTGAAGATTTAAGCGTATATGAAATAACCATTAGCAATATAAATTGTGGAAAAGGCAGGTGATGTTCTGTAGAATTGCATAAATGTAAGAAAGATCACCTTAATTTCATTGTGCGCAAGTCGCAGCTCTTTCAAATCAGAGCATGACTTGAGAGAAGCCCCAATAGCTTTTATTCTGCAGTCAGACAAAGAAATCTGAAACCGAGATGGGGTTAGACAGGGATCAGTTTAGTTGTGATTCCGAAACGGGAGGAAAACTCGAGCTTACTTTAGAGAGGTTTTTCAACTTTGAAAGTGAGTCACCGATTTCACTGATTGGGTTCCTAGAAAGAACTGCATGAATTCATCAAAAATTGAAGTACAATGAAATCTAGCTTGTAACATCTAAAGAGTAACGTGTTGTTCTGATGTAAGAGCATACCGAGACTGTTCAAGTCTTTCAGTAGATCTAGCTTGCAAATGGAGGAGATTTCATTGTCTACAATAAGTGAAACAATATCGACGAGTAAGTAATCAATAGTAGCTTGTGGATGCAAAGACAAAAAACCCGTTGATTTGTGTCGTATAACTCACCATTCAAAATCAATGCCCGCAAATTGACAAGAGTAGAGATCTCATTCATGGATTTGAGCTGATTCTTTCCAGCATTTAGCACCTGATAACAAACGACATCACACAATCAAATCAAAGCACACATATTTACTCGTTTTCTATCAACAATAAAGCTTAATCCTGGAGAATCTCACTTTTGATAAGTGATACACATCTCTTCTTATGCAAAGAAACAAGCTTAGTGATATCAGTGGAACGCACCGTAAGCTTAGTGAGTGCTTCAATTCCACTTAAGCTTTGCAATTTATTCTCCACAACTGAAAGCCATTTCAAGTTCACACAAGACTTGAGTCCCTAGAAACCAATAACACATCAACATAATAAGCTCTAGAGAGTTAAAAAACCACAACCTTAGTATTGCTATATGCTTATATAACAAAGAGATTATGTATCAATCAGACCTGAAGATCCTTGAGGTTGTTGAAACGAAGATCAAGCTTCTCCAAGTTTTTGAATTTGCTCAAACAAGACACCTAAAGATCAATTAAACAATTAGGGTTTCGTATCAGTTTCTTAATGGGAACAGAGTTTCAGAACAGAAACAATAATACTCACGTCGGTGAGAGCTTTGTGGCCGAGATTAAGTTCCTTGACGGAATCAGGGTCATGGGTCTTCTTCTCTTTCAGCACTTGTTCAACGGTTAACGAATTCATCGCCGTCTTCGTCTTCTTCCTTTGTCACTAAAACCCTAGTCTTCTTCTTTCACCCTATTGAAAGACTGTCTCTGTTCCCGACCGTGACAATATTTTACCGAAAAACCCCACAGTTTTCTATTGTTTATAAATTTCACCTAAATATTACTGTAGGAATCAGGGACACCCTCTTATAATATCTGGTTCTGACAATACACTTTACAAAATTGTTTTTTTTTTTTCTTTCTTTTTGGCTCATCATCAAACATTAACCAAATCGACAATTACAGCATGTTCCATAAAACTGTTTGGTCTTTGAAGAATTGTTATAATTCAATACTAAAACCAAAAATGAATTTTAAAATACATGAAACCATATTTCAGTTTTCATTACTTAGCACCACAAACAAAATATTATCAACTGAATTCAGAGAAACAAATTGTATCTCATTAGACTAGCCATTTTCCATGTTACGACATTACAAAATAGTTAAAGAGAAGAAACCGCAGAACAAAATATGAGATGTTTCAATAAAATGTGCGATTAGTGTTCTTCTCATGAGATGTATTTTTCTTGTTGCTCATGCAAAAGCTTTGCTGAAGATTTGGCATCCAAGTAGAGTGATGTTACTTCCTCTATATCAGCCTGTCAAATTTTAAGATGATGGATTAATAACAGTAACATTCACACATTTTACATTGCTTTTTATTGTTATTCTAAGATTCACAAGTAAAATACCTTGCAAATATTGTCACGTCCATTCATTTTCGCCACAATGCTGGCAGGAGACAGAAGCTGCACAGCGTGCCTGAAAGTGAAAGCGCAAAAAAAGGTTTTAGTATTAGATTCAAGAACAAAAATCTTGCTTAGAGAAAGCAATGATGACAGTACCTTAGTGAAGTTCTTTGCCCAATGTCCCCAAGTAGAACCAAGCATTCTTCATCCACAGTTAGTTCTTCAACTTGCGCACGAATGGCTATAATCTGAACAAATAACAAATCTATTAGATTGTTGTTAGTAGTAATTGAAATCCAAAAACTAAATGACAATTAAGCAACCTGTATCATTTCAGAGGGATCATAGATTTGAGTCCGGATGATGACCAATCGATCCAATAGGTCAATAGGGACTCCATGGGGGCTGGGCATATCAGTACCTCTGCAAATTAAGTAAATCACAGCACTTAGCTAACAGAAACTCACAAGATTTCCAAAGATAAAAATGTTTATCAAGGTCTAGCGCATCTCCTCACCTTACGTTGCAGACACCTCTATTTGTTGCAAATATCACTATTGGGGATAATGAGCTCTCAAGAGCACGGTTCAAGTATGAAAAGCACTCCATATCAAGCATATGAACCTGAGGTTTTGTAATTAACAAAGTTATTCTCGCTGCTCCTGAGTCCTGAGCAAGATCATTATGGTGGAATGAAAAAGATTAATATTTAGGAAAATACCTCATCGATAAATAGAACTCCAGGAACAAGCTCCGCCACACCTTCATCTATATAACGATTCACAACCTACAATACCATATAAAAATATTAGACCTTGCAAAGAAGAAAGTAAGATTTTTAAGAAAATCAAGCATGTTCTAGAGAAAATCACCTTGTTAATTTCTTGCCGAAGCTTATCAGTGATCTCAGTCTTCCGGGGTTTCATCATTTGTCCCATCAAGGAAAGTATATCCTGGCCACCTTGAGGTCGAGCATTTGCTGCATCCAGATCTTGGAGTGTGACATCCTATCCACAGTGAAAGAAATTTTAGAGTATAAAATGAAAGAAATGTTCAAGTCAAAAGTATATAGTCTAGTTGAGTAACAAGTAGTCATAATAAATATAGGAACTAAGGTTAAAACACATATAGAAACTAATCCACAACAGATAATAATCAACAAAAATAATAATTACTCCACACAGAAGGGAGAGTTCTTGGAATAAGCAGAGGTCATAGAAGGTAAACCTGCACTATCTCTTTCTTTTTGTGAACCTCTCCTTTGGGAAGTGGAACATATTCCTCTGCTTCCAGATCGAATTCAGTGGCAAAAGCATCACTTCGACCTACCCGTTTGACAGCTCCACTGTTTGCTTCGATATAGATAACATCTCCTACAGCTACCTGAAAGGCAATTAGGCAAACAGTAAATATAACAATTGTCAAAGTAATCAGACAATTGTCAAGAACTGTAATCAGTAACTTCATACACAATTGTCAAGAACTGACCTTTTCCTTAATCAAGGCATCGTAAATAGTGGGATCCAACTTCAGATGTTTGGTTCCTTTGACTGTCTTGAGTGTAATGACAACATGGCTGATGCTTTTACCATAGCCTCCAGTGAGGCTTTCAGTTTCTTCTGGTGACAGCTCGGTGACCTAGAACTCAAGGAAAACATGTCAAAAACCAAACGGCGAGACATACTATTGCATAAGAATTCACAGCAAAAGGCACCGCAAATAGCAACTCACCTCCCCTTCATAGACTTCTTTGGTTTCCTTGATACGTAGACCAATTGCACGTCTAAAATTCTCCATGAGAACCTCTGTTTTCTTAACCTCTGATGAGTAAACCTCAGATCCAACCATTGGACAGAATGGAACCTGCAAGCAAGAAACAATTCAGATAAAATAAGCTAAAAGTAAAAGAAAAATGCTTCATACAATGAAGCCATGTGGAAACATGGAATAAAGAAGATGCAAAATGAGACATCCAAGATTACCTTGCTTCCCAGCTCTTGAGAAATTCCAAGAGCCAATGCTGTTTTCCCGGTTCCAGGAGGTCCAGCAAGTAAAAGAGCCTTACCCGCCATTTTCTTCTGCTTAATCATGTCCACTACAAGACCAGCTGCCTCTCTAGCCTCAAGTTGACCAACAAATCCAGCCGCCAATTTTATAGGAATACCGGTTGGCTAGAAAAGGAGACGAAACATTAGCAACCGAAATGATGTACTGGATATAGAAAGAGATCACACACATGCTTGAGAAACTACAGTCAGTAAAAGAACAATAGATAGCTAAATAAAATCACAGTGCAGTCCCAAAGTAGAAGAGCACCATCAAGGCAAAGTACGGGTCTTCAAGCATCGTTAGGAACAATAGTACATAATAGATACATTCAATTGAATCTTTGCAAATCAAAACCAGAGTATAATTGTGCTACAGCCGAAAAAGGTGTAGGAGCATACCAAACGAAGCAATTAGCTTTAAACCCCTAAAAATCCTAAAAATTTTAAACCCAAAGCCTCAAAGAACTTTGAACAATACGACCATACTGCAATACATCTAGATGCATTATCCCCCCAAGAAAGTCAGAAACTTTACAAATGAAAACTAGGGTTTGGTTTTGCTAGAACAGATAAAAGAGTCTCTAAGCGTACCAAACGAAGTAACTAGCTTTAAAACCCTAAAAAGCATAGAACTTTAAACCTTAACTAAACCCTAAACTCGAGCAAACTACTGGAAATCTACAAGAGTCAAAGAGAGAGGAGAAGGAGCACCTCGAGGCCAAGACCTTTGATATGGGTGTGAGTAGCAATCCGCTGTTTCTTAGCGGTGGACTGAATTTCTTCAATCTTTACTTTCTCCATCTCCGCCAACAATTACTGTGATCTTTTATGTCTTTAGTTATATTCTCCGACGACGACGACGGCGGAAATAGTTGAGCTCTCTCGAGTTTGCAACGCCTCCCTCTAACTCCAAATTGACAAAACCTCAAAGTTTATACTATGTTAAATTCTTTGTTGCAACAATGGATCTTATATTCTCCTTTATTTACAAAAATCACCCCACACTTTTTTAAGTAAAAAAATGGAAAGTAAACTAAAAACAATTGGCGAAACAATTAGGACTCAAATACATAAATGTAAATTAAGGGGTGAAATTAAAATATACGAATAAATAAAGGGTCTTCGTTTTGGTAAGAAAAGGGATAAGCTTTTTTTTGGTGCTTCTTCGTTGTCGCAGTCTCTCGCTACATGGAGAGTCTCTCGATTCCCGCCGCTTCTTGGTTTTCCGGCGGAACCATTCCTCCGACGAATGTAAGAATTTCTCTACCGTATCATCTTCGGAGACCATCGAACAGGAATTCCCCTCGCTTGTCCGCCATTAACGCCGCTTCTCGCTCTGGTTACAATAAATCTCTCCCTCTCTCTCTCTCTCTCTCTCTCTCTCTACAATGAACCTTCCTTATCAAATGTGGAAAATTTCATGTCTTTTGCTGTTTTGTTGTTTAGTGAGTGAGCTAGTGGAGGAGGATGTATTGCAAATGTTCTTGAAAGACAGAGAAGAAAATGGAGATTTCATTTCTAAAGTTTCTGATAGGCTCTGGTTAAAGGACATTCTCGAATCTATTGATCTTAATTCCAATGGAGCTTCCTCTTCAACTGTTGGACTAGAGACTCAGGTAAAGTGTCTTTCACTTGTTCATTAGTAATTGTTGCTAGTTTTTTTTAGTTCTAAGTTTGCTTTTGACAATTGAAATTGCTTACTATTATGTATCGAGGAATAGTTATATGATCTTGTTGCAATTGTTATGTGAGTCACTACATTTTTATGAAATCTAGTATTGGTTTGTGCATTTCTGGAATCTCATAGCTTTCATGGCAACACTCTTCTACTTGGAACTGTTACTTTGGTTGGTATAGGTCCTTATCAATGTATTTATGTTCTATATGTAGGAGAGCTTGATAGCTGGCGTAGATGATGATGATGATGATGAAAGTGGTTTCTTGAAACTTAAACCGACACAAGAATGGATTGGTTGGGAGAGTGATTCCGCCCCCATTAATAAGAAAGCTCTAGCTAAGGTGAGTCATCTATTGCTAAATGTTCTAGTTCTCTGTCTTTATTTCACACACCCTTCTTCTCATTGCAATATTCTGCTGCGTTTTTCCGACTTCCTCGATAACCCTTTGGGTTCGATTGCAGGCATTACGGGATGACAGGGAAAGAATGAAGAAATTTAACTTGCTGAAATATGAAGCTGTATGATTATTCCTTTCAGTATGTTTCTTAATTAGTCTGCCAGTCAAATCTTTAAGATTCAACAAAACACTCTATTGTGGAAAATGGATGTTCAGTATGTGATGCCACTAGTTAATTTGTGTAGAATGAACTTTGACATTGCTGTGTTTGTGTCTTTAATTTTGTAGCTGAAGCGTGAACTCATGTACCTGTCGATTGTAATTGGAACTGGCTGCAGCGGATATTGCTTACTAGCTTTATCAGCTCAGGTAACCTCTGTCAAAGCTCTAATTAATCAGTTTATACCATGGCTTCTCTATGCTCCCTAATTAGATTAGTCATACGAAAATGTGTCTTAAAGAAATATTGTGTCATCTGACAGGCTGCAGTCAGTTATGCAGTTGGGGTTCTTTTCAGGTTAGTTGTCTATATAAGTTCTCCAACATGCTTGACGAGCACTCATGCATTCCTAACCAAACCTGATTCCAGTGCAGTTGCTTGTACCTTCAGCTTTTATACGGATACGCTGATGATCTTTCACGTGAAGCTGTTCCTGGTATCTTCCTGAAAAAAAAGTCTAAAAAGTAAAGACCTTGAGAACTTTATAGTCTGGTCACGTTTTGTTCTCACTTCCCATACTCACATTGCTCTTAACTTGCTTTTGTATTGTCCCAACTTAGAATCGGGATCAGAAGTGAAGACCTTGAGGACTTTGTAGAGAGGACCATCAGGGGCAGCGGCCTGGCTCTCTCTTCTCCACGCCTGGTGATCCCTGCTGCAATTTATGGTTTGTGGATACTCTCTCACAAGTATTTCCAGAACGACTTGTTCGACTTTCAGGTAGCTATTCCTATTTGCTATAGGTTTCAGCTTTGTTTATTCATGTTTCCACAAAGTTGTAATTTTGTTTCTCTGATCATAGCTATCTTTTCACAACTTGTTGTAAAGTTTGAACCTTTTTTATTCTCGACAATGGTTGTGCTTTGCAGATAGTTCCAGCCATGGTTGGTTTGTTTGTATACAAAGCCGCAGCTCTGGTTCAAGTGTACAGAGACAACCAAGATCTTCAGTTCATCTTCCCAGATGACTACTAACTACAAAGTTCACAAGCGAGAGACCTTGCTAAACAGACCAGGGAATCGCAGAATTGTGAATTGTTCAGTACATATATTGAGAGAGGAACAGAAGCTATACTCATCCGCTAAGACCAAGGATATAGTGAGTTTGTGGTGAGTTATAGATCAAAACGGCGTTATTTGGTTCTTCTCAAAAGCAAAGCAACCTCTTCTATTTTTAAAAACATTCTGGGTTTACTACTTTTCTAACGAAAACAATAATACAATGTTTATCTGCATGACTTGATGAGTTTACTATATTGGATTTTGCTTCTTTTATTAATATTTGTGCGAGTGTGAATGGGGAGGACCGGAGGAACTATGGTTTTTAGCAGCCCCAGTAATATAAATAGTGAGTTTAAGAATCCTACTCTAAAACAAGCCATTGGAGACAAATACGACCAACCTATGGACAACGTGCAAAAAGTAGAGTTGGACATATTTCTCTACAAGCTACGATCCGTGTAAGGTAGATCCAAGAAATAGGCGACGATCAGTTTCGTGAACTTTGGATCTACCTTAAAAGGATTGTATTTCACCCCTGTATGACTATAATCGCCGGCTATGTATTTCACCCCTGTATTTCACCTGGTTTCCTATAACAATCTTTCAGATGATTAAAAAAAAAAAAAATCATAAGCGAAAATACTTTGATAAAATATTAATGAAAGAAACAAAAATCCAATATAGTTTATAGTCAACTCATTAAGTAACCCAGGATGTCTTCTTCTTTTCTCTCCTCTTTATGCAAATTAGTTCCCTGATATTCATTATACTCCTGCACTCTGAAATTTTTTCACATTTGGCCTTTAAATTTCCTCATGGTAAACAACTACCATTTACCAAACCTTGGGGAAAATTTAACAAAAGAGGTCAAATCTATATTGGATTGATTTTTTTTACACAATCAAACGGTCAAATCTCGTCGACAAAACAACAATACAAACGTTAAAAAAAAACAAAAAAAAAAAAACTTTCCACTTTCTTTTATCTCACAAAGGCCACTCCGATTAAGAAACAGTGATTTTTTTAGAGTATTTGGCCTATTGGTAAAACATTATCAGCAAAAAAATAGGGCAAACTAGAGTAAAATGACCCTTTTTAATGGTATCTTCAACTTTTCTTTCTTTCTGCACAACATCCGATTCTCTTTAGGCTTTCTGTTTCTCCAGCTTTGGACAAAATGTGATTCCGCAAATAAATGTTACAGCAAAGAAGAGTATAGTATTCAAGACCGTAAACTCCATCCACGTGCAGCCAATTCACGCCGTATTCTCGTAGCTGCCTCTGCTGTGTCATTCAATGGCGGATAACTCCAACTTTCCGACATCTATAAAAAATCATTAGAACCAAACCAAAATGAATACATGGAGGCCATAACAGAACTCCCACAAGAGACCTCTCTAATTTTTTACAGGATCCACTGACACGGACAAAAAATGGGGAAAAGATAGCTCTAAAATGTAAAGATACTTACATCTTCGAAACCTGTAAATGAGCGGACGACTCCTCGCTCCCTCAAAGTTTTTTGGAATTCTGCAATCTTCCATTTACAGTGATCGGCTCCAACAACATACACTGGTTTCCTGCAGCAGACAAGGAATACTAAGGTTATAATTTAAGTTGCTGGAAAAAAAGAAAGCTTTTGTCTCAGAATATTATATACCCGGTGCTACAAGCTTCGCTTATCAGACTGACAGAATCTGCTGTTACCACAAAGGCATCACCCCAAGCTAGATGTCCCATGTAAGGATCTGGTTCTGAATTAGCATTTTAAAAACACATTAGAAACATTCGTGGTCGCATTGTACTTGTTCATAAAGCTGAAGCAAAATTTGCTGTTGATTGTAGGTACCTTGGCCATTCCATATGTAAACTTTGGGGTTATCTCCAAGTTCTTTGAAGATTACTCTTGAAACCTGCTTGCATAGTAAAGTACCAGGTGAAACTCAAGAAGAACATCAGATATAACTCTAGGTAGAAAAAGGAAACTGTGTCAAGAGACCTTTGCAGGGGTTTTGTAGGAAAGAGCAATTCTGACACTTCCACAGGTAGCAAGGACATTAAGAAGGGAGTCTGTTAGCTGCTTTGCTAGGTCTGCTCCATACCGACAGCTACCTGTTCAGAAAGACAAAATGATACCATGGCAATAAGGTAAAAGCTTCAGTATTCAGAGGATATAGGCGGTCATGTGTTATATGCTGGAAATAGAAGAACGCCTTCTAGTAACTTAAAAGAGTAAACAAAACCTACTTCTAGGCCAGCCGATGTTAACCACAACTAACGGCTTTGGAAGAGCAGCAAATTCATCATGCCAGGCACTAGCTGCTTTACGGAGTGAGGCATAATCGATCTGGTGCAGAGCTCCAGTAGTCAAGACCTGAAAATAGGCGTGTCCATTCATGGTAATTACAAATGAAATCTCCACAATAAGTGGAGAAGAGCATTGAGCAAAAAGCATGGTACTTGATACTTACTACATGATCCTGAGGAGGTTCACGTGGAGTTATCCAACTACGCATAAATCTAGGAACCTGCTCTTGTGCTTCAAGTGTTAGAGGATAGTAGTCATGACGAGGCGTGATCACCATATCAAACCTATTTAAATGTGATCTAGGATGTTGTATCTACAAAATGAAGACCAAATAGCACTATTTTAGAATTCCATTTTCTTTCTCTAGAAAATCACAGGATTCAGCAACAAAATTCTTCCAAAGATACAAATAACTTTTTATCTCGAATTGTATTTCAGAACTAAGTCTACTGTGCCTTAATAAGTAACATAACAAACAGGTTAAATCTTATTACAGACCTGAACAACGAAGACGTTTTCAGAAGCCAAACGCCTTATCGAGCTAGCAATAGAAATTGTATCTCTTCCACATGCAATCACGACCAACGGGCCATCCCTGTGACAAGGAAATAAAATCGCTTAGCCATATGTGCAATACGATTCCCAATCCATGGAGAAACAGAAATTCGTGATAGAGGATGGGAAGGCATACACTCAGGCTTCAATTTTGCTTGAGTACTACTTGCAACTCATAAACACGTAATAATACCCAAATTAACAAGCACCACAAAGAAATTTCAGAAAGATTACATACTTTTCATAGGTCTGACGTGCCATATTCACAATGCTCTTCACATCAGCCTCTAGAATAGAAGCCAAACCTACATTACCACCATTCTCTGAGGGTACAGATGAGATGTATTTACTTTGCTTGGATCCAAGCATCAATCTGGAGTAGAGGTAAATATGCCTGAGGATAAAGTCCAACTTCTTGTGAAAACCAACTGGGAGCCAGTGCAGCCACTCATTTATCCCTCCTTTAGGCCTGGTCACTCGCTTGCATCAAGAAAAACAGATAATCTCAGCGTACCAAAAATCATGTTAAATGTAAATTTACGTGAATGTCGAAACAATTGATGATCAAGAAACTAGAGAAGCCAGACACGAAATTCAGTAATTGCACCTAGGACTAATGCTACTATCAAGACCTAGCAAGCTCTAACATGGTGGAATACCAAACTGGCACTATTTCTCTCTAAGGAAACCCTTGATTCAAAAGCAATCATCAATCTCACTACTAAATCATGCGCCTAGCAAAAACTAATGAAGATAATGGAAATTTCGAGTATATGATCAATGGTAATAGTCGAAGAAATGAAAAAAACGAGTAGAGGCTAGATCAAACTCACGTAGAGTAGGTGATTATCGGCTAAGCCGAGCGCACGAACGAGACCGATACACTGATTCTCGGAGCCAGGGAAACCGTTTCCGATGATGACGGCGCGTCTGACGACGTTCTGAGCACCGCCTTGTTCGAAAATATCAGGTACGCCGGTGGATAAACTGGGTGGATCCGGCAACAGGATTGGCCTCATGCCGGTGCGATTTCAATTCCGATTCCGATCAAAAACCCTAGAGGAAAACCACACCGAGATTTGGGGATTGATCTCAACTCTGTTATAGAGGTCGTGCTATGACAATTTGCGAAAAGTCAGATAAAGAGATTTTTTTTCTTTTCTCCTTCAACTCTTCAAGAGCGTGTCTTTACGCAAAATTGGGACAAATTAAAACTCTTAAACATAATTTTGGTATTCAATAAAACTAATTTTGTCAAAACAAAACATTTTTTGAGTGAGTAGAGTATATTTTTTTTAATGGAAATTACTAAATTAGTTAATTTTGTGGACTATTTTGTTCTTAATTTAACTGTTATGGGAAGAGTAAATTTTTTTGGTAACATGTTACTTTTTGTGTAAACGTTTAATTTGCGAAATGAAATTAATTTTGTTCCATAACACATTCTATTTTATGTAAATATCTAATTTATAAAATAAGTTGTATTATTTAGAGTTTTGATTTTAGAACTTTAAATTTTGGGATTTTGTTTTTGTTATGATCTCACCGATTAAGAGTCATCAAAAATTAAAACAAAGCACTATTTTGGAACAATATGTCACATAATTGCTGATTTTCTAATTGTCACCTCTAATGTTGTGGCTTGTTATTTTATCTTATGAACCTCTTCTTAGGCCCAATATGTAGAATTTGATTGTCAAAAGGTAAAGCCTTATCTGAAAAAAGCCCAACCATTCATTGTTCTTCATGTGCCTCATTTTGTCTCGCTCTCATACTCACAACTCATAATTAATTGTTAACACACTTATCTAAAAGCTATGTTCCAGACTTGTCTAATTTAAAACTCGACTTTTATGAATCATAGTATTAAAAAAAAAAGAAGCTACAGATCTCAAGACTCGAGAGTCACGATAGAGAATATAAAATTGCAGAAATTATGATTCAATATAATTATATATCTTAGCTGTTGTTAACACGTTAGATGTTGAATTTAGGAAATGAATTTATTGGGGTACTTTCATAGTATTATATATACAAATATAGCTCTCACGATGATAAGATAATTTAATGTGTCCAGGTTGTACACAGTTAGGAATATGAAATAATTCAACTATATATTATATTATTTTAGTGGAATTCGAACAAGATATGGTAAGATAATAATCTCGTGGAAAACTCTCAAGGGGATTGATTGCACATGAATAAATCACTGGAGATCGATAAGGTGTTCACACATTACGTGTCTTTGTTATATTTGGGGTTACAAAGATGCATTTATATGATGGAGTACCATCTTGAGATCTCCAGAAAACAAACGGCATTTGAATAACAAAAGATCAAAACCACAAAATGGATCCATCACCCAAAATACTACCAATTTACAAATATCCTTTTGACCATTTCGACTCGTTTTGTTAATGATTCTTGTAAAGGCTGCAATGTAAAAGCCTAAAAGGTCCCATCTATGGCGGCTACCGTTGCAACGAGCCTACCTCTACTGGTTTGTTCTTCCACAAAGAGTGTGCGGAGGCTCCACCAGAGATTATGAACCATCCTTCTCATCCTCAACATCCTCTCAAACTCCACAATTCTCTACGAAAACCTTGTAAGTGTAATATATGTGGCAAGACCTTTTTCGCTTTTGGTTATCGTTGTTCATCAAAATGCGACTTCACCGTGGATCTCACCTGTGGGATAAATCCATTGCCGCTTGCTATTGAACATCCAGAGTCTCATCATCATCCAATTGTCTTCTTGAAAGAACCTGCAAAGCCGGGCCGGCGCAAATGTGGAATTTGCAAGGGATATAATGGTGGATGTTCTTATGCATGTATTGAATGTGAAGTCCACTTTCATGTCGAGTGTGTCAATTTTTCCCAAGAGGTGAATCATCCTTCTCATCCTCAACATTCTCTCGAATTACTTGGATACGAATCACTAACAAGTGATGCCGAAAAGACATGTCTTTTATGTGGAGAACGACCAGACAAGGTGCTTTATCGCTGCTCGATATGCAACTTCAGCGTATGCCGATTCTGTACAAAAGATCCACCACCCCTTGCTATCGAGCATCACAAGACGCACGAGCATCGACTTGTCCTCTTATCAAGACTCATTTCATTTGAATGTAATGCTTGTGGGATGCAAGGTGATCGAAGTCCATACATGTGTATTCAATGTGGGTTTGTTGTCCATCGAACTTGTATTGACTTACCACGTGTCATAAATATCAACCGTCACGATCATCGAGTCTCTCTCACTCATCATCTCGGTGTTGGATACTCGAAATGTGGAATTTGTCGCAAAGATATAAGTCAATACAATGGGGCTTATTCCTGCTCTCGTTGTCCCAGCTATGCCGCTCATTCACTATGTGCAACAAGAAACGACGTATGGGATGGGATAGAACTCGAAGGGACACCTGAGGATAACGAAGATATTGCGCCGTTCAAAGTGGTGGGTGATAACTTGATCAAGCATTTCAGTCATGAAGAGCATAATCTAAGACTCAACAAGGACAATACCAATCGTGACGAAGGCTCACGTTGTGAAGCATGCGTTCTTCCTATCTATTCCGATCCGATCTACAACTGTGAGGAATGTCGTTTCATTCTCCATGAGAAATGTGCTAATCATCCAAAAAAGAAACGACATGTATTCAACACAAAACCATTCACGCTATGGTCCAGACCACCAAGAACATTCCATAGCAAAGATTTTAGATTCTACGATGTCTTTCGCTGCAAGGCTTGTAGAACGAAGTCTACTGGTTTCAGGTACATTTCTGATTGGTGGGTTCTAGATGTACGTTGTGGTTCGCGTTCTGAACCGGTCATTCATGATGGTCACAAACATCCTCTATATTACGAAAATAAGGAAGATCACTGGTGTGATGCATGTATTAAAGAGATAGATGGTTATCTGCTTTCCTGTGACACTTGTGACTTTGATCTGGATTTACGCTGTACTGATTTACCAAAAGTGGTAAAGCACAGCTGCGACGATCATCCTCTTTCCCTATGCTATGGAGAAAATGCAACCGGAAAATATTGGTGTGATATTTGTGAGGCGGAAACAGATCCAAGTAAGTGGTTCTACACTTGCTCTGAATGCGTGGTTACTGCACACATTGATTGTGTACTTGGAGATTTTTCACGTCTCATGCCAGGACGCATCATCACCTACAATAAAGTTAAAGTTGAAGTGGTTCCTAAAAACCATAGTTCTCGGCCCTTCTGTGCAAAATGTCACTCCAGATGCAGAGCTCCAATCATTCTAAAGCTTTGTGATCCATACACTGGATACATTTGTTCCGATAAATGTGTAGTGCCCGACTATCAATACAGCTAAGAGAACAACTATATAGCTGTTTATTTCATTCTATTGTTTCTCGTAATTTTTTGGATGTAAGAGTTTATTTCCAACTACAAGTGCTAACATTCTGGTTATATTCATACTGTGTTCATCAGTACAGGTAGGATTAAACTGAATCAATGACATCTATAAAGTCGTAACAAGTTATGACAAACTTGCTAAAAAGGTAGTAGCAACTAATATGGTTTAGTTAGTGAAAACATAGACAGGGATGATGGGAACAGATATTTGTGAATCAGAAATGTTATTAAACCAAGATGAAAACTCAAGTCATATTAAGAACCGAAATAACGAATATGTGATGTACATTGCAAATGCAAGAATTATAAAGACACAGCAGATAAAGTTTTGGAAATACAGAGAACAAACTCACTCAAGTGACTAAAATCTACAAGACAAGGCAAGTGTTCAATGAACCTCTGTATCATTTTGACATTTACAAGAGTTACATAAGTAAGGAGGACCATGACATGTAACCTCAAACTCATTGTCATTTTCATGACAAAACAAAGACTTAAAATCGAGAGGATGCGACTGAGTTGATTTACAAAAACAGTGGTTTGTTTCAGGTTACCTTAGATAAGGCCGCCAGATTTTAAGATCTGCATGACGGTAAAGTGATTCCTCCGCAGAAAGATGCGATTATTATGTACAGCACGAGAACTATCAAGCATGTCAACAGCACCCTGCCGAACACAAACAAGAAAAGCAGTTTTGTTTATTAATAATAGTGATCTGGAACTGGAACTCAAGCATCAAAATAAAACAATAATGAAACTTCTTTAAACAGAGTTGGAATTAAGGCAGTGTAGTTTCTACCAGCCAAAAAAATATATATTTATCGAGGAGTATTTCCCAAAATAGAAACTAATGTTGAAGCTTAGAACTAATGTATCTCTAGTTTAAGAAATATATCAGTAAACTATGCTGCAAAGGAGAGTTGAAACACAACTGAAACACCTAGAATGTAAACGGGTGTATCTCGTAATTAGCAAACAAAAGAAATTAAGAGAATTTAGAGATCCTTACAGGAGCTTAGCATTTTTCATCCAAAGAGCTCGGCGAAGACGCTTAGATTGCTTCCTGAAGTGAAACGCGCTATCTTGCATTGTTGCTGTTTTATCAACAAGAAGCTCAATCCTATCACCTCTCTCCATTATTTTCTCAATGTTCTCTACCATAACCGATCGAATCTGTAAATACAATAACACAACAATGAGATAACCAACTTCTTCCACAGAGACATCAGATAACGGTATTTAAGAGCTCATGAACATTGAAACAACCCGAAAAACTTTCACACAAGACAGATTTAAAGCCGCCTGTGAGCCAAGAAGGCGTAATAACTAAAAAGATTCTACCTTTTCAATCTAGAGATCATTCGAAGAAACAATTTACCTCACTGACTTCTCCTCTAACACGATTGAGAGTATCAACACTAGGATTACTAGAGAAGAACTCCATCTGCTGATGCAAAACCCTCGAGAATTCATCATTCATTGCATAAGCTGGAGCATGATGCGCCACTTTGCCATAGTTTTTCATAAACCTCATATGAATATCTTCCAAATACGAAAATGGAATCCTCCCTAACAATCCAATCACCAACACATCAAAACATAAGTTACACAAAGAGAACCAAAAATTCGGAATCTAAAGGGGAAAAAAAATTCTTACTTCCAAAGGTATCATTGGCCATACAGAGAAAAGTAAGACCATCAGATCTAAGAATATGGAAGATATAACGGTCTTGTGAGAAACAAAGTCTTTCATCGGCGATTTCCGGCGAAAGCTTCTCGAGGATCCGTCGCACCACGGCGCCTGTGTTTCCCGTAACGGCGCTGAATTCAGCTAATACCACCGTACCTCTCGCCACAACCGCATATACAATCGCCATCGGAGAATCTTCAATCGGAGTGATTCGATGTTAGAGAGTGTGGATCACGCGCTCCGGCGGCGAGAAAGTTCAACGTCGACTTTGCTGCGATCAGAGTCGAGTCTATAAAAAATGCGAAGTTATAAGGTTAGGTGCAAACGTTTCGAATAAAACCCCTTGTTTATTGTTACGTTTTTAATTGTCACCTAAAATATTGTTTTCTTACATTTTAAACCCTGATGCATCGGTTTACGGTTTACCAATTTAATATTAGGCCTTGGAGGCTTGGACCTTTGTAAATTATCAGAAAACAAACCGAACCGACATACGGTTTTCGGTTTGGGTTTGGATACATCAATAACCCGATCGGTTCCTTCTTTTTAATTTCGATTTTCCGGTTCGGTTCGAGTATCACCCCGAATAAACCGAATTAAAATTAAATCCCTAAGTTTTAAATATACCGATTGCGAGTCTCCACTGTCGACGAGAGCTACTTCGCCTCGAATCGAGACTCCGGCGACTGAGGCGATTCTCTTGCTCCGGTAAACAGACTTTTCGCTGTTTCTATCTCCGGCGAATTACACAGGCGAGCTTCTATCTATTTTCTTCCTTGTCCCCAGTTGAGATAATGATTATGCTATAGAAGCAAATTGTTTCTCTGCTTCTCTTTCTCCAGTGAAGTGTTTGTTGAATTATAAACGAGGTTTAGGAATTTGGTTAATGATAATGGCGGGTTGTGTTTGTTTTCTGTCTCTGACGAACAAATGACATGTCCGATTTCTATTGACCTATTAGTTTTGATTGTGCTTTGAAATTTTTGTGTTTTTATGTTTTGTCTCAGATTGGTGTCGATTTTCAAAAGCATGGTGTTTGGACAAGTAGTAATAGGTCCTCCTGGATCAGGCAAGACCACTTACTGCAATGGAATGTCTCAGTTCCTCTCTCTAATGGGCAGGTTTCATGTTCTTTCTTTTTTCTCAAATTTTCCTCTTTTTGGATCAAAGACAGAAGCTTGCTTACTTTTGTAGCTGTAGTTCTGTTTGTATTGATTGCTTCACTGTCTCTGGCTTTGTAAAGTTCACAAAGTTGCAAACTTTAGTTAATAATATTGTTAAATTCCAGAAACTTGAATTGCCTGACTTTTGAGCTGAGTCATTGTGAAATGTTGTTGCCTTGTCTTTGTTTTGCTAGAGAGATTTTCAGATTCGTGAGAACTTCTCGGTAAGTATATTCTCTTAACGTTGAGTTACTTTTTATTTTGTTGCAGGAAGGTTGCTATCGTTAATCTGGATCCTGCAAATGATGCATTACCGTATCCTTTTTAAGCCAAATTATACAAAATGGTTAAAAAAATTCAGGTGAATATTGTTTCTTGACATTGATCTTAGTTATGAGTGTGCTGTGAATATAGAAGAATTGATCAAGTTAGAAGATGTTATGCCGGAACACTCGCTTGGTCCTAATGGAGGTGAATTTTGCATCTTGATTTTCCTTTTCTTCTTAATTTTTATTTTTATCTTTGGTCAAATTAACGACAAACTTTCTAATGAAACAGGTCTTGTATATTGTATGGAGTACTTGGAGAAAAACATTGACTGGCTAGAATCTAAACTAAAGCCTCTTCTGAAGGGTTAGAAACGATAAGTCTCTTCTTCTCTTTTTTTTGGTCGTAATGTCTCTTCGTGAAAGTAAAAAATTTTGAATTAGGGTTAGAAACGATAAGTCTCTTCTTCTCTTTTTTTTGGTCGTAATGTCTCTTCGTGAAAGTAAAAAGTTTTGAATTATTTGCAGATCATTACATTCTCTTTGATTTTCCTGGCCAAGTGGAATTGTTCTTCATTCATGACAGTACCAAGAATGTTCTCACGAAGCTGATAAAATCATTGAACCTTAGAGTATGTGCTTTTCTTTACTTATTACCAACTTGCTAAATGAACCTTACTTAGGAGTCGACATATCTGATGATTTTTTTTTTTGTTCTGCAGTTAACTGCTGTGCAATTAATTGATTCGCATCTATGTTGTGATCCCGGGAACTATGTAAGCGCGTTGCTTCTCTCCTTATCCACAATGCTTCACATGGAACTCCCACATGTCAATGTCTTGTCAAAAATTGATCTTATTGGAAGCTACGGGAAGCTAGGTATCTATAATCTATCTATGGTTTTGTTCTCATAACATCGAATTTTCAAAAGTATACTATAGACTCACTAACTAGCATCTCTGTGCATGTAGCTTTTAATTTAGATTTCTATACCGATGTTCAAGACTTGTCATACTTGGAGCACCATCTTAGTCAAGATCCTCGCTCTGCTAAGTACAGGTTTGATATAAACATCATTGAATGATCAATAATTATCCGCTTAGAAGCTTTCTCAATATCTCATGAGCTCGATGTTTCCCATCGCAGAAAACTAACAAAAGAGCTATGTAGTGTTATTGAAGATTACAGTCTTGTTAATTTTACAACCTTGGATATTCAGGTTTGCGATCTCCTCTGCCTATCTCTTTTTTTTCTCTTTGTGCAAGCATCTTTTCGCAATTTTCTTTTTGTTTTCAGGACAAAGAAAGTGTTGGGGATCTAGTAAAGCTCATTGACAAGAGCAATGGATACATATTTTCTGGCATTGATGCAAGTGTGGTTGAATACAGCAAGATTGCGATTGGTCAAACTGATTGGGATTATAACAGATATCCTTTTTTTAGAATTATGATTTCTTAACCATTGCTTCTCTCAATAGCTCGAGTTTTAGTTTTACGTCTACAACAAAAGAGTTGTTTCTTTAACGATAGTCTTCACAGTTGCGGCTGTTCAAGAGAAGTACATTGAAGACGAGGAAACACAAGACTGAGGAATCGAGACAGAGCATGAAACTTCCAAAGAAGAGAGCTGGTTTAAAATATCTCTGAACCAAACCATGTAACGGTTTGTATGAACCTTTTTTGCATTTTTGGGTATGTCTAAACAACATTGATTTTGACACAACTTGCTGGTTTGGTAATTATGCTAACTTTTTTTTGCCAAACTTTGTCTTACTTTTTTCCTCTTAGTTTTTGATTATTTCGTCTTAATTTCAAGCTTGGACTTTTGAGTTTCTGACTCACACGTGCCCATAGACTCCCCACATTCTGTAGAAAACATCTCAAATATCACTTTTTGGGTCATTTATTCTTGCTTAAATTCTCACGTTGTCATAAAATTTAACTAACAATAAGCAATTGAAACAACTTAAATTTGCTTCATTATAAAATCTATATAGCTTCAAGGCCAACTCAGCTGTTCCCATTCCCAGATTGGCTCTGTTAATCCATCAACCAACTCTGTACTCATAGAGAGATCAATATGTTCTCCTCCTGAAATCGAAGTTTCCGGTGAGCTTTCGACACGAAACGATGTCTCAGCCACCGCAACATCACTTGTAAGCATTCTCTCTGTCTGCAAAACTTCCACAGGACGTCTATCAAAAGCTCTGGAGCTTCCTGTTGTTATATAGACACGACATAAACTGAATTCATGTCTCAACTGCAAAATATCAAGAAAAGCAAAAGCAAAAATCTTCATTATAGTTATATAAAAACTTTAATCAAGAATGTTTTAGTTTAAAAACTTTATATATGCAAGTATACCTTAGGGATTGTGGAAGCGTTGACTGTTTCGTCAACGGCTTTGTACTCATTCATCTTCCATTTTGTTTTTCTTCCGGTTGGTGCTTTCCCAGTGTAGAAAACCATAGTTTTCTTGACTCCAATCATTCGGTTGTCGTTGGAAAAGACAGGACCAGGTGATCCAGTCGCTTTCCAGTATCCTGACCCCGTGGTTCTACTCGGTCTACCTCCTCTAGCTTCGCGTTCTTGTCGTGGCACGAAGAAGAACCATTGCTCAGCGTCTCCTCGACATCTCACTCCCGCAACATCTACAAAAATATGTAAGTTCCATATATTAACACTAGCCATATATAGTTTTATGTTATTCATGTGTTTTAGGGGTGTTCAATCTGATTAAACCAAACCCGAACCAATTCAAAATCGACTAAACCGATCTGGAATCAAGTAACTAACAAGAAAACCGAACACCAAAATGGAAAAGTTTACGTGCTATAAAATTTAACTTGTAATATGCCCTAATGACTAAATTAGTAATATGATGATGATTTTGATGCCATAATCAATATGGACAATTTAAGTGAGGGTAACGTACTTGGAAGATGACTAGGCTCGACCTCAAAGACATCAAGAACAGGAATGACACGGTGCATTGAGTCATCACTCCTTCCTTCAAGCTGGTTTCGTAGGTAGAACGCAACCAGTTCCTCTTCCGTGGGATAGAAGCGAAACCCGATTGTGATCTCGTCCGCCATTTTTGTACGATATATGTAAGTTGTAACAATAAGAAACACTCTTAATTAATTGTAGCTCTTACCTATATTATTAACTTAGATGTCTCATGGACTCATTGACATTAAATAAGTTGTAGAAAGTAGAGATTGGTTTCTCCGAGTGAAAGGAGAAAAGTTCTCTACGCGTTTTTTGATTATTTTTTTTTATTTCCCTTTTTGTACGGATATTGGTAAAGACGACAAGGATGTTTTGTGTGTGTGTGTTTGATTACTTTCGTTGTTATGTGTTTACTGTTTAGGAAACTTTTTACGAGCCACGTACGTCCATTGAATGAGTCAAGCATTCGTCTTGCCGTCAAGTTTCAGTCTCTTTTCCCTTTGTTTTCCTATCTTTTACTTTGGCTTGCCACTTTTGGAAAATAGTATTTTTGAAGCAAACTCAGATTAGTCATATTTTTTAAGTTTTTAGGTTAGTTTTCTAATGCCTAATCAATTTTTCAGAGGATAATGTTCTTTGTAATGAGGTTCATTAAGGAACATGTAATTTCTAGTCAGAGCCGTGCCAAAGAATTTTGATGCCATAGGCGAAAAAATATAGTTTCAAATTTAAATAAAATATTTTACACATAACAAAAATATATTTTACTGTTTAAAGTTTAATAAATAAATTTACAAAATTTTAAGTAAAATTTATAAAATAACTTCTGAACAAAATAGTTACAAAACAAAAAAAAAGTAGAAATTAGGTTGATTATAACGTGTAGTCTAGTAATTTGTGTTTGTGTCGTTGTTGGTGTTATCATTCAAATGGTATTATGTATGTTGTTAACAAAACAAAACATAGTTTTGGTAATTAATAAAAATCTAATATACTGAAGATAAAGTTGGAGAAAGATGATTAATAAAGTTGGATAAAAATGATTAACAAAAATGAAGCTGGTAAAGAAGTGAGAAAAAAAAGATTTAATGAGATTAAAAAAAAAACTGAGAAAAGAAGACTTTGAGTTATTGCTTAAGTGTGGAAATTTAAAATTCTTTGTATATATTGCACATTATACTACTTTCCTTTATTATTTGTATTAATCTCCCTAAAGTTATTGCTTCAATAGTACTTATATGATAAACACAATTAACAAATTAGCCTCTTAGATTTTTTTATAAAATTGTGAAACGTAGGCGAGTGTTTCTTTTTTTCCTTAGTAGGCACGGCTCTGTTTCTAGTGAAAGTATAATAAATTAGTTATGGACAGTATGTGTAAAACTGAAATATGTGTAAGTGTGTAACTATATATGTAAGTATATAACAAGTTATAACAAAGATGAAGAAGACTTTGCCTTGGGGTATTTTCGTTAATTCATGACATAAATTCGGCCATTTGCAAGTACGTTAACTTTATCATGGTACATTATCTTTTATAGTTGCAAATTACTTTCCAAAATTTAATCATTGAGTATTATTACACTAGATGACTTTTTAAATACCAAGATACTTTGTATTGCACCACATAGATCTGAAAATTATAAATTTTGAAGATATTTGAATGTAAAATCTAATTATTCACAACTATTGACCATATTACAAAAAGAAAAAAAAAACACTTCAATTCCTCTAAAATCTAAATAACAAAAGTTGATACACTTTAACAAAGAAAAACTGTATGCCCCATATTTTGAAAGTCTCCACATCATATATTTGCAAGTTAGAAGATGGTAAATTTGTGTATTTTCTCAATCTAGGTTAAAAGTTTCCTATATCGATTAGCTTTGTGATACCACCACCCCCACGTCAACTGATATTTCAAATTCAAACACTCTATAACGATTTTAGTGTACGAGATCCTAGATAACTATGGTACTCATGTACCAGTTCGGAGAATAAATGCCACTATGACTAGTAGAGTAGTTGCATGCATCGCTAGTATTAAACTTAACTGGGCACATAATATACAGTACAGGGGTCATCTAACCCGTCATTAGGGGTTCTCTAATTTAAAACACTAAACAGAAAACAGATAGATAAAGGCATACAGCAATACGGAAACTTATCACGCACCGTTATGGATTGTTAGGTAAAAGTGGTCCACATCAATAATTCGTTTTAAGTATGTTGCGACCTTAATTAATCTCAACCTTTACTTAATAAATAGGTCAACTCGAGACTTTTTCTTACATAAATGAGACGGCTTCTATTAATATGAAAGTTCATTACAGAAATGTCAAATTCAATTAAAACAAGTTATGTAACAACCCAACAAAAACAAGTCTTTTTTATGCCAAACTACCATTTTCTTTTTTAAGTGTTAAGGAACAAACATTTTTTTTGAAAATTAAAGATAGACTTAGTTAAAAAATTTATATGTCCAATTAAAATTAACTTAAAGTGTTATAAAGTGATAATTTTGGCAAAAAAATATTTAACACAATTTGTGCTGTATAAAAATTATGACAAAAAACGATATGAAAAGCAAAACTAAAAAGGTATATGGCCGTTTCGGTTTTGGTTAACAAACCATTACCGGAATAAAAACTTTATCGACATAGAAAAAGAACCGATTAAATTCTCAGTTCTTAATTATAATGTTTTGTTTTATTTAATAAAGTTTTTTTAAGATTGAAACTGTATATAAGCTGGAATGGTCTTTAATTTTATTTGGTTAATTAATCTATCAAATCACCAAAATAAAAATCTCGAAACCAAAAACAAGTTTTGACATCCCATAGACTTCATTATTTTTTTCTGAAGGCAAGTCAAGAAGAGAAAAACAAAACAAATTCTATGGAGCCATAATACAACAAACAACTAAATCTCCGCATTTAAATCTTATTTACGACAGAATTGTCATCGATCATACTAATACTTTGAGGTGTCTTTTCTTGTGGTTAGCATAGATTTGAGACTTGGTCCGCTCTCGTCAGTGGGCTAATACAAATGAATTACGTAACGTTTTACTCTTTTTAGAGCATTTAGTTATTTCCCATTTATAACGTGTGATTAATTATTATTACTCCGTATTTTTTTGTTTTGTCAACTAACGTGTGATGTTTGTTAATTATAATCAAGTTTTCTGTGATTATATATTCTTTTCGATCATATGGTGCAGGACCTGCATTCAGCCGAAGTCCGATATATTCCATCTACAGTTAAACCTCTATAAATTAATACTCTATAAATTAATAACCTCTCTAAATTAATAAATTCTTTCGGTCCCAACTTGGGACTAGTGTAAAATATAACATAAATCGATAAATTAATAAGTTAATAATTTTTTTGAAAATCCTATGTAAACATATAATCCCATCTATATCATAAATTAATAATTGTATAAACATATCAATATATATATATATATATATGTATGTATATTTAACTTAATATATATATATATATATATATGATATAAATATATATATGTCATATATGAATTATTATGATATATATTTAAAATATTATATGTAAAATATATAATGAAATATGACTCTATTATTCGAAAAAAATTTGTGTTGATTTTTAAACTTAATAATTATTCTCTACTTGTAATTGGTTTTATAAAGATATTGCGTATAAGAAAAAAATTATTTTTAGATAGAAATTTTTTAAGAAACAAAACTAGTAAAATCTCTCTCTAAATTAATAATTATTAATTTATCGATAAATTAATATCTCTCTAAATTAATAAAATTTCATGGTCCCAACATTATTAATTTATAGAGGTTTAACTGTATTTCACTGGTAGTATTGTTTGACACTTTTTTTTGGTCATCTTTCATTAATAAAATTTTTAAAAATAAAAAAAATTACAACCACAAACCAAAAAAAAAAAGAAAAAAAATCATCGAGATACTATTTATTAAAAAAAGAACCTCATGCATCCACATTAAGCTATTAACAAAATAAGATTGTGATTATCATCATTTTCTAAGTCACGTATAAACAATTTTATAAGAGAGCGAAATCTTATCTTCCTCTTACATGTTCATCGTTTCACAATATGGTCAAGTTTTGTTATCAATCTTTATCTTCAGTTCCAATATCACCACAAAAAAAAAAACGTAAAAACCAGAGACTTCTTCAACGAACGAAAACAAGTTTCTCATCTTTTTGGATTCGGGACTAATTAAGCACACAAATAATTTGCTCTTTTTTTTTTTTGGTCGGACAAATAATTTGCTCTTTAACAAACAAAGAAAAACACTTTGAAAAATAAAATAAAAACAATTATTTTATTTTTTGTGTCCGCAAAATAAAACTCTTTTGTTAACCGCAAGTAAAAAAGATAAGGAAAATTATAAATACGAAAAAATTAATTCATTTCTCATATAAAATAAAATATGCTTAACATATACTATTTTTACTTCAGGTGAAAACTGTCAAAATAAGGAGTCTTTAATTAGTGTGGAACTTTTAATAATAAATGCGTGAGTGTGGGGTTTTGCAGATAACGAATTTGCATTAAAAATTACAAGTTGTGTGAGCAACTATTTGTCGGCGGGTTTTTCCAACCCAAACTATGACCTACAGTCGATTTCAACCCAAACCCAAAAATAATTCAAAATCGAAACCTAAACTAATGCAAATGAGCCGATTTCAACACGACGCGAAGCAATGTTAGTTCGGAAGTTAACGGTTCTCAAGGTTATTTGATTTTATTTTCAGGGTTTGTTGAATGATGTAGAGAGAGAATTACCCAAGGTTGAGCAACCGTTAACTTCCGAACTAACACTGTTTCGTGTCGTGTTGAAATCAGCTCATTTGCATTAGTTCAGGTTTCGATTTTGAATTATTTTTGAGTTTGGGTTGAAATTGATTGGGAGTCATAGTTTGGTTGAAAAAAACCGCCGGCAAATAGTTGAGGTTGAAAAAGGCCGTTTTCCCGAGCAGTAGGTAACAATAAAAGTGTATGAGGACTTAAGTAGTCGGTGACAATCAATATAATAGACTGATTACCTGATCGAACATTAAATGAAATTCACGAGTGAACAATAAAGTTATACTACTAATATTCAAATTTCATAAAGTTCAAATAAGTTGATATTTGATGGACATAACTTATAAGTTGATAGTACACTGTAAAAGAAAAGATTAGTGATTTCAACAAGGTTAAAGTAAAAGTTAGCTTATCAAATCAAAGCAAGTTGTACCGCAAGACCTATATATGAGTTCCGATTTCTGCCTCTATATGTCTCAAGATCCTATATGTTTCATCTCTAGGTGACAGGGAATCATTTCTAGGAAATATGTTTATTGACTCCAAAAGACTTGATGACAAAAGAAGACTCTGATTAACATTGACTTGAAAAGCTTAAAAAAGTTTTTTTTTTTTTTTTTTTTTTTTTGAAAATCAAATTGGTAACGTCCATTGAATCCACTTAAAACGAATTTTGTTTGAAGTAACTACAAGTAAATCAAGAAATACTTGATTGATTAACCACTGCTCGTTTATTTATTTAGATGTTAGCATCGATATTCACTTATTAAGCATATGAATGCATCATTTAGATTGAACAATAAAAAGTAAGATTAGATGATCGCACCTCGCTCTAGCTCAACTACTTAATCCTATACTCATTAACAAAAAAAAATCTTCTGAATCTATATACTCGCTCACGTACTAGGTTTGAAACGTTTAGTATCTGGGCTTTACAACGTCAGGGCTCATCTCTGGGCCTGTACTACGATCTTTAGACTCCTACAGAAAATCTTTATTTGGTTATCATGAATTCCAGAGTTTGTTTTTACTTCCAGAGTTTGTTTTTAATTACACTTTCTGCGTTGACTCCGAAGATTTTTTTTTTTTTTTTTTTAACAATTATACAGTATTTTAATAAAATTTAAGAAACGATATTTTTATGGTATAGATGTTTTTTCATGGTATAGAATTATAGTTGTAATGTACTAAAATATGCTTTTTTTTTTTTTTTGCCAAGAACTATAACTTGTACGTTATTTCATATGTTAATATTATTCTTTTTGTTTATGTTTTTAATAGGCTTGTTTTAAAGTTATCCTTCGGGGGGTCACAAAAACATGTTCACTCTATTAGTCTTGGCTTTTAATTTTTTTTTTTTGAATAACTAAGAGGTTTTGGGCCTACGCTCATACATGTGCTTTCAAACATCATTCGAACCGGCAACCTCTAGGCTTTGCTTGAGAGTCTTTATCAATTTTGTCTTTTAATATTTTAAAAGATTTTTAAAAAATCTTTAAACAAAACCAAATATATCTTACTCAAAATAAATTAATTTCCTTGCCATTGCCCATTGGTAGAATTGTAGAATGGTAGAGAAGTTGTAAATGAAAAAAAAAAAAAAACTCGGCAGAATGATTAAGCGACAAAAGCTTGATTGAACTACAAAACCCGCATAAAGAAGCTTTTACATTCATAATTGACATTTTTCTTGCGGACCAATGGATACAATTCTATGCAAAATCGCAAAATTATTCATCATCGTCATGTTTATCTTTCTCAGTTTCTTCCTCTTCGTCATGGTCGTCCTCGGGTTGAACCAACTTCAACCTGAGTCGACCATCTTCGCGGCTTGCTCGAAGAAACTCTCTCCTCGGAATCCTAACTTCTTCCAACACAAGCCTCCCTTCTTTTCTATACGTCTTGAAACTCATCCTAGTCATCGCCGGAGGATACTCTTTCCGTTCCTTCCTTCTTGGTTCCCACTCCTCCTCATCGTTGCTTCCGTTATCTTTTTTACCCTTCACTTCAATACTCTCTTCTTCATCATGATCTTCTCCGTTACCGTTGACATTAACGTTGACTTTTTCATCTTCCAAGTCGTAATAACTCTCTGACCCTAATCCTTCCGTACACAGTTGGAGACTGCTGTTCTCGGCTGAGGTTTTCTCGTAAGAAGAATGGGATGATTCTCTGAAATGAAGCTCACCGAATATCTCTGTAAACGGCGGCGGCGTTTCGTCGTGGTGGGTGGTGACGTGGAGGCCTTTGCTTGGGTTCCAAGGTGAAGAAGAGGAGAGAGTATCAAGAAAAGACTTTGGAGAGTTGTCTTGTCTTGGGTTATCGAATATTCGGTGAAAGCTTCCATAGGCTGCCATTGTTATGGAGAAAGAAGAGACTAAAAATTTGCTCTCTTCTTTGTTGGTTTGAGGTTGGGAGAAAGAGAGATAGAGAGAGGACACGAGATGAGCATGAAGGAGAAGATGGTATTGTCAAATATATATTCTTTAGGGGGGAAATTTACTCGAATAAAATGATGAATATTTTTTTTTTTGGTTATATTCAAATGGAATTATTGGTTAAAACATTTAATATAGTTTGGTGTCTCTTTTCAATTTAAATTTTGACGATGGTGATGAATGATGAAAATTTTCTAGATGATTCTGTGACTTCGATGATTACAATACTATTGGTTGTAGCCTACCAACAAAAGCAACTTCAAAGTGAAGGAATTCATAGTTTAAGTTTGCATGCACTACATTAGTCAGGTATCTTGATTTTTTATGTATATTATATTGAATTCTTTTTTTGGGTCAACAACATCTACAATTTAAATCCCTAGAATTTGATATAATGTTAATCAGTTTAGCTAGTGAGGTGAGACATTTTGGTATTATAATATACAACAAATGGCGAAAATAATGTGAATAATACTACAGTTCATATTGCATGACAGACAATATCATTGATATCACATATCATTGATATCACATGTCCAGGCCCTTGTTAAATTGTGACTGTTAATCGTATTATATATACTATACACCTCCAATAGATCAACATTTAAAAAAATTAAATATAACAAAAAATGAGGAGAATGGAATAAAGAGGAGCGAGCAAGTGGTGCCAATTTTGGTGGCTATAATTATTTGGACACGGCCAAATAATTTTATATGGACTACTTATATATTCTTTATATCATGGAATCATACCACCATTCATTTTTCTTTTCAAAATTTTTTTGGATTTGATTTTTCCTTAAAATATCGCATCTTCATATTAAAAATATACAAATGACTGAAACCCACGTTATTTTTATAAACTTAGGGATCTATTATATATGCTTCAATGCTTATAGAAAATATTAATACAGAGAAAAATTAGATGAAGTGTAAACGGTAGCTACGTGGAAGTTTTCTAGAGATTTTACAATGTTTTAATTTTTTCCGGACAACAAAATATTGAACCTCCAATGGTGGCAAACCACGACAGATTCGAGATGTAGTTGTGTCGATGTGATTGGTTGGACCGTGGGAGCCTCGTGATCCTCAACCACATAAGCTGGTTTCATGATACTCTCTTATAACCAGGTGTTATGGTGACTAATCATAACAGTATTTCACTATTTCCTAAGTATCTATTGAATGATTCAATAATACAGTACAATTAGTCAATATTATAAAACTAGTATACTATAATTACATAATTATTTCAATATATATACTCATATACTGTTACTGTATATTAAACACACTAACAAGAAACATCAAACATTACAGGTGAGCTTGTGCACTTGTGTGCTTGTAGGTAAGTATGTTAATGTGGGACGGTCGGTCTCGTTAAACCCGTTTCAACATGGCTAGATATTTATTTCCCTACCATGGTAAAATATGTAAGCACATCACTGTGTTTAGTTCTGTTTAAGCACATATACAAAAACAAAATTTGTGTTTAGTTCGGTTTTTAGTATTTAAGGTTAAATGACTTTTCTTTTTCTTTCCCTTAAACCATAGAAATTCCGAACCTTTGTTCCATAAAATTTCTGCATATTTTATTGTGGTGAACGTAGTAATGGGCCAATGGCCTTTTTTTTTTAAATCCACTCAAAATATATAGCTTCTCTTTTTAATAAGGCATGTGGTTGGTAATGGTATCACTTAATTTTTCATATATATAATTAGTTTTTTTCATTAAAAATAATTACTTTTTCATGTATTTCTTTTGAGAAAAAAAATACAGTAGATGTGTATTTGTGATGTATGACGTACGTATCTATAACAGTGGTCCGTGGAGCCCTGTCCGAATCTATCCACCCAACAGATATCACGACGACTTCACCTTTTCCACTTGGTCAATGACCAACGACATATATCTTCGTCCTTACCTCATTTATCTATATCTTTTTGATATATTCCCTATTTAAAACACACGTAGACAATAAAGTTTTTTTTTCTGCGAATAATCTTATACGAATATTTATCAATGTCCACAAAATATGATTTAATCGTTAGCGACTGACGAGATACCCAATCCATAGAAATGGAGCCTTGATGTCTCCTAGTACGTATTGGAGCATTTTGCTCCTCGTAAGATTTATAGCCATTAAGAATATCACTTGACCTAAGAATCTTATTCGTGAAAGTTTTAGGAGAGTTGATTCAACATTTTATAAACTTTTTAAAAAAGAGCTAAAGCTTTATATATAATTTTTAATATATTTTTTCGTTGATTATTCATTATTCTGATTCTTGTTGTATAATGTTTATACCTACTCAAGACACTGCTTAAGACACTACTGTTGGAGATGCTCTTACTTACAAAGTCCGACCTTTCGTTGGAAACCATTAAATTAATCAATAAAAGGGATTATTTTTTATTTACGAAAGTAAACTCCATGAATAAGAGGGTCGTATTGGTATGAATGGACAACACTGTAGATATTCAAATTAACAATAATATGTTATATGGTCAAGTCATTATCAGCATTATAGCGAAAATCTTTCATGCAAAAAAGCTAATCCGATAACAGAAATTAGTTTTAAAAAAATCAAAATACAAACTATCACCCACGTGAGAAATACCAAGTGCCAACAAACAAAGCATAATCAAGAATAAAAATCATAAATCATGGTTTCAAGATATGATTCCACTGTAGTGCATGATTTTTGAAAAAGATTGTTTTCTTTTCAACAAAAACACTCGCTCGTGGAAGTGTCTTTGATGCAATGATCTACCAAAATATTAAGAAATTTAGAATATAACTAAAGTTTGTACTTTAGAACGTCTATTCGATAATTAGTAAAACTTGTGTGTGTGTTTAGATTGAGTTTTTCTATTGGGATATTACATGTTAACTAATTCAAAATACCATCATATCTCCTTTCGTTATATATATATAAATCCTTTACAACTATATTTATAACACTTAATACAAATTACAAAGCACTCACAACCAAATATTCCAATTAATATTTTGATTTTATTTTTTGCAGTTTTTTCCCCTTCAAAAGTATGTTCAATAGTAGAATCATTATTTGGGAAAGGCGTATCCAGATACGTGTATTGCAAATGACGTGCAACTTTTTTTTGACCCACTAGTAAAAGTTACATGACTATACAATGTTGAATTCAACTATATATATATTCTCCTCTACAATATTATGCTTTTATCATGCACTTTTTGTTGGGGGTTTCAAATGGTCCCTTGGTCCATTGAAGAACCAATTTTAAATCCATCCCAGTTCCCATCATCTCAACTTTTGTTTTGTGCACTATTCGTATCAATACTTCAATTTTGTGACTAGTATCAAAAGTTCAAAACAAATAAAAAGTAGTTACATAACGATATGTCATCTTAATTTGGTCACATATGTGCAATTAATTTGTAGTTTCACGAACATACCAAATGTAGGTAGGAAGAACATGCTTCACCATTTCATCGTCAGAAGCCCGAGAGAGACTCTGGTTCAATACGGTTTACAAGTTTGGTTAAGTATCGGTATGGAAAATTTTAACACAGAAGAAGCCAATTTAGAACATTGACCAAAAAATATAGAACAATGACATATAAACAGAACCACATACAAAACGAATCAAGGAACATTTGATTTTGAAGAACAGCTCAAGTCTCCTCAAGGGATTCACTGCTCCAGTATCTTCACCGCCAAGCTTCAGTACGCTCTACCCTAGATCCTACACGGCTCAAGTTGGTCAATCCCTTTGTTCTGCCCACAGGCCACTGAGCTGGAGGAGCCAGAGTCAGCAACTGTAGACCTGAGTCGCTCAATCCCCTGGTCCTGCATTTTCCAGAGTCTGATTCTCTCTGTTCACATGCATTGTTCTCTAGGGTTAATTCGTCTGATATCTCACTGCTTGAACTCTGATTTTCAGCATTTTCGATGTTGTCTGATTGCGTCTCTTCACTCTGTTCAATGGTGTTAAAAGCCAAAGACTGTGAAGGGCTTTGGTGACCGCTCTCATCAGAAGGTTGTAAAGGGAATACATGAGCTTGCTCGACCACTGAGTCTTGCCTTTCCCTTAGAGTTTTTTCGATTAGTGTCTTGAGGAAGTTCATCACTTGAACAGCATACATCAAAGCTGTTAATGGATCATCCATCTACAATAAGAGTATTTCTCAATAATTTTGTTTAATCTGACCCACACTGGTAAAACTTGATAATAAACCTTGTTGCGGACTCACCTGTGTCATATTAGGTGCGAAAACCATAGCGATGTTGCGTGAATTCATCTTGTTAAGATGTTCATACTGAACAACATCTGCCATTAGATTGATGGCCCAATCAAGCAGAGCAGCTTCTGTAGGTGGAAGAAGCCTAACGAGCTCGACATTTTCCTCTTCTGTTTGACACTGCATCACCTGTTCAGGCGACAATGAATCAAGAACGCTTGTAGGCAGTTCTCTAAACCATGCCTGAAACCGAAAATCAGAAGAAAAAAACCCAAGATTAATATATAAATTTTGCAAAATAAAACGGGTTTGTGCATACATTACATACCTTGATAAGCCCTGCCAAACAGTGAACATCAATTCTCTCAGGTATAAATCCTCGGTTTAGTTGTTCCCTAACCGCCTCTTCCTCACTATTCTCAGCAGTGAGTCTAAAAATGCCCTCTGCCTAAAAAAGAATTGAAGAAGTGATTACATGGAAAGCTTATAATATTCACTTTGGAGGAAACTCGATGAAAGCAATGTACCTGCAAGCCTCCTTGACTGTATAAACAGTTTTGCATCAACAAGAGTATGGTTGGTACACAATTGCCTCTTGAATCATATGATAATTGCATTGATTCGGTTGATACCCCAAAGACTGTTGCACTAAAGTGATGAGATAGCAAGAGATGTAAGAGATGAGATAGAACGCGAGAGACCACTATATTAAAAAACAATTTCTTAGAAGAGCAAAGTTACAATTGCGCAGGGGGAAATTTTACCCTTTTTTAACATTGATCGTATCGATAGAGCTGTAAATAGTTGGATGAACAATGCAACCTTCACATAATCTAACTTCAACTAAGAGATAGTATCTAAGACATCAAATATTGATGTTTGAAGACAAGTAACTATCGTATAAATTAAGAACGAAAACACTGATAAAGGAATCAAATCGAATAAGTTCTTCCCGTTTTGGTTTCACTGATTCCACATAAACCTTAATCTGTATACAACCAAACCTTAGAGGTTCTACAACTAGAAGTTAAAGAAACAAAAAAGCCATATATCAGAAGCATTCTATATCCATCTACAACCGCTGCTCACCCGAAAATGCAAGACAAGATTCGATTCTTGACATAAACATGATCATAGTTGTAAGATAGATCAAAACAGTCTTTTTAAAAACAATTCAATAATCAGTATCTTTAATCACCAATGAAGATCAAATCAACGAACCTAACCGTCAAGTTCTCGAAATGCTGTATCTTCTACCACAATACAGAAACATATGAATCTCTAGAAGAGAGCTAAGAACCCCTCAAATTCTTCAAAATCCTAACTACAGGAAACAAAAAAGGAGGATCTTTGGACAATGTACCTGGCGCTTGGAGCTCTTCTTGGAACCTCAGGCTCGAATTCAACAGGCAAACCCAAGAAGCCATTGAAACGATCAAAGGTAACGTGCGCCACGTGTCGGACATTGGTAGGCCATCCAATCTCCATGCTACAGAGCTCTCTCCGATTACTCTTACAAGAAATCAAAGATCTCCTGAAAATAGCGACAAGAAGAGCCAACAACGAAATCTGATCTTCCCCACCATCGTCTTCTTCTCCGACATTATCGCTCCTTCTTCTTCTCAAATCTTGTTCTTCGATTGAGCCATGAAAGTCAACATCTTGATCGAATCCAGGAACTGGGTTTCTCCGGTTATGGTCAGAGCTAATCAAGAGAGACGCATTGGAGCGAGAGGCGTAAGATAAAGAAGAAGGTGAAGGAGACGAAGAAGAAGATGAAGGAGAAGCGCTTGGAGATGAAGGAAAGTGAAGGACTTCAGTCATGGCGCGCTTCAGATTTCACAAAGGAAACAACTTTTTTGGTTCAAATCATTGCAAAGGGAATGAAATGTGGGAGGTAGGAATCATTTACTCTTCTCTTTCTCTGATCTTTTGTGGGTTGAAGACGAAAGCCACAGAGGTCAAGATCGAGGATTAGAGGGTTGGTTAAAACCCTAATTAAATGGGTTAGCTTTATTTAGATAAAATCTGTTGCCACTAATGAACCAAAAAAACAGCAAAAAAAATACTGGTAAAATCGTGGAAGCAGTAGTTGACCAAAGGTTTATTAATACTTTTATACTTTCTCGTATATTAATGGTGTAAACTGTAAAGCTTATCGAAGATTCAAAGTGTCGCATGCAGAACCGTTTGTAGGGATCTCGAGTGTTTCTGGAAGAGTCTATCCATCGCAGATATGTCGTACATGCAGAATCGTATATTGAATATCCGAGTATTGCAGGGAGAACTACGTCGTGGAATCGTTGTTCCTGGGAACTGTTCATCATAATCGCATATGCTGCAAAATAAGAAAAAAAAAAACTTGTAAAATTATGCAATTCCATTTAATATGAAATCATTGGTTTTATTGGTGAAATATTTGAATAAATTTTAACCAAAAAAAAGTGGTAAACCATATTAAAATAGTTGAATGAAATAAGTTTTGGTAATGCAAAAAATATGAAAATACTACTAATGATTACTAATTTTATGATTGATAACTATTAAAACCGTATATCTTGACGGGTATTGGAGGTTCACAAGTATTTATGTATAATTTGTTATGATTTATGATTATACCAAGTGACAAATAATTTATATTTTTATCTTGTCAATCTCATTATCCACTATCATCGATTCATCGTTTAAGTATTTAAAACTTAAACTTTATGATACAAAAGTAATTAAATTAGTTTACATTAAATATTCATAGAGATATAAATAATATAAACATTGATCATATATTAATGTTTTAAAGTCCTTATCACTTATAAATGTGGATTTCGTTTGGGGCAAATCAGTATACTTTATGATTTTTGCACGTTTTCTAAAATGTGAGACCATGTTATGTGCATAGATTAGTAGTATCCACGTCTACACAAAGTATACCATCCAAATGTTTGATCCATAGTCGCTATGTTGAGCCAGGATTAAAGAAACACTTTTTGATTTTAGTAAAACACAGAAAAAAGATTTTAAAGACGAACTCGTGTTATGCTTAAAAAAATTATGTGATATATTCCTACGGGAGAAAAAAAAAAGATTTAACAAAACATAAGAAAAACATATCTGGTTATTTGCATTCGGAGTGCCAACTTTATTATAAAATAAAGCCAGCCCGACATTAGAAAATCATAATGTGATTACATGAGCGATTTGTGAACTAGAATCAAAATATTATATCCATGAACGCACGTTGGAGAATCGTGCTTGCCACACATTTTGTAACAAACTTGAATTCACTATATATAAAAGTTGTAACATTTTACTACAGTTCCCCATATACTAGAAACTCATACAGAAATTTCAACCAAAAATGGCCGTGAAGATCTCGACCATTTCAGTATTGATCCTCTCCCTTGCTCTACTTAGCCTCGGCCATTGTTGTTATGGCCAGCTTCGAGTCGGATTCTACAGTACAAAGTGCCCAAACGTCGAAAACATTGTATCTAAAGTTGTTGGAGAGGCATTCATCAAGGATTCATCCATTGCACCCGCAATGATCCGCCTTTATTTTCACGATTGTTTTAGCAACGTAAGTTGATTAATACTAATTATAAATTTTCTAGAATGTTTTAGAGAGTTTTAAAAGAAATAGGTATTGATCTTTGATGTATTGAAAATGTATGTAGGGATGTGATGCATCGCTTCTTCTAGATGGTGTGAACAGTGAGAAAAAGGCGTCGCCAAATCTAAGTGTACGAGGATACGAAGTGATAGATGACATTAAATCTGCGGTCGAAAAAGAATGTGACAGGGTCGTTTCTTGTGCTGATATCATAGCTCTCGCGACTAGAGATCTTGTTTCTCTTGTAAATACATATCTTATATCTACAACTTTTTATTTTTATATATTATGTTTGCCTAATCGACTGCAGAAAGATAACTTAAATTTTTATTTGAAGGCAAGTGGAGGGAAAACACGATATGAGATACCAACAGGACGATTAGACGGTAAAATCTCTTCGGCTTTGCTCGTCGATTTGCCGTCTCCAAAGATGACCGTCTCGGAAACTGCTGCGAAATTTGCTCAGAGGAAACTTAGCCTTTCCGATATGGTTCTACTTCTTGGTATGTAAAGTAAACATATTCAATTAATAAATTCAAATCATATATTTTTGTTGTTTACAAGTTAAACACCTCCCTACCGAATTTGAATTTAGTTTCTAAAATGGCATGACTAGTAAAAATCACTAGACTAAATGTTTCGGTTTACTAAATTTATAGTGACATTTTTTTGGTTTTAATTTATAAATTTATAGGAGGACATACGATTGGAGTGGCACATTGTTCGTTCATTATGGACAGATTATATAATTTTCAAAATACGCAACAGCCTGATCCATCTATGGATCCTAAATTGGTCCAAGAACTAAGACTCAAATGCCCTAAGGATTCGTCAACTGATGGCATCATTAATCTGGATCAAAATTCTACGAGCTCGAATACTATGGATGTATCTTTCTACAAAGAGATAAACATTCGCCGCGGAGTCCTTCATATCGATCAAAAACTTGCCACCGACGATTTGACGAGTAAGATGGTATCGGATATAGCCAATGGTAACGATTTCTTGGTTAGGTTTGGACAGGCAATGGTGAATTTGGGATCGGTGAGACTTATTAGTAAGACCAAAGACGGGGAGATAAGAAGATCATGTCGTTCTCCTTGCAACAATCCATTATGCGTTTAAACAGTTGAATAAAATTACGCACTGTTTTTTTTTTGTTTACTGTTATTTTATTAACATTTTTTGTTGTTCATCTATCCTTGTTATTTTTAATTTGGGCTGTTAATTATTTTCTATTGTTATGGCATCTAAGTTTTTTTTGTTTATTGTTGTTATGTTATCATTTTTTCATCTGCCCTTGTTATTTTTAATTTGAGTTGTGAATTATTTTCTATTTGTTATGGCATTTCAGTTGTTCTCAATGGTTTAAAGAATAACAGTGATAATAAATGAAGAAATTGCGGAAACTAGGACCATGCATGTATATTTTCCTCACATGTGATGTGCTTATTATGATCGTTCAGTTTTCTTATCCATCTCTTGTGCTCTTCTCATCTCATCTGCTATTTTGAACTTACCTCTATTTGTAGATTTATATATATTTTTTAACCTAACAACTCAAATCCATTAACGCAACTGTTTTATTAGGTTGAAAGATCAACGTGTATGACATCTCTAATCCAACCTAGGACTCTAGACGATCTACCCTAGAAACAAAAATCACTTCGGAAGTGTGGGTTTGGGTTTTGGTCCAAGCAATTCATATGGTATCCGAGATTCGGCTAACTAGATATCCCCGGATATTACTCGGAAAACATTCCAAACTCGGGGTTAGGCAGTGTAATTCCCACATGAAAAAAAAATTGGGGTCAAAATCCCAACATGATTATCAGTTAAATCAAGATAAATCCAAGAAACATTAAACATTACAGTATATAAATATAAATATAAATATATAAATATATATCTATATATATGTGCCCTGCGCTTGTAGTCACCTAGTTCAGATAAAAGTAAAAAACAAAATTGACACAAATGTAATGGACAAGTACTGAAAGATATTTTATTGGATATAAATGATGCAACTACTGACACTGTTTAGTTACTGTTGAGCAAACCTTCACGGCTCATTAAAAGTTTAGACTAAAGGACACTCGGAAAAAAATGTTTGCCCACTAGGCTTTCTATTCTTAGTATCATTTTAAACTCTAGCGAGTTAAGATTGTTAAAGTATCGTTAATGCTTAATACCGCATATAAATATAGTTCGTATGATTAATACTAGTAAGTCTCTTTTTTAAATAATGCAGTTTAAATGGTTCACTGATGAATAAAAATTGACCCACAATAAATTTGTTTAGAGTTTAAACATGATATAAATGAAGAATGTTGCGAAGGGAAATGAAGAAATAAATGTGTTTCTTAAAAATGGTGATTTATATAATACTATACATAGTTTACTAGGAGCTCTTTTCTAGACATTTGGTATAAATTATTTGAATCCAACAAATTTTTAGGTTGAGTAAAAGTTTGCAGCAAATATGAAGGTGGATGAATTTAAGAGCCGTTAATATAGAAGAAATACAAAAGTACGTTATCTATTTGTGTAAAGCCAACCACCAAAAATCAACGCATTTTGGTTCCTTTAATAATCATTTCTTTTATATAAACCTACGATACGTTCCCCATATTTCACTCAAGACACGAAGATATCTAAAGCCATTAAATCCATAAAAGCTTCATCGAAATGGCGAATCAAGCAGCTGTTGCAGCATTCTTCCTTTTCGCTTTAGCCGTCTTCTCCAACTTTGAGCTCTCGGCTTCTTCACTTGTCAGCGGCAAGGTCTCTTGCCTTGACTGCCACCCCGATTTCGACTTCTCAGGTCTACTCTTTTAACTAGTTGAATCACTTGAATTTTAGTGTATGTCATACAAGTTTCTAACTTATGATCATATTGCAAATATATTACACCACTGATCACATCTTTAGTTAACTTGATATCTACACAAGTTTCTTGATATCTAGACCATTTTTATTGTATATGATTTATTTTTCAGGCATTAAGGTGCTCCTTAAATGCGACGGAGAGAAGAAACAGATAACCGCGATGGCAGCTTCAGACGGATCTTTCCGCTCAGTGCTTCCAACGGCTGACAAAAAAGGCTCCATAAATTGTCTTGCAAAGCTCTTGGGAGGTCCTGAGCAACTCTATGCTCACAAACACAACTTGGTCTCTGAATTGGTCAAGTCTAAACACGATTCCAAAGTTTTAACTACCTCAAACCCACTTACCTTCTCTCTCTCCTGCCCCAAACCAACCCGAGATGATGTCGGAAATATGATCGGAGATTCCAAGACTATTAATTTTCCGGGGACAGGAGGTTTTGGATTCCCACCTGCCAGCTTCTTTCCCTTCTTACCAATCATTGGTATCCCATGATTTAATAAATAAGCGTTACTTTTAAGTACTTAAAGACATATGTTTTGTTGTTTACGTGAATGAAGCCAGCCAAGACAAAAATATTTAGCAAATTACATTACTTTGTTTAGTGTGATATAAGGTTTGTTTATGTGCTAAGAAAATGTTCTTTATTGGCTTTATGTAGTTTTAATTAGTTGCTTTTGTATCAAGTTTGTAATAAGAAGGTTGGGTTTATCCTACAATATACGTTTTTATTGTGAAATTTCATGCTTATGTGATTATCATTATGTAATTGTGCAACTATAATTACAGAAGTAAAATAACCTACACATAACTTTGAACTGATTTATTTTGTTCTGAATAGATAAAAATCTAAAAACCAATTGAACTTTGTTGCACCCTACTCAACGGAGTCGATGGATTTAATAAAGTCGTATTTGGTTTGATTTGAGAAACATTAGGACAAGAGTCAAAAAGACAAACTTAAACGATATTGATGATAACAACGATAGCAAAACTTGAGTGCTTAAATGGAGAAAGAATCCACTAATAATAATAGCAACAAAAGAAACAAAATTGTCTTTAAACAAAATCTCGATCCTACAAAAGTCAGGATACTGGAATTTCAAGTTTAACCCATGAAGAAGAAGAAGAAGGCTCATGACAGAAAAAGAAAATCAAATTTCCTCAGAGTGTGATGATATCTTAGAGAAACTTTGTAATAAAAACCTTAGAAGACTCGGTTTGGTGGACCCATTGTGCTCTTCAAGTACAAGCACCTCACCTGCAGGTAAAGGAACAAACTCTGGTTTAGATACCAATAAATGTATCGAGAAAGATCGAGAAGATATGTAGTTCAAGAGGGAGTGTTGTTACTAACATTTTGCCAGTTTTTCTTCAAAAGTGAAACAAGGAAGTTGACACTCATCTGAACATTCTGAAAGATCTGCTTCTCTTCCATGGAAAGATTCCCGACAGCAACACCCATACAAAGAACCTTCTTGAGCTGGAACTTCACTGTTGCCTTTGTCTCATTCACTTTGGATTCCAAAGACTCTTGGTGGCTGACAAGAGTTGGGAACTTTCCTGTTCATTGTTCAAAATAGTCGAGATTTGAAAATCACGATTTGGGATCAACAAGAACAAATGAAAAGATTAGGTAGGTAGGTTTAGAGACATGCCTGCCTTGTTGAGACCGGGACCAAGAAGACGAGGAATCTGCTTAATGACAGATTCAGAAGCAAGGAAAGCATGGAATTTCTTAGCGAGCTTCTTGACAAGTTTCTTGTTCTTGTTCAACTTCTTAAGAGCTTCAACATCCATAGATTCCAATCCAATCTTCTCAGCCTAAGTAAACAAACCCCCAAGTTATACTACTAACCATAACATTTTCAACAACAAAAAAAGGCGAAAAAAAGCGAACCTCTTCGACGTGTTGGGCATCTCCAAGCATGCAAATCTTCATCTTTGGCCTAGGAACGTGAGGCAATTTCACGGATCCGCTAAATCTCTTGTCCTTTTGAGGGTCATAGTTCTTAAGACCAATCTGGAGTTCAATAGTCTCAGTGAACTTGCGTGGCTTAGTCTCCTTACAGTGAGTGATAATGGCGGATATTGCCTCTCTTACGGCTTCACTCTGAAGCTTACTACACCATTCAAAAAACTCAAACTTCTATAAACCCAAAATGAAAAGATCATAACTTTGTAATCTTAACAACTTTTGTTTACTCATGAAATCAATCAATGACTCAATAGTTTTGTATAAAGAATCAATTTTTTTCACATCTAAGCCTATCTATGATTATACCAAATCAACAATTAATCTGAATCATTGGCAGAAGAAAAATATAAAGTCGATTTTGAGTAGACAAACCTCATTTTGGAACTTCCTCAAACAAATTTGCTTCCTGAAAACGGAAATACAGAAAAATGAGATTTTTTACAGTGTTGTCGAGAAACGAATAGAGAATTCTCAGATCGACGAAAACACAAAAGACTTTGAAGAAGAAGATTGATTTACCTGTGGGAAGGTCGGAAACAGAGAAAGAACGGCGAGTAAAGCAATCGTCTGTAACTTATACGAACCAGAAGAGACAAAACTTCTAGCCCTAGTTATTTCTCGTCGTTAAAGCCCAATTTCTGCTAATCAAAGCCCAGTATTTAGGCCCACAGAGATTACTGCTTTCCCAAAGCCTATTTTGACCACTAATCAAAATTAAACAATTTTTATTTGATAAATAAATAAAACAAAATTGTACTAGACCACACAACATTGTTTCAAAACTAATTAGAATTCAGAAGTCACATAAAATGACAAATTATGCACTTTTTTCAGAGAAATTTTGTTAATCAAAGTATGTATAAAAGAAGATACTTTGAAGATAAAAATGCATATATTATATATATATATTTTAAATCATAGGTCAAACAATACTCGGCCTTAAAGGCAGACAATCGCTACTCACTACCAATATACAAATAGTTAGAACCAAAATCATAAGAATACTTGTGGATGTGTGGGTATGCGTCAGACCAATTTCTCTCCTGTCAAATGTGGTTTGTTTCCTCCTTATCCAAACATAAATGAGAGATCATCCATAGGAACCTCATCAAGCCCTGCTGTATCAATATCTTGAAGACCTTCGAACCAGTCTCCAATATCTGCCTGTTCATCTATTTCCTCTAGATCACGGAATGCTAATTTCGAGAAATCTATGGGAGCTTCCTCGTCGACTGCACCATCTCCAGAGGTACCTCCTCGGTTCGAGGCACCTCTGCTTGCTGGTCCTGTTGGGTGAGTTGATGTTGTTGTTGATCTTGATTGGTTTTCGTTATTGTTGTTGTTGTTGTTGTTCTTTTCTTTTGGTTTCGGTTTGTTCTTATTCCTGAAACCATCTTCTCTCTCGCTTCTCTTACCTTGAGCCCCTCCTCCACTAGGAACGGCGCTGTCTATGCACGTTGTGACTTTGGATGAAGCGCATCCAATAACATCATCTATCAATGCTTCTCTCCTCTTTGTACTAGACACTGCACCTACAAAACCCAAATAGCTCATCAGATTTTCCGACAAAAAGGTTTAAAGTGTAACCACTGTCTAACTATTTTATCAAGCGACTTGACCTTTAGTAATCTAATAATTACATTTGAATGTGCTCCGCATTAATCTACAATAATCCTATCCATGTTGTCTTACATGCCACAGCAGAAGTAACTATTGAAAAATCAATTACAGAATCAACATCTAAAGTTCAGATTTTGCGTACCTGAACCCTTGGCCTCAGCCTGATGATTAGAAGGTTCATTGAGCGTGTTACTGGCTGTTCCAGAGCCGCCATTTTCTGATGATTTTGCATCGTTGCTGGGAGAACTAAACAAGATGTCTTGAAGTGCGGGATCAGCAAAACAGCTAAACCCAGTTTCTTCGAACTTACGACACCTAGCAACTGTCCGCCTGATGAACGCCAGCGCCACTTGTCTAGTGACCTTGTTGACTTTGGCTGCTTTACTTCCGCGGCATGCCTGTTTTTAGAGTAAAATCAATAATTAAGAACCCGATTTATATATCTCATCCCACAATCATTCATCCAAATTAATTTTGGTTTATTACCATTCTTTTCTTGTGCGCTGTTTCCACAAGCTGGTCCATAGCAAGATGCTCAATTTTCCTGCACGTAAACCTTAAATTTTAGCAAAAATAACGGTGTAACTTGAAAGATAATGAATCTAAAAAAGCCAAAGCCAACCTTTTCTCAATATCTTTCTCTTTCTGGATAGTAATATTAAGCTTCTCCAGCTTTTTCTTCTTGTTTAGGATCTAGTAGTGGTCAAAAATGGAATATGAGAAAGGTTACTACGCCTCAAAGACGAAATTTTAATGACGATCTGATAAAAAGTCTTCCTAGTAAAGCATGATATATTTGTTTTGCGTTTACCTGCTGATAAATGCCTTCCTTCAACTCCATAACATCAGTGCTCATAGTGTCTTCAGCCAGATCAGGCTGTGATAAAAAAATAATTGGAAATTAGTGAACAAGCTAGAGTAACACGTTTTTTTCTTTAGCTCAAGTTATTGACAGATTAAATGACTTGAGACAAAACTTACCATTGCCTCAGGAAACACACCAATGCTCTGTAGTTCCAGAAGAAGTCGCTCATCCAAAGACATAAGCTGATACTGGGTGTCAGATACTGGGACGTTGGGAATGTTCACTTCCCTAGCTTGCAATTGACCCAGACTATTTAAATATGTCTCATTGCCGAGTGCAGCTTCTGAATGTGAAAGATCATCATCCCCAATCCACTGTTCATTGCTATGGACAGATATGGACATGCCACCATTTCTGAATGGGTTAGACACAACACTCCTCTCACTGGAAAATCTGTCAAGCAAACAACTCTTAGGGGTCTGAAAATCCCCACTTGACTCTACTTCAAATTCCATTCTGTCTCTCTCTCTGAACTCGGTGTCAATATAGGTACATGAACCACAGTGAGAATCGTCACTGGCATAATGAAGAGACAGATTCTTCCCTCCATTGAATTGTACAACTTCTTCTCCATCATCTTCCTCAATTAAAGCAGAAAGTACCCTCTTATACAACGGAGTACTCTCATTCAATTTTCTCATGTCCAATCTCTCAAATGAAAGACCAGATACACATGATGAGGTTGGACCTGAATAGTCAACAATTCCCTCACCAGGGCGATGTAGTGCTTTGGGCAATTTAACACCCTGAAAAAGAGACTCTCTTTCATTCATGCTACATACAGATTATAAAAGAGACTATGAAACTAGACATTGCTGCAGAAGTTTGCAACTTACCAAGATGCTATAACCATCTAAGATTGCCTCTGACAGAGATGCATCGAGCTCTTCCGCAAAAATAAGCTGTTTTCGGATAATTAAAAGTTAACAAGAGGTGGCATCCTAGAGAGAAGTCATATATGATATAATATATAGTATCAACTATCGATTATTACCTGATCTTTCATGTTTTGCATGTCGTCTGCATTGACGGCAGCAAAGATGGGGTCCATCTTCTTCCAAAACTTACCAGAACAAGCAAGATCTACAAAAAGATATTTCTAGTTAGAAGGAAATTTGCGGCAATGAAACTTGAAAGACATGACATATGGTAGGATGAATACTTGCTGCCTTCCGTGCTGAATTTGCTGCAGCAAAAATATCTTCACGATCATCATCAGATTCACCTGAAAAGCCATAAATTCACTTGAATTTTTGCTTAGGAACCATCAGAAGCACGAGGTGCTCTTTAGGGGATAAGCTGACATGCAGAGATTACATCCAACTACCACCACTATCCTCTTAGAAATTAAATACATCCCTTTGTACAAATGAAAATAACTGAGCAAGAACTAATTGTGACCAAACCTCAAATATACAGGGTAAGTCACGTTCAGGATATAAGTAGAATTTCCTAGAAAATAGTTTGATAATACTATCCAATAACTGTGATTATGGTAAAAGATTGAAACTCGAAATGCAAAAAGAAAATAACTACCTGTAATATCTGAAGGAGTATTTGCATTTGAGGCAAGCCGAGTTGCAGGTTTACGATCTTTAACCTTTTTCGCAGGTGGACGCCCATATTTGCTGTCCAAAGAGAAAGAGAAGGTAGAACAATTGGTTCGTGTATTTAAGATTTATATACAATATAATATTTTGAAAGTAGAAGGAGTAAGAAAAAGAACTGAATTAGGTATAAATCACCTTCTATTCTTATCTGAAGCAATCTTGACATTGTGAAGAGGCTTCTCTACTGATAAATTCTCCGACTTATTCATGATAGGATGAAAGCCAGGAGTTGTCAACGACGAGACACTTTCGCTCTTTCCTTGCTTCCATGCGCCACCTCCTTTATGACTGGTTTGAATCTTATTCTTCCTTAGCGGAAGTAATAGCGACCCTGATTTAGGAGTTGTGAACAAGTCACCACTTGCAAAAGCACGCTCTCTTGTTTTGTTGTCTCCAGCTCCTGAGTCCTCACTTTCAGATAACCCATATGGCGATGAAGCATTCCTCAACTCCCTTTTCATTTTTAAAGGGCTACTATCAACAACTGAGAGTGACGCAGTGGCCCCAGGGGATGCTCTAGGACTAAAATCAGATGTTGCGAAACCTTGAGCTGAGACCTTGCTTTCAGCATGCTTTATCACAGGAGAAACTACATTTGTTCTCCTTGTTCGAGAATTCTTATGCGGTCTCTGGCCAACCCATTGAGCCATTGCATGTGCAGATGAACCTGTTGGATATGAAGCATTAGCTTATTCCCATAAACATTACAGATAGTGTATTTAGACAACACTTAGATTTCCCCTAACCTTGTAATACACCGGATGGGGAATCAACTTTGGATGAAGAATCAACACCCATAATGGCTGCTGTTCTTGGAGCCCTAGAAACCTTTCCTTTCAATATTGCAGTAGAGCTGTTTGTGGGGCTATCATCCAGTAAGTTTCTCCTGCATATGCAACATTATGCATTTATCAGTCACGTAACAACTTGCTATTAAATTGAAACAAAATCTATATCAAAAAGCTTGAGGTATCTGCTCACTTATTATTTCCCTTGGCTAGCCTCTGCTCGGCAAGCACTGACCGATCCCTTGCAATGGAAACAGTCTCCAACTCATTCCTGGATAATGCACCCATACCTGGACTGTCTGGCTCAAACGAAGCATCAAGTCTGTTAATCCCACTCACCCCGGGTGAAGATTTTGACCTGCAACAAATGGGTCACATTATGTTATGCAAGAGGGATCAATCCGGAAAACTATACATATACAAATGCATGTTGCAAGAAAATTCCACAGCATCAAACATAATTAAATCATCATGCTAAAGCAAGATCTACCGAAACAAATTCAAGATGAAATCATGAAATCCAGTTCATATGAGAAACTTGACAATCTTTGGCAGTAACTTAAATAGCTCAGGCAAAATAGAAACAAATGCAGCCAGTAGAGTAGGATCCCCACTAGAATATCATGAATACTGAGACAACAACCAGTAAACAAACGCAACAATCCTCTCTTTTAGGTCCACTTATGGCCCTTGGACTAGAAAATAGGTAATAACATCCTCAAATGGTGTTCTGTGTTATATGTCCGGATTCCTGTAAGTTGTAATGTAGCTAAACAACAGGGATAACTACCAGGCTTACTAATCTTAGAACTTTAATGCACACCTGAAATTTTGGCTGTCACAAGAACGCAACTTAGAGTCAGCTGTTGGCTTTGGCTGCATGACACGTTGATCAGGATTCATAATTCTGTTGCCTAGGGTAGCAACAGACCGTTTCCTTTTCATTCTTGTCTCCCATACTTCACCACCAACAGGTAATCTGCGTATCTTCTCTTCTATTCGCATTGGTTCTCCAGAAACACTTGGAGGTGAATCAGAGCCCTTTTCAATAACCTGCTGCCTTGCAAGAGCCGAAATTCTAGCATCCCCCTGAAAGCAATAACAGTCAGGAACAATTAAACAACAGTGACGTGGGAGAAATGCTTTCTGAACACAATAATTGAACAATCGAGACAAATCTTCAAATCTCATGTCTTCTAGAAAGATGTTAAAACTTGCTAAACATGAAGTGGCGGATGAACAGAATGGAAAAATGCCAAGGAAAATAAACATTCAATTATAGAGTAATAAGCACCCTATAGATCTAAAGTGAGGTTTAGATACAAACCCGCACATCTGCGACGGTCGTACGAGCACGCTTGTTTAATCCAAGCATCTTTTTCCTTTCCTCGGATCTTTGAGCCATACTGTCTGGTGTTCTTGGAACCTGGTTTCTGACCTTATCAAAGTTTGCTGCGTCCATTCTCTCACCAGGTGGTATATCATTTCGCCTTCGTTTCTTTGAACTTATTGTCTCCGCGTATTTGTCCAACTTGAATATGTTTTCACTTAGTTTCTTTGCTAGATCCCTACAAGGAACCCAAGCTTTTAGTAAGGCTATATAAAGAGAAAGCAATAAGTCCTCGGTCTAGTAGATACTGTACTATGCTATGAAAAATTTAAAACTCCTAAGCCAAATTCTATCCACCTATGATTAGTCAATGGTCACAACTTATGAACGAAAGCAAGAAGATCCATACCCAGCCTCTCTGGAAGTATCTAGAACACTTTCTTTGAAATGCTTGAGCTCCTCAGTTGCTACAGGAGGAGAAGGTCTGGGATGAGACATCCCAAAAGAATTCTCTTCCGATGAAGCCCTACTAGGAACACCGAGAACCCTTCTAAGCTCTCCTGAACGAGTATAGTTCTGATTCCCTAATCTAATCGGTTCCAATGCTAAAACTTGAGATAAATTAGGGGTATCAGATGACAATCCTATAGTACCCCTGCTCAAACTGTTACCAGAACCTAGCATTATGCCTTTGGTCTACTTCCTTCACACCAAAAGCAACTTAAAACCTGCAATAAAAAAAACGAGATTATCGTAAATCTTAAAATACAGTAACATCATCACTCTTACGCACACCACACACGATTACTAGCGTAATGGTTTAGAGAACCCAATTTTAAATCAAAGATAAACGCGAGCAGTCTAAAGGTGTTAACTTTGAAACTAGTAAAACGGGTTCTCGAGAATTGGTGAACAATTTCGAAAAATTCTCACCTTTGCATCTAAGCTCAAGCCATGAATCAAAGACAACCAACACGAAAACCCTAAAATTCCTTTACGCCGGCGAGAAATTGAAAAACCCTAGAATCACGGAGAAGAACCCAAAAAAAACGAACTTTAGGTATTAAGCTCAGAGAATCGGAAAAGCGTAATTCGGACAAAGACCAAAGCTTTGAAAAAATATCTCACCCGAAAGAATTTCAACGAGGTCAAGCTTTGTTCTTGTTGTTGTTGTAGATCAGACGGGGAAAAAAAAGTTCCCTTTTAGTCGGATTTTGTTTGAGCGAATTTTGCTACGTCCAATAACATTTATGTACACAGATTGATGACGTCATCATTCTCTCTTTCTCTCGTCTCTCAATTCACACACGGCTTTGACCAATGTGACATTTAGGTTCGATTTAATTATTATTTTAATTTTTTTTGGCAGAAGTTAAGAATTTGCCTCTAAATTAATGACTTTCAAGAGATTATTCATTTTAGTTACAAACTTATAATATGATAATCCATCAAATAAATCTCTTAAATAAGCTAAATTTTTAATGTCATCTTGTGTAGAGGTATATAGATGATCATCAGTTGACAAGAAGTGCCTTTATGATGTCTTTGCATTTGTCCTCCTCAGCGTTTAGAAGATGTCCGTAACCTAAGACCTCATGGTACTGAATCCATGGAAGCTTATGTGCTATGTATCGATTAATTTCGTATGGAATGATTCTGTCTTCCATCCCTTGCCACACATGGACCGATCCTTCGCCTTCCGCAAACGGATTTTCTAGTTCAGTCGGGTCGAATTCCCATGTCGCGAATCCGGCTATCATGTCCCGGTGAAGACATTCATGGTCACCTTGTTGCCGGACTTTTTCCTGAGGTTGGAATAGATCATTAAATAAAATGTTGGGTCAAAATGTGTAAAATCTAAATACACAAGAGACTGGCTGAAAGAAACCTATGGATCCAAAACCTTATTTGTTATTTCCACTTTGGCCCATAATAGCACATGAATTTGTATCGAAATCAATCTGTCCATATGAACTCTTCTTTCAATTAATTTTCTCCTTGAACATTTTATATTGTTCTATTCCAAATTTACAGTTTCACCCGTGAATGTATTCCACATTTACAGTTTAACCCACAAGCATTGGCATAAAATGCAACAAAAAGTTTTAGCTCATTACCATGCCAGGGCTTGGATTCTCCATTTTCTTCTTTATGACGACCAAATCTCTATCGCTGCATAACGCATTGTTCCCAGTGATCATACTCGAAGACGGAAACAGTTTTTGGGTCAACCACCAATATAACAACCAAGGAACATAATGAGCCACTCTAAACGTCCATTGGTCTTTCTTTGGCATTAGCTCCAACGCTTTACTCAATTTGTCTTGAGGCACTTTAGTCCACCAATAGTTCACAAATGGAACCACTAAGACTGCTCCAGCTAGTCTATGAACCCCACAGAAGGACATTAAATTATGAGACACAAGAAAAGTAAAAAAAAAAAAAAAAACAGAACTCGACTAATCCAAATCGTTATTACCTGTGGGGAATGTATTTGAGGCAACTATAAACCGAGTAAGCACCTAGTGATATACCAAGAACATAGAACTTTGGTCCGATCTCGAGTTTATCGGCAAGTTCTTGAATGTCGTATGCTTCACTTTTAACTGTGCGTGATGGGTGTGGATCACTTTCTCCATATCCTGCTCTATCGTAGAACAAAAAGTATATCCCAAGTTCCTCAATTAGATCCTGTAAAAAATCAAAATGACAGGTAAAGAAACTTATTTTTTGTTTTTATTTTGATAAAATGAAACTAATTGTTTCATTGCATTTAAGGTTGTGGTTGCTTCAAAAGTCAATTTTGCGTTTGCGTCTAGATATGACATGCTTCTCTATAACTAAAAAAAGTTTCTATTTTCAAATAAGAAAACGTTTTCAGTTCATAAAAAAATAAACTCAAACAGCGTTTTATGTATCTGCGTTTAGCGTTTACCATTAACACATGCTTTTTTTTTAAGAACCAAAGACAGTGAATTCTCATTTGGGAAAACAAAAAAAAAAACAATATCCTCAATTACATATAGCAAAATAAATGCAGATAAAGTATCAAGACTGTATATCTAAACTGGTAAAAATGGGCATGTGACATGTCCGAGAGTTAGTAGAAAATGAAAGTGTACCTTAGGGATGGGAAATTCAATGTCTTTGGAACTGTTGAAGCCATGAACGACAATGATCTTGTAGTTAGCATTGGCTCTATCAACCCCAGATTCTCTATAGGCAAGATATCTTCCATCATCGAGCTTGATTCTTGGAGAAGTAACCAAAGGACCATTAGGAACGCCGCAGATTCGCGGTGGTGGAGGCTTAAATGATCGGTAAATGTAGCCAATAAGGCAAACAAGGATCGCAACCATCACCGAAAATATCATTATTCTTATATATAAACCTAAAACACTTAAAAGATTGGTGTTACTGAACAAGAAATCCAAATTTTAGAGATGATAAGAATGAGAGATAAAGAAAAAAAGAGGAGATAGACCTGATTTTTAAGTGAATATGATTTGAGATGGAGAGATGCTTGTAGGCTTGGTGAAACTAATGAACTCATATTTATACTAGAAAATCCATATTTGGGAATACTTACAAAGAGTCTTTAGTTAGTGTGTATGAAAATCCCTCTCTTGTTTTCTTTATTTTATACATTCTCAGTTTAATTATCAAATTAGTAAAAGAGAGAGAGAGAGAGTGAGAATGAAAAGAGACACAATCACCGTCAGATTGCAATCCACTTGTTGACGTAGCAGACAGTAGGAGGATGGTAGTAGTAGCACGCATTATTGTGACGTTGACATGCGTAATTGCTGTCTTATAATCACAATCTCTTTTGACTATGACTCTTAGAGCCGTACTAGTATTATTGTTGCATACTTGCATTGTCATTTATCATCATGGGTTAGATTCATACAATGTATCTTGTTGACAAAAATAATAATCAAATTTGTTCTTTTCTCATGAATCTTCGTGTATGGATTGATTGTTGACGTAATATTGTATGGAGTTTGATACATTAATTTTACATGAAGTTAGTTAGAATTTATAAAAAACTCCAAATAGAAAACCTATACTTTTTTTTTGCGTAGAATTTGTAATACTAAGACAACCTGAAAATATTTTCAAAAGAAAGAAATCTCGTTATAATAAAAGAAAAATGTAATTATTTTTTTATAAACAGAAAACTATAGTATGTTATAATATATTTTTTTTGATAATCGATAATATCTAAGAAAGAAAAGATAAAGAAAAAAACTGGAAATCTAATAATACAACACTTACCAAAATTATAATGAAAGTGAATGTTGTGTGTGTATCTGAAATTTTCTCTGCCATGCAGTTGTATATTAGTGTGTATCCATTATTCTCACTTTTCTATTTTGTTCTATACTTTCTATATTTTTTTGGTATTTTTCTTATTATATCATAAATTAACGCCAACTAAAAGCAAGAAATGTTTAGCTGTCGTTACTTAAAATCTAAAATTTTGGTTTTTTTTTTCTTTTTCTTTTCAATTTGTAGCCTTATCTAAAATTTTGTTTTGTTCATAGCTAGCTATGGATGAAAATGATGTAAACAACCTTTTCTTTGTATAAATTGATATTCACAATTAATTTGACTAACCAATCCAGAAGAATGTGAATATCTATTAAAATTTCTAATCATGTCATTATGTATAGGCTTAAACAATCTGTATCGAGTAAATCACAATCCAGACGAAAGATCCTAAAATGTCTAAAACTTTCTAAATTTGTGTGTAGTGCTAATAGAATCCAAAGCCTCTAAGAATTTCATGCGTGGTACGGTTGATTAGCATTGAACCAACGATACTCGATTGGAAATTAGTTCCGGTTTTAAGTCTTTTGTTTTGGTAATTTCCGGTTTAAAAACTGAATTGAATAATCCCAACCAAATTTAACCTAATAAGTGAACTACTACAAAAGATGATGCTAATTTAAAGAAGGATCACCATAGAGACAATGACACGACACACACATAAAAAGATGGAAGATGGCAACATGCAGAGATTGTAAAGAGATAAAAACAAAGAAATAACTTGAGACCAAAACCACCTGTCCACAGAAAGAGACTCACTTCGACACGTGGCGTATCCCTACATGCTCGAGAACACTTGTTTGTCTTCGGAGAAGACAGAGTAGCATTCTCGTTGCACCGTTAATACAAAGGACCTTTCATCTTTCTATATTATCTTTTTGCAATCTGAAAAACAGAACTCCTAAAAGTGAGATTCTCTTAAAACACTCAAAAACAAAACTTAGTCGTGTGATCACAGTTCAAAGATTTTACTCAATGAAGGTTCACGAGACAAGATCTCACGCCCACATGTCTGGAGACGAACAGAAGGTAATTTCTACACCATTTGATCTTTTGATGTTTTGTTAATAATGTCTTTTTAACTTAATCCATTGTTTTTTTTAGAAGGGAAATTTGCGGAAGCACAAAGCAGAAGGGAAGCTTCCAGAAGCTGAACAGTCTCAGAAGAAGGCGAAGTCGGAAAACGATAACGGCCGTTCAGTCAACGGCGCCGGAGATGCTACTTCAGAGTACAATGAGTTTTGCAAAGCGGTTGAGGAGAATCTGTCCGTTGATCAGATTAAAGAAGTTCTTGAAGCAAACGGTCAAGATTGTTCTGCTCCAGAAGAAACCTTACTAGCTCAATGGTTAAGAGTCATAGATAATTATGTGAACAACTTCTTTATTTGTAAAGATATTCATATTTGATTTTTTTTTTTGTGAGCAGTCAAGATTTGCTGTTCTATGGGGCGTTAGAAAAATGTCCTTTATGCGGAGGTAATTTGATTTGTGACAATGAAAAGAGATTCATATGTGGAGGTGAGATTAGTGAGTGGTGCAGTTGCGTGTTTAGTACGAAAGATCCTCCTAGAAAGGAAGAGCCAGTTAAAATCCCTGATTCCGTCATGAACTCTGCTATTTCCGATGTAAGTTTCCCAAACTACTGGTCCAATCAACCATGTTTTGGTTCTGTTATTTCCCGATTTGGTTTGTTTGAGTTGTCATTTTATCTTGTTTTGATGTAGTTGATCAAGAAACACCAGGACCCTAAAAGTCGACCTAAAAGAGAGTTAGGCTCTGCTGATAAACCCTTTGCGGGAATGATGATCTCTCTCATGGGACGTCTCACGAGAACACATGTAATATGCATGACTTTGTAGGGATCTTTATTGTGATTTACTTGTTTTAGACTCTTAAGAATGTTTTTCCTGTCTCTGTTATTGCAGCAATATTGGAAGAAAAAGATCGAAAGAAACGGTGGGAAAGTCTCCAATACTGTTCAAGGTGTAACATGTTTGGTGGTTTCACCGGCTGAAAGAGAACGAGGTGGTACGTCAAAGATGGTGGAGGCAATGTAAGGGTTTAGGGTTTGTAGTACTAGAAATTGTTTGTTTTCGTTTTCCAGTTATTAACTCTGGTGTTGTTACTGGTTCCTCAAGGGAACAAGGTCTACCAGTTGTGAGTGAAGCATGGTTGATCGATAGCGTGGAGAAGCATGAAGCTCAGCCACTTGAAGCTTATGACGTGGTCAGTGATCTTTCTGTGGAAGGGAAAGGAATTCCATGGGATAAGCAAGATCCTAGCGAGGAGGCGATCGAGTCCTTAGCAGCTGAGGTATCGATTAGCTCATCTACGTAGTGCTAATTTCAAATGGGATAACGTGAAATATATGATTTTTGTTTGATCTTTTTCAGCTCAAAATGTATGGGAAAAGAGGAGTCTACATGGACACAAAACTTCAGGAGAGAGGAGGAAAGATATTCGAGAAAAATGGACTCTTGTATAACTGTGCCTTCTCGATATGTGATTTGGGAAAAGGGCGTAATGAGTATGATACTGATAAACCCTTAAGATTTTCGCTCTTTCTTCGGGAGGCAGGAAGGGTTTTATGATCTACTGGTTTTTGTAGGTATTGTATTATGCAGCTAATCACGGTGCCCGAGAGTAATCTGAATATGTACTTCAAGAGAGGAAAAGTAGGAGATGACCCTAATGCGGAAGAGAGGCTCGAGGAGTGGGAGGACGAAAATGATGCGATCAAAGAATTTGCAAGGCTCTTTGAGGAGATAACAGGGAATGAATTCGAGCCATGGGAACGTGAGAAGAAGATTCAAAAGAAGCCTCATAAGTTTTTCCCAATTGATATGGTAATAACCATTGTACCTTGTGCCTAAAGTCATCTCTTTCGTTCCTTGGTGTATTGGGTGGTTGTTGAGTAATTTGATGTTCTGTGGATTCTGCAGGATGATGGAATCGAAGTGAGAAGTGGGGCACTTGGTCTAAGGCAGCTTGGCGTTGCTTCTGCTCATTGCAAGCTTGATTCGTTTGTTGCAAACTTCATTAAAGTTCTGTGTGGTCAAGAGATTTACAAGTAGTGTTCCTGGCACGATCTTCATTTCTATCAAGAACTCTTCTCTACTTATGAATGTTCTGATTTTCGGTGTTTCATCGCAGGTACGCGTTGATGGAGCTTGGATTGGATCCGCCTGATCTACCTATGGGAATGCTAACAGATATCCACTTGAAACAATGTAAGGCATGGTGGAGCCAAATCTGTGGGTGCCACTCCGTGCTATTATGATTTTGACTTGTGTGTTGTTGCTCTGCTTTTTTCAGGCGAAGAGGTATTACTGGAGTTTGTTGAGAAGGTCAAGACAACAAAGGAGACAGGTCAGAAAGCTGAAGCAATGTGGGCAGACTTCAGCTCACGGTGGTTCTCATTACTGCACAGCACAAGGCCGATGCGATTGCACGATGTCCATGAACTTGCAGACCATGTAAGTAAAGTTACTATCATATCTTTATTGTTATGTGTTTTATGTCAGTACAATGAAGTTATATAGTATTGGATCCATGTGACAGGCGGCCTCTGCTTTTGAGACGGTGAGGGACATAAACACAGCATCTCGTTTGATAGGGGATATGCGAGGAGACACACTCGATGACCCGTTGTCTGATCGGTACAACAAACTTGGTTGCAAGATTTCTGTGGTAGACAAGGAGTCTGAAGATTACAAGATGATTGTTAAATACCTTGAGACTACTTATGAGCCAGTGAAAGTCTCTGACGTTGTAAGTCTCTGTCTCCTGGCTTGCACTTCACAAACGTTTCATATAATTTGACTATTAATTATGAGTTATTGTGTTGTTTCAGGAGTATGGTGTGTCAGTGCAGAATGTTTTTGCGGTTGAGTCAAACGCAATTCCTTCATTAGATGACATCAAGAAGCTACCGAACAAAGTCCTTTTATGGTGTGGTAAGGAGTCAGAAGCCAGGGTTATTACTCTTTCTCTGTTTTGGTCAAATTTGTTATTTGGTGTTATCTTTGTCATAGGTTCTCGGAGTTCAAATCTGTTGAGACATATCTACAAAGGGTTCTTACCTGCTGTCTGCTCTCTTCCAGTCCCCGGTTATATGGTAATTGAAAATGCTTTTTTTTTTTCTGTTTTTAGCACTAGTTGTTTAGATCTCTTTGTGGTGTTTATCTCTTCAGTTTGG